GACCGTGGAAGATCATTTACATTTTAGAACCACAAACTTATACTAAATACATACTATATACATTTAATTAGAAGGACAGCGCCATCTAGTGGTTTAGTACTTCGTCCCGGTATAAGTTCTGATATAATGCCGTCTGTGGGGAACCTCTTTTTATGATATGCATACATTTATTCATTAGAATAATAAAATAGAGTGTTATATTTTATATGATTGCGATCATACTGCAAGAAAATGTGTTATCGACATAACTCTGATTTTATCTTTACAAAGTGCAAACACATGGAATATGAAATTTGACGTTGTTTCGGGTAAATGGGATGAAGAAGCAAGTATGCCAAATGTCTGTGAGAGTATGTACATGGTTCGTCGATTTCAATACACAATCCCCCCAAATATCAACGATGCTCTTTGTGGTCTTTTCATGCTTTAACGTCCAATTAAACTACGCACCAAATTAATGATTTTGCAATTGCCAACTCAAAAGCCATTGTATGCGTACTATTCCTCATGTAACATTCACTCAATGGTTTTTTTTCTCTTAAAAGATATGGCGAGCGTTTGTTTTTTCACTTTTTTACTCTTGCATTGTATTATCAACAAACAATGACGTCTTTTTATTTCCCTTGCTTTTGCCGTTTCGGTCTCAAATGTAATAAATATTTACATACGAAAAACTTGTGTCATAACCTTAAAACCTAATAGCAATGAGCTAATTGTGTACATAACATAAAATGTTGGGCTTACGCGCACGAACAGTGATTTAATTTTGGAATTGCGTGAATTTTTTTTGAAAAAAAAAAAAAAAAAAAAATCATTTGATATGCACAACCTGAAGCACACAGGTTCTGCGATCATAATATGTGATTTTATTTTGTAATCACTTTTGACTATTTTGAAAATACCATTACAAAACTCTTAAACGTGTGGGTGCTTGGAATTAACCACTCTTAAGTGTTTTCTGTAAAAATGTAACAAATCTTTGAAAGATAGAGACAGACAGGGAAAAAGGGAGAGAGACCAAGTAAATAAATCAATATTCACATATATTGGTGACAGGTGGACGCTTATATGTCGCGATGATTTATTTTTTCAAAATTGTCCAAAGTTTTGCATATCAGCTTATGACAGTATTCTAAAGATTGTTCTCAAATTACTTTGTTAATTGTGGTAATCAACATATCACATTTTGTTATTTTCAATTTGCACAATCAATGCCGCAATCAATGATGAATACATTCCATATTGAAATTCAAACTTGATTTATCTATAGAATTTGGAAATCATTAAGATTAACTCATGAACTAAGATCGTTTTCTTTTGTTATTGTGAGTGGAGAAAACTTAGTTTTTGTTTACATCTATTAATAGTAGTCGCGGGCATTTTCAAGCATACAGTGCAAGATTTAGCAATTTTATTTGACTCAGACGCAATGTTGGCACGCAATCATAGATACCATCATGTTGTTAAATGGCGACGGACAAACATATTATATATTCGAAATGCAAAAAGATGTAAACAGCAAAAATTTATTATTGTCAAAGGACCGAGTACGACGTTTCCCCCTTTGCTAAGCGAAATTAATCCGATATACGGCGCTGATGTAAATGTCACTCTATGTCATTCCACAATAATTCATTTTTTGGCTTGACAATATATGATTGTCCGAGAATGAATGTGAGTCTTCTCCTGAGACTTTATTGAAATGTAACACCGCCATACAAAAATTGCTGACAGTCAGCGTGAATACGCGTATACCACTGCAAAGCGGTACCAATATATGCAAACACATAAAGATCGACCCGTTTTAGATAACATTTCTATTTTTTACACCTAATGATGGCTCATTATTTTTGTTTTTATTTTATTAATAAAACTAAATTACATAAAATTAAAAAATGTAAGTTTTTTTACGAATGCGATTGCGTGGTTTCATTGCTCTGCTGTTCAGCAGCAGCAGGAACATATGGAGGTTAGGTGTCCTCCTGAGTCAATTTTATTGTATTATTTTTTTGTTGTTCGTTTATTTAATGCACGTTTGAAAAATTAACAAAAAACAAATGAGGAAAATTGATTTATTGTTTTATTTTATTTAAAATATTTTCATTTATAAGTTTCATCGTTGTTCCAAATTTTCTGATATTTGTATCAAATGTGGAACAAAAGAGTATCATATAGCGAACAGAAAATTTGAAACAACGATGAAACTTATAAATGAAAATATTTTATATTTTTTTTTCTACCTACCGTAAAAATGCAAAAGGAAACTTATTTGGGATTGTAGCATTTTGGTCCGCCATGAAAGCATCTTCGTTTTGCTTCTCTGTGATTGGTCAAGTAAAACGAAGATGCTGTCACGGCGGACCAAAATGCTACAATGGAGACCAACTAAGTTTATTTTCGCATTTTTACGGTAGGTGTCGCATTGTTATTACTATTTACATTGGATTCTTATTTAATCGATGAAAGATTTTTTTTGAAATTATTGTATTTATAAACAAATTAACTTTTTTATAAAATTTTTAATGAAAAACGTTAGAAAAATATTTTATGACATGTTTTTTTTTTCAACGATTCAATAATTATGGATGTGTATGCATTTTAAATGAAGAGCTTATATATTGTCAAGCCAAAAAATGTATTATTGTGAAATGACAGAGTGACATTTACATCAGCGCCGTATATCGAATTAATTTCGCTTGGCATAGGGGGAAATATTTTGACAGATAGTACTCGATCCTTTCATTGGGTGAATGGGTCTTACATAAACTGGACGAAGGAATTTAGTGGTAACTGTTTTGTTTCTATATTTTGGATAACTGATTTAGAATATTTCCTATGGCTATGAATTGTGAAATCAGTTGTCAGAATGAATAAAAAGTATACAAACTAGCACAATGCATTTGATTACTAAAGGTGAAAAAAAAATATTTATTTTAAAATGGTATCGCTGGACTTTTATACTCCACCACTAACAAATTTGTGATAGAAATATCTGTACGGAATTTTATATCACCCTGTATATATATGAAAAAAAAAAATGTGTTGTTGAAAGAGCATGCCGTACTTGCAAAAATTTCGTTGAAAAATACGTTCCGTTACGGAAATTACTAAAATCTGTTATTGTAATTTAACGTCGTCAATTTAAGAACTCAAAACACTAACATAGGCAACCAATAGGCAGTTTCAACTAAATGCTTAGTTTTTGGTTTATTCATAAATTACGAATGCCGATTGTAGTAACGAAAAAAAAAAGTTGAATTCGTATACATGGAGCCGTTCATATAGGCATGTATCCGTATGCGAAGCGATCTGTGTAGAAAACGAATCAAACTTTTAAGCTGACCTACTTAGTAGTACATGCACACATATGTCTCTGTCTGTGTGACAATATGAGTTTGTGAATAATGTTCATTGAGAAAAAGCCGTCTGAAACAAATATACAGTGACGACGTAATTCAGATGAAACGAAATATAAAAAAGCAAGTATATTCACATGCAGAAAAGTCAAAACTGACAGCGAAAATTGACATCGGAAGAATATGTACTACCGAATGTTAGCAAATAATCGAATACTAGTAGTGTAAATAAAAACCGATTAAACAAAATATAATTTTTTGGTGCTCCAACAAATTGATTGCCAACATTTTATATGGTTAGAGAAAATCGATGAAGAAAGGCTCATTTGAAACCATGCTAATGCATTCTCACAAAATGAGAGTAATATAAAATTATTATGAAACTAAATGTCATCCTCAAATATAAAGTGTCAAAAACTGGCATCAAAAACACACACAATTTTATTATTTGCCTTTGCAACTTTGCAAAAAAAGAATTAAAACGTTTATCATTGGACAATGTGCGTGCAAGTGAACTGAATGTATTTAAAGGAGGTGACGCATTGCTACAGGATTGATGTTGCAACTTTTCAATTTAAAAATTAGTTGCTACAAATGTTGAAAGGAAAGAGATGGAAAATATCTGCTAATAAGATAAATTAAAGCAAATGAAAAAACTGAAAAATAATAACAACAACAACAATAACAAAATCATCAAGACACATGACCCCATTTCGATTTTAGTGGTGCGTATTTTTTTTTTTTTTTTGCTCTTTCGCAATCTTTTGCGGCCTTCTCTCAATGTATATGTCTTTTATGCGACGCGCACAACATTCAATACATTTAAAAAAGAGATTTCTCGACAGAATTATTATATAATCTGGTCTCTTTTTCTTATTATTTATTATACGAAACTATTTTTAATATGCGACTCGCCTCATTCATAAAAGAGCACTGCTAACTCAACAATTGAAATTAAATACATAAATTTACTATTTCAATTACTCTAGCAATTACTTCAGATTGAATATGGTGAATCGAAAATAATTTTTTATTTGCAATTTCAAAAAACTACGCACCGGTGTGACGCTGAACAATGATAATTCATTACCATATAGTGCGCTCATTTTAACAAATCGCGACAAATGTTACGACTGAATCACTACCGCTCAAAAGCTTATATTTTTGTTGGTGTGTAATTTTAGGTGTCTTTCTTTACTTTTTTTATATTCAAATTATTTATACGCTCTTTGATGTAAAATTGTTTATTCTATCCCTCTGTTCCAATCTTGATTGGCCAAATTCACAACTTGTCTACTTACATTGTAATTGTTTATGTTTTCGTTTTAACAAAAAGTGAAATCGGCTCAAATACAGCAATTGAATTTGGTTTATGCTTCTTGTATTTGTAAATGGTTTCATTTATGATATAATATGGTACCAACCAAAAATATTTTTCTTCGATATTTGGCTTGCACGTCAAGATATCGCTCAAAATTCCGTGCTGACTCAACAGTAATAATTTAATTTTTAATTAATTTCCAAATGAATATATATAATAACTTATTACCGAATACCATATACTCGCCGTATTTGACCTTCAAAATGTTTATAGAAAATGATTACTGAGATGATAAAAATCTGTCTGTCTTCTCTTATTTCTAGCTGTCCGTGCGGACCGTATGCGAGGTGGCAGAAATAAATTTGGACCAATGTACAAACGTGATCGAGCAAGAAAACTGCAAATAATGCGTCAAAGACAATTGGCGGTACAAGCCTTACGTGCAGCTGAAGGAAATACATCACAATTATCACCGACTGGTTATCAACAGCCGTATTCAAATATGAATATCAAACAAGAAATTCAGATTCCACAGGTACGCTGTAAAAAATAAAAAAAATAGCTGTATGCTAAAGTGTGAGATTTGTATGCTACTCCAAATAAAAAAATATTGTCTTTCAAAAAAATACCCATGTCAAAATATCTTGACAAAATTTTTCTAAAATTATACTAAATTAGCCAACGAAAGTTGATCGATTTCCGTTGGAATTTACATATTCATTCAGTACTGTGTTTTTTTCTGAGGCATTTAACTGTCGTATAATACGTGCCATGCGGAGATTTATCAGATCATGAAAAATGTGTTATAATTATTGGTTTTTTTGTATAGATTTCATCACTGACATCATCGCCGGATTCATCACCTAGCCCAATTGCGATTGCATTAGGACAAGTGAGCGTAACAAGTGGAAATACAACAACTGCATCTGGAAACAATAATACAAATGCTGGTAATGGAAACGCTCACGAAACCATCAATATTTCTGTAAGCCATTTTTATCAGATTGATTTCTCGTACAATTGTAGTTGAAAACAAAAAAAAAGAATCAATGTTCATTCAATCGATTACTGTCACTAAATGAAATTCTTTATTTACAGTTATCTGGTACAAATAGTGCATTATCCGGCGGAAGTGCATCCAATGTCGGTGGCTCAACAACATCTACAGCAAATGCCACCGGCTTATCGAATCCGACAACCGATTCAAAGTTGTGGTTTGCAAACTCAACTACAGCTTCACCACATTCGCTTAGCCCAAAAGCATTTAGCTTTGATACGAGCACAAATCCTACCAGTACGGCTGACATTAGCGCAGTTGAACCACTGAGGTACTTATTCTTATTTATTTTCGATTAAAAATGTTCATTTTTTAAATTTGTTTGTTTGAATCAATTCATTTTCTTTTATCACTTACTTTCCATACATTATTTTATCACAGTTAATTTTCAATTTGTTTTAATGAGCACAGCAAACTATGATGATTTTTACTCTAGAAAACATAGTTTAAACGAAACTATTGTATACATTTAAAAAAAAAGGCAAACGTGTTTGCACGTCTAGAGAGAAATAATTGCAGATTGTTTGACTTAAAACTCTATACTATCCTATAACTATTTCCCTTTCCTTAAATTTCGATCTATTTAATTTATTTCGCTAAAAATGTTTATTTAAATTGAAAAATTGATATTCACACAAAAACCAAACAAATTTTTTACAACAAAAATTCAAAATTAATTTTTTTAAAACACCAATAACAATTATACTTCCGTTAGCAAAAAGCAATACTGGAAGAATTCAAAAAGTTTGAACTTCCCCAGGGTGTCACCGATGATACGTGAATTTGTTCAATCGGTAGACGACCGCGAATGGCAATCACAACTATTCTCGCTACTTCAAAGTCAGTCATACAATCAATGTGAAGTTGATCTCTTTGAATTGATGTGCAAAGTATTGGATCAGAATCTGTTTTCGCAAGTTGATTGGGCCCGCAACACGGTATTCTTCAAAGATCTCAAGGTAAGTCAGTTCACAAATCCTATTTAAAAGTAACATAACTAAAGGATATTTAAATGGCCATCCGAAAAGACATATCTGAATTCACAGATCGAATCGTTTGTTTTTATTGAAGTAACAAAAAATTTATAAATATTCGAAATTGCCAGGGGGTAGACACGTGGAATAGGATTAGACTTTTATTGTAAAGATTCGAGAAATTGCAATGAAATAGTAACGTCTGTGAATGGATTCGCGTGGAATAGCGATACAGTGCATGGAATAGCAAAAATTGTTTCACTTCAAATCCATTTGACATTTATTTTGACGTTTATTGATGGATTATTGGAATAGTGCGGAATAGCAGAATTAGCATTTTTGACGGAAACAGTGCATGGAATAGGAAAAATAGTTTCGATTTCACATTTGTGTTTTTGGATTAGTGGAATAGCTGGATTAGTAATTTATATAGTGTATTCGGAATTTATTCTTTGTGTCTCCCCCCTAGCGAAATTGTTAGTTTTAAGTGAATCTAAATGCCAACATACTATACTAGGTTTCAAGTATATTCGCGATTATTGTTAGATTGGTTTATTTTAATAAATTTGTTTCAAAACTATCAAAGTACAGACAAAATTGTTTGTTATATACAAGTATCTCTAGTAAATTATCTTAGAACATTGTTATATAGTATATCGTCAGATCTATTCTTGAGTTGGTTAAATCTATGAAATAATTCATTCAATGCAAAAAAAAAAAATGAAAAAATAGAAACAAAAACAACAATTGTATTTTACTTGAAAGAATATTCATGTATCCATCAATATGCTAATAATTACAGTGCATTTGATTTCTTTCCCATCATTCCTTTCCATATTGAAGAAATCTTTTGTATTGGAATAAAAAAAATTGGGTCTCAGTCTTCTTCTTTCTTACATGAACAATATTCACATCAGTAGTGTGCGAGCAAAAATTTCTAGAGGGAGTAATTGTCGAAAAAAAATCGAGCGAAGTGAAGAGCTTAAAAAAGGTACCGCGAAAAACCCCTAGCAAGTCGAAAAAGAATTTCTCCCATTTCAGAAATTCAATGACCAAAAAAAGTTGTTCACTTTAATGAAGAAAAAAAACCTAGCAAATTGCAAGATTTTCAAAATCTCCGGGGAAAACCCCTTCCCTCACCGCTACTAAGTCACACGTACTTTTTCGAATTTTATCAATTTTAAAGTGTAATAATTTGTCTACACAATGTAGAGAAAAAAGCGCAATTTGTTTTTTTTTTTAATCGTATAAGAACCGAAGCCCGATCATGGTATAGGATTTCCTATATAAACCTTTGTAACTAAAAACACCTCTAATGTGTATTCCGAGTGCTAATCGACGTTTGTAACAATATGGCCGTCACGGTTTGGCAAAATCATAATGAATCGATTAAACTGCGTTAAACTGTTAAAATAAAACAGTAGAAATAAATAGATTTTGATTTTTTACATTTTTGAAAATAAAAAATCTTTTGTTTTTTTAATTTTGTGAGATTTTCTGTCCACAATATTCAAAAATATTAAATTAATAAAAATGAATTGGTTGACATAACCTCACTTTTGTGTCACAATCGTGATAAACCGATCAAATAATTATTAAAACGAAAGTGAGGTTATGTCAACCACTTCATTGAAACTACCGGAAACTACAAAACATAACAAACAATTTTTATTTTTAAAAATAAAAAAAATTAAAATATTTTTATTTCTACTGTTTCAATAATTATTTAATCGGTTTATCACGATTGTGACACAAAAGTGAGGTTATGTCAACCAATTCATTTTTATTAATTTAATATTTTTGAATATTGTGGACAGAAAATCTCACAAAATTAAAAAACAAAAGATTTTTTATTTTCAAAAATGTAAAAAATTAAAATCTATTTATTTCTACTGTTTTATTTTAACAGTTTAACGCAGTTTAATCGATTCATTATGATTTTGCCAAACCGTGACGGCCATATTGTCACAAACGTCAATTAGTACTCGGAATACGCATTAGAGGCGTTTTTAGCTGCGGGCATGATCAGGCTTCGATAAGAACCAATTTTTCGAACGAATTGAAGCGCTATATGCATACGTATGTATAAATGCATAAAGGGGAAGAGAATGATTGTCAACATGCACACTCAGCACACAACAACATTCAATTGAAGTGAATTATAAAAGTATTGATGAGTTATCACTGTTGGTGTATTAAATTTTATACTAACACGTAAGCTCAAAAAAAAAAAAAACCAAATCGTGTGATCTGAAAAAGCTCAAAACAAAACCAGTGCTTTCAGTATTTAATGGCCAACAGCCAAATGCTCAACTGAAAATGCTGTACATTTTTCATATCTTAGCGCTGAACATAGCACAATGAAGAAAAAAAATACTATATTGAAATAATTGTGGCGTTCAGCTTAAATAGTTATGTAGGTCAACAGCAACATACTAAAGCACTTTGACGGCAATACAAGTGGGACACAACGACGACTTTGACGATGAAAACATGGTCTAATATGATGGCAACAATTACATCAAAAAGAGGAATATAGCGAACATTATACAAATTTCAATAGCTACGCGCTAACGTAAAAGGATGGCCAAAACGCCAGCAAAACTCGAAATGAAAAGAGGAGACAAAAAAAATTAAATAAATTAAAGCAGATTGCTCAAGAAGCTTTTTTTATTAAGCATGTTGATGAATGCTTGAGAAAATGCCAGACTTTCTCTTTCGAATTATTTCGAGCTAGAGAACTAATATCACTTTCATTGAAAACCAGTTTTCATGTATGTTATATAAACTAAGAGAGCGAGAATTTCATCATTTAAGAAACGATGTCAGCTATTAAAATTGGATTAGAATTCTTTTATTAATTTTTTTCTACGATAACATTCACACATTCTGATTTAATCAGCGAATGAATTATTATGAAAGTATTTTTTTTTTGTTAATTAGCTGAGGATAATTATTTTTCGATTCGTTTCATTATCCCTCAAGGCTATTCCTGACCTTATTTTAAGGTAAGCAAAAAGCAACGCCAAACAACAGAAATGGTACAAATACTATCAAATGAGTGGCGAACATGAAACGTGCGCGGCCGACAATCCGTGCGGTGCACCAAAAACAACACAATATAACACAAAAGAACACATTAAAATATAACCGAATCAATGATGAAGTGTTTTGTGTTACGATGATGACGACAACGTCGATGATGGCAGCTAACAGCAGCAATAACAAAATCACACATTTGTTTACATTAACCTACTTTTGGTTCGCATGTATGCTGCTCTGTACATTTGTTTATAAGGCCTACCGTGATATAATGCCTTTTTATTCATTATTTCCCTCTAATTTTTCAGCTAATTATAGACGAACGCTGTACTTAGTTTGTTGATTTTTCTCCGATGTATGCTGTTTAATTTCTTGTTGCCACTTTTATTACAATTACTTATTTTTTTGATAAATGTGATTGCAAAGGCGTCTGTCGAGATAGACAATTTTTTTTAAGATGCAGTACGTATAAGATATTATTATTTTTGAAAAAATTGTTTGCAAATATTTCAAGTTGACTTGCAAATCGTTATCGGTGCAATTTTCTTAACTTTGGCCAATTGAAATCTTATTTCGATCACAAATTTCTTGGACATATCAATACGATCAATTCAAATTTTGGCGCTGATTGAAAATCTCACGCAAAATTCACTTGTATTGTATTATGAAGTAATAACAGCGAATACAACTTCATAACAATGGATTGTTCAGAGATCGAAATGGAAACGCAAAACGAAAGGAAAACGGTCGAATTACATTATTATTAATGATATAGTGGTTGTTCACTAAACGTAATATCCAAAACGAAAAAAAAAACAACAGATTGAAGACGATGAATAATCGCTAGATATTAAGACACAAATACAATCTCACATCCAAGGTACTTTGACTGCAAGTAAGGGGAGAAAACAAATATAACAGAGAAAACGATTGAAAAAAGCGACGAAAGCGAAACGAAATGAATTAAATAAATATTTGCGGCATTGCACTAATACTTGAAAGTACCGCACGCACAATTCAACATCGAACATGAAAAAATGATGAAAAAACACACACAAAACATATACTAAATCAATCGACCTTGGCATCATTTTTATGTTGAAAGTGAAATGAAAACGTTTTCTATACATATACTAAATAACCGAGCAGCTGCGGTGCGCAAAGCTTGGTATTCGGTATTCGAATGTGTGTGTTTATGATGCTTGTGTAAGACAGTCGGCCGTCGAAATGGTGTATTCATACACAAATAGTATGCGGCGCGGATAGCTTGCGTCCGATACATATGTATACAATACGTTAAACTACACATTCGTCAATGTGCCTAAGAATCAATCAGACGCGAAACGTTCCGAAACATGTTTTTTTATTTATTTTTGCTTGACCAGCATGCTGTGTGTGGTTGATTCGCTCGACAATAATTTCACATGCAAATGTCGATGGATTACAAAATATTGTTAAATCCTAGGGGCTTAATACGGCAAAAAAATTCACAGGAATTCACGTAAATTCACACTTTTGAATCGAGTGGTTATTGATGAGTTCGGTGAATTCGTGTGAATAGAACGAAATGTGTCAAATTAATAAAGTGAGGTTATGATAACCGCAATATTTTTTTATTTATTATTTTTTCAATATTTCCGATTGTTTTCGATAGAAAATCGCTCAAAATTGAAAATGAAATTAATTTTTATTAAACAAATATAAAATACATTTACAATTTTGTTACACAAAATATAAATATTGCAGTAATTGCCAGCAGAAACTATTCACCACTATCTCACATATTTGAGTGAAATCGCCGTAGAATTCACCGGAATTCATTCGTTTGCAGAAAAATTCAGTTAATTTAGATATTATTATAGAATTCAGTCGTTGAAAATTTTGAATTAAGCCCCTAGGTTAAATCGATATAGCAGTTAAATTTTATTCTTATGGAAACTTCCACATTTCAAAAGAGATATCAAGTCACAGGAAACATATTCGAATGAATCGAGCGAATAAAAAATCAAGAACATCAATGAATTTAATGCCAATATTTCATATAATTCACAATATTATGAGCAATAGCACATGTGATTTTTATTCAAGTAAACAAAAGAGAAACCTGTGCTTTAATTGTGTAAATAAAGAAAAGTAAAACGAAGTAAAATTTACGATAAATGTTGCAAGACATTGATTTTGCGATATACTTTTTTCCTTCCCATTTTTCACATTCACACACACACAGAAAAAGAGAGAGAGAGAGAGAGAGAGAGAGAGAGAGAAATCCAATTACATCACTTAATACATTTGAAACGAGTTAATGAACTATGGATTTAGTTTACTGATGATGTTCGAATATAACTTTCCAATGAACAAGACGAAAATGTCGGGTTCATCGTCATTCATTCCATTTGAATGCAATGTCTATTGCAAAACTGTTCACATTTGAATTTGAATGTCTTGCCCTTTGCATACATATTGAACTCATACTTTGCATACTATTTTATATTTGGGTCTACGAATGGTGAGGCTACGATTTATTCAATTTTGTTTAATGAAAATATGTTGTTCCTACAGATTTTTCAATCCATAAAAGGTTTTCTTGTAAATTGTGTGTCAACACAAAAGAAAATGATTGCAAAAGAAAATGCATTTCTACATAATGTTAAAAATCCTCGATTGACGTTGCGAGAGAGAATCAAATCTATCCTGTGTTCAAAAAAACTTGACCGACGGCTTATAATCAATTGGCTAAATTTGATTCAAAATTCAATTAATTAACTTTGATTAAAAACGTCTGGATTTGACTAAAGTTATGTGAAATTGGAACAAATTCCAATTGATTAAATTTAGCTAAAAGCATCAAAAAATGACTAAATTTGACTAAAATCAGCTGAAATTAGTTCAGCGATTTATTGGGAAGTTTAAAATTTAACGCAATATATGCATTTTTTAAAAATAATATTGGTGACCTAGAAAAGCTCTGTCAGTAATTCTATCATAATGCATCGATTGCATTTGAGGAAAATTTGGAGCCTCAATGAAAACGTAAAAAATGAAAATTCAAGAATAAATCGAACTATATATGAAACAAAGCAATAAAGTAACAGCAGCAAAAAAAAACAACAACACAACCAAAATAATTGGAAGAAGAGAAGTAGGGAAGAGCAAACGATAGCAATATAGATAGAAAAAGGCGAAAAAGAGAAAGAGAGAGAAAATGCAAAATGGCACACACATAATGATGTGACCATGACATGATTTTATATTTATAAGTTTATTACGGTTACGTTAATACTTATTTGCTGGCTACATTAACGTATATGTGGTGGGCCGTTGTGTTTTTGTATTGAATTTTTCTTTTTTTCTTTCTTTCTTTTGATGATTATTCTCAAGTGGCTTTGCTTTGTATATGCTGACAACATCTAAGCCAAGTTTTCGCAAAAAGTAAGAGTTTTCGTTGTACTGCTCTATTCTGATTTTTATTCTATACCTTTTGTGTATATGTGACGCAGACAGACATCGTTTAGTGGGATTTTCATTGCATTCAGGCAAAATTTAATTGAGTGTAATTCATGTGGCTTTTGTACACGCAAACGACAGATAGATAGAGAGAGGGAGAGAGAAAAGAAAGAAAGAGAAAGAAAATCATGAATAAAGTTACGAATATAAAATCCTTCGAAATCGGCCGAATAATAATAATATTATACATATGTGTCGTTGAGTCAGAAAATTTAATCATTATGCTTGCTTTGCTACTTTAGGTTGATGATCAAATGAAATTGCTGCAAAATTCATGGTCCGATATGCTTGTCTTGGATCACTTACATCATCGATTGCACAATAATTTGGCCGACGAGACACCACTGCATAATGGTCAAAAGTTTGATTTGCTCGGTTTGGGATTATTGGGTGTCCCGCAGTTGGCTGATCATTTCAATGAAATTCAAAATAAATTGCAAGAGCTGAAATTCGACGTTGGCGACTATATATGCATGAAATTTTTATTGTTGTTAAATCCAGGTACGTATACGATTAGGGTGTTTCCCATATCTATAAATAGAAAAATGGTATTTATTAATTCAAAGTAGGCAAAATTCTATGGTAGTTAATGGCATTTATACAACGAAGCGATTGATATTAGCACTTCCCAAAGCGAAGTCGAATAGTGAAAAATACTCACAGAAAAACAGAGCCTTGGTAGTACTTCCTCGAAATGCTGAGACACAACAGTCAGTCTCAGTTAGTGTAAAAAAATTACAATATTAATTTTTAATTAATTTTCGAGTTAAAATGGTGATTGGTTATGCTTGAGGCTGCTGATTATTTTGAATTGCTTGCTGCTTGATGTTGTCATAATTCGCTAGTCCACCAACTTCTTCCACAATTGCACGAACCATGTCAAGCAGCAACTTTCTTTTGTATCGTTTTAGAGGTGCATTCTGATGTGTGTCTCGAATGGCATCATAGCGTCGAATCGCCCAATCAATTACATTGTCAACATCCTTTTTATCGAACTTCAAACCGGTTGACACTGAATTAAACTGCCAAGCTCTCATTTGCAAATAATTTCGCATGTGTCGTTTGATTTGTTTTCAATTGGCGCGTATAACTTTGGTATAATGTTTTCATGATTTTGTCAAAATATTTGTTGTTTGGTCAGGCAAATTGATTGTCTCGGCTCAGTCCTTGCTCAACAAAATGACGAAAGTGTGGTTCCATGTCCTCGTTTTCTTTGTTCTTTTGTAAAACTGCATAAAAGCAGCGCATGGTATGACAACATCATGGTACTCCGGCCGAACAATTGTTGTGAGGCGCATTTTTATCGCCAATAAGTCATTGTCATTGAATTTTTCGTCCTCGGCCTCCTCCTTTTGTTGCTTTTTTGTTTGATATTTATATCGTTTCTTTTTCGCCTGTTCAGCTGATGTTCCACCAGTTGTCGACATGTTGAACAACGAAATAGAAAAAAAACACGCACAATTTACTATAAAAACACTGATAAAATCACAAATATGTATTTTGCACTGTGTAATTTGTAAATGAATTGAATCAATAGAAAGCACATAAAACGGAGATAGAATTAACACTTGATCTTACCTGATTGATGATCACGACTGAAGTGATATTCAAAATCTAAAAAGAACTCTCTCGAATGCACATCACACTAACACAGTCTAAAGTTGTATCGAAATATTTACAGTTTCAACTTGAGAACGTTTTGTTGATATCAAAACAAAACAAAATCGAATTGCAAGTTATCGATTGACAATGATCCGAATGTTGAATCTGTTGTATTCATAAAAAATATCAACAGAAAGAAATTAACTCCTTCGAAAGCATAAAACAAATACAAAATACGCCGACACATTCAAATTATATGTTTTAGCACTTTAACAATCGAATGCATAGAAATTATGCAAGGAATGCAAATTCAATAAAAAAAAATCAATGATTCTTACAAGTTTCACCACGTTCAAAATGTGACAGATCATTAGACTAACACACAACTCACACTGTATTCCGATGTAAGAAATATTCCTATACTGTTACACCCACAAATTTTTTGTTTATAAACCGTTTGATTAAGGAAGTTGTATGTGCTGAATTAATGAACGGACTCACAGTTTGTGTATGTGTAAACACTAACGAGCAAACGAAACGGCATGACTGTTAGCCTGTCGCGATGGACATACTCAAATCTGTATGTGTTGTATGGACTGCTTGTGTGTTAATATTTATTCAAATCATATACAGACTTCACTGGCTAAAAATTGCTTACACAGAGTTGTGTTGTTCGATTCTGAAAATGCGTTTAACATAAATATTTTCTTTTGTTTATTTATCGAATTCAAAGGAATCGCAACAATAAGTTATCAAAGCTTTTTCAGATATGTTACATTTTCATGCGTTTCATATTTCTTTTTCGCTTCGGGAAGGGCCACTATCAATCGCTTCATTATATAAATGCCATTAAATAATATAGAATTCTGTGTTCTCATTTAGAGATATGGGAAACACCCTAGTATACATATCTCATAATATTGGTAACTGATAAAAATTAATTCTTCTTCGGAATTAATCTATAATGAAAAATGATAATTCCTTAGAGAAAAAAAATTACGTTAACGAACATAAGATAGAGTTGATAATTATTTTTAAATTTATTAAAATCATTCATTTGATTTTGCAGAGGTGCGAGGCATTACAAATTGCAAAACAGTAGTCGAAGGGTATGAAAGCGTTCAAACAGCTTTATTAGATTATACACTCACTTGCTATCCATCAGTTGGGGTAAGTTTTGATGAATTAAGACAATAACATCGTTGAGAAACAAATAGTGTTCGATGGTGAAGTCAAAAAAGAATAATAAGAATCAATAGATTATTTGATTTCTCAAAGTTTAACTTAATATTTCAGTACTGTATTAAAAATGTATCGCAATGTTGCCATCTTATTTGTCGAATATTTTATTATTATTATTATTATTTCTTTTTTTTTTCTCTTAAATTTCATGTTAATGGAAATTATTTTGCACAGGAAAAATTCGCAAAACTGATAAGTATTATTCCGGAAATTCATTCTATGGCTGCGCGTGGTGAAGATCATCTATATTTAAAACACTGCGCTGGAAGTGCTCCTACGCAGACCCTCCTTATGGAAATGTTGCACGCCAAGCGAAAATAAATTTGAGCACGAGCACAAACAAATAATCTACATATAAACGCAATGGGGCACTTTTTATTTAAGTGCATTAAGAGAAACACTCAAATACACATACATACAAACACAATCGCTGGAATTTGCTTCAGCGACCAACGTTAACATCTATGAATTCTGCGTTTCTTCTCTCTGTATGTGCTTTTTTCCAGCAAAAAGTGGCTAAAACAAATCATCAACTGCATTCAAAAAAGCCGACGATGTCTTTTTAGCAGCATCTGACAACAATACATATTAAAAGCAACAAATGAAGAAAATTATACAAAGATAAATACTAAGCTAAGCACCGTTAAGAAATCTAAAGAAGAACGGAGAAATTTGTTTTAAAATATTATTCGTATATTTTTGAAATGGAAAATGGTAACCAGCACTGTTTTTATATCAGTGTTCTTGATATGTGGTGAGTATTGCTTACAATAATTGAAAATGTTCATCAATTCAATTAAGTGCCAGAAATCGTCTCATATTAGATAAAGCACACAGAGGGAGTAATGTTTTGAGAATTAATTCATAAGAATGGAATGGGCATAATAAAATTGAAAATAAATATGATTTACGAACTATATATGACTGTAAGCTGAACAAATTTTTTTCACAAAAACGTAACATCGAAATTGGAATTTTTTTTCAATTAATTGTTCATTGATTAATTTCATTGTTTTTATGAAATTATAAACAATGCTGCATTCCAATATATTTTATATAATGAATCCATTTTTGAAATGACCCATTCATGTAACAAACATGTAAATTGAACCGCCCAGAATAAATTAGCATTACTAGATAAATGTCTTCAAATGCGTTATAGAAAAAAGTACGTCAGCAACAGTGTTGTGTAAAGATATTAGATAAGATGAGATACCAGATAAGATGCCAGATAAGATGATATCTTATATCTTATCTTATCTTTGACGAATATATCTCATCTTATCTAGATAACTAAGTTTTCTTTCGATATCTTGGTGGTATCTTTAAATCTTTTTAAGATATTTTGAGATTTTTACGAAAAAATTCAACAAATTTTGGAAAATATATCTTATCTGCTTATAAAATTATTTATATGAAAAGATAATGAAATTATCTAGATACTTTTGAATATCAAGATACTTAGAGTTATCTAGATACTTTTGAGTATCTAAAGTCCAGAATTTTTGTGATTTTTTCTGCGTAAAAATATCTTTGAAAGTATCTAAGATACACCCAAGATATTATCTTATCTTTGCGTTTTTTAAGATAAGATATGGTATCTTACCTAGATAAATTTTTTGCAAAACTAAAAAAATCTCATCTTATCTAGATACCAAAAATTTTACAATTACCCAACACTGGTCAGCAATAGTGTCAAAAACTGTATGTGACGCGTTATATAAAAAAGTTCGCCAACAAAAGCGTGACATCGTCCATATATTTTATAACGCTTTTGCTGACTGACTTTTTTCAGTAACGCATTTGAAGACATTTATCTAGTAATGTTGATTTATTCTAAGTGATTCAATTAATACTCTGAACAAAATATTACCTCCTCAAATAAAATAATTTAATTAAAGATTTACTCTCTAACACTTTTGATTTCTATTTCAGATTTGAAAGCACGTGCTTATTTTAAAAATGGCATTGTGTGCATACCAATTAAGGTTGTCGTTTATTGTTCATTTTTGTTCCGAATGTGTAGAAGTAGCGATAAGGCAGTGTGCACCTCTCAGCACCCTCAGTATTCATTTCGTCTTGGTCACAACAGATTTAAATCATATTTTATCAAAAGAAAGAGAAGGGATAAGGAAACGCCAGCGAAACACAAAAATGCACCCGAGGAACAAATCGTCGTTGGACGACATAAATCAACAAAAAAAAAAACACAACAAATTTATTGCTTAATATTTTACTGTACATAAAGAAAAAAATTGAATGTACATTGAATCAAATGAAAAAAATGGACAACAAACCATTAACAAGTGAATTTGTAAATATTTCTTCTTAATTGTTCATTTTCTACGTTTATTTTTAATTTTATTTCAATATAATCAATTTAACTGTAAAACATAAGCCGTAGATATATGTGTACTGTCATTCAAGAGTATTTGGAATTTTCAATTATTTTAACTTTATTCATTGAATTATTTTGGCTAAAATTTGCTATCGCAATCACTTAATTCAAAAGAATCCAATGAGTTACGTGTTTGTGTCCAAATATTCCGTTTATTTCTTAGTTGATAGCAGATGATTAAACTGAGTTTAAATAAATAAGAACTACGTGTTAATACATATAATTTTTTGCGTAATGTTGAGCATAAAAATGTAAGAGAAGAATATATATTATATGAAGATAACGATGCAGTTATGCCAATTCACACAGCCAGATTGAAAGTGATGCATAGTCCGGTTAATCATCCTTAGAAAATAAAAAAAAACGTAAAAAACCTAAATTACTAGAATTTTATTCTATAAACAATTTTGTTACCAACACATCTCAGCGAATCAACAAAATACACAGCGGTTAATGAAAAAAAAAAAATAAAACATCTACCTTCTGTTGATAAAGATAATGATTTAAAAAGTTGAAAAATTTATGTTAGTGTGAATATAATTAAGTAAACAAATATGTATATGTATATTTTAATTGTTAAATTAATGAACACTACACAAACTAACATATTCACACATAAGTTGAGAGATTTCACATATATTTTTGATGGCAAAAACCTAATGATATGTTAACACATGTTCACGAAAATCAGATTTGGATTGGACAGCAATTTTTTATCTTCTTTTTTTGAACCAATACATGCATAATGCATAATATATACAATACGAACCATACAAATTGTATTTTTCTTTTTTGTTTGCGTTTTATGAAAGATGTGTTTTTTTTATTCAAAATGTAACATTTGAATTCAAAGAATAATGCTTACGAATGATAGGAATTGGAAATTGTTTGAATCTTTTTTTTGAGTTCCAAAAGTTTTAGATAAAAAAAATTAATATGATTCCCGAATTATTACATAAAATATATTCCCATGCTATGTAAAATGACAATTTGGCGCAATCACCAGATTCAGTACGTTTGAAATCGATAAACGTGGCACAAATGTGTCCACTATTTATTTTTGTATATTAACAAAGTTTGATGAAATTAGGCCTACACTGAAAGAACTTTAATTTAGATTTTACCTTTTGGTTGAATTAATATGTGAGATAATAATTTGTGCATGACTTGTAACGAAGAAAAATGAAATGAAGCGGATTGGCATGCATATATTGTTCTTTCTTTTAAATAAACATATGAATTGTTTTCACATGAGCCCAAAGCCAAGCAAATAGTTCATCTTAAAACCAAATTCTACATGGACCTTGGTACATTCGGCAACCACAATTTCAATGAGTTGAGTGAATAGCAAACCGTCCAATGTCCAATTCGTAAATTCATATAATGGCACATCCTATCGGCAAAACTGTGTTCCAATGCTACTTTAATCAAAATATTTGTTTTTCATTGTGTTCTTGATTAATGTATATTATTACTATTATTGTAATTATTATTATTAATATTAATATTATTATTATTATTTTATGGTTTTTAAGTATATTGGCATTTTGTCCAAATAGGTTTTGTTGTTCAAATGATCATTGTCCATGTTTGTCTCTTGATGAGGTTTAAAGTCAAATGCAGAATAAAAGAAATCAAATGCATTTCTCTTCTAAAACTATTGAAATATATTTGTAGAATGAGAAAATTGAAATAATTTGAACAAAATATTGAAAAAATATATATCGCCGATAGGTTCATGTAAAAACAAGAACGAAATCATTTGTGCTTCAATCAAAACAACTATATTTTCTATTTTAAATGTATTTTTAAAAAAGCATATTTTGTCTCATTTTATTTACCTTATTTTCTTCTTCTTTTTTGATATTTTGACAAAAAGAAAAAAAAAACCACTCAAAATCAATCAATCAAACAAACAAACAAACAAAAGCACTATTATTCTTAAATTAAAATTACATTATTTAAATTCAAGTAAAAACAATAAAAATCAATAAAGAATAACACAACAAATTGTATTCTGAAATTATATTGAATATTCGGCGAGTATTTATCATTGTTAATTTCACAAAAGAACCCAGAAATGTAGTCAACTTTTTTCATTTCATTCAAATTTTCGCAAGACCCCTTTGCTCATCATATGTTCTACGCGAATCGTTTAAAAAAAATACACGAAAAACTTCTTAAATCTTCTGTTTTTTTTTAAAGAATATATTTGATGTGATTGATTACTTGATTACATGTAGTTAATCAAAAAAAAATATTTCAAATAATAATGCTCAATGGTCAATGCTTTTTACAAAGTAATAGAAAAACTGAAGAAATGCTCTCTTTCTATGTTTGTTCGATTTTATCAATATTCAAGTATGAAACATTGGCGAAATTTCAAAATATCAGTACTTATGTCAAATTTTGGGTTTTTTATGCACGATTTTGTTTTAGCCATTTGAATAACTGCAAAATAATGAATATGAATGTTGGGGAATGAATGCGGGACTTCAAAGATGCTATTGTGATGTTGCAACACCATCATAGGGGGAGAGGAGATTACCCCCCTGTTGCGTTACCTTTACAAAATTCACGATGTTGGAACTAGAATTTTTTTGAAACTAGAAATTGCATGAATATCCCCATGGTATTTTGTTAGGAGCAGAGCATGAATATGTCACTCACGAAGAGTGCGCTTGCTGGGAGCCGCTCCCAGCTATGGATATGTTAGTGTGACTAACGTTGTTCGTATTAGTGTGTGATGTATACCAATACGAACTCAGGAGCGGCTCGTGACAAGTACACCACGCTCTTCTGAGGCGCGTTCTTCACAAGTGCGATTTCATACTCTGGCTAGGAGCTTTTGAGGAAATTCAATTCAACTATTGGGTGTATCGATTAATTTTAAAGGATTGATAAGAGATGGCGTAACTTGAAATTGTGTGTAGCTTGACAGGTGAATCCAATTGCATTTTGTACATGTGACATTTGCCAATCTAATTCAGAGCAGAAAGATTTATTTTTGACACAGTATCATTATTTTCTGATCGATTCAAAATGAGTGATGAAAAAGTGTTTTTCTGTCTGGCCCCCCTTTGGTTCAATTTTTTCACTTTAAATAACGTGAAAATACATCTAAAGGTTATAAAATGTTGCAGGAGACGAGAACTCTCAATCGCCACAGAGAATGTTGAATTTGGTGAGAAAGAAGTGGTGAATTTGTTGAAAAACTGTGAAATCACCAAAAAAAATTGAATGTTGGGCTATTGGCGTTTTTTATTCGATAAAGATGCATGAAAATGCATCAGAAAAACATCAGAAGCATTAAATATATGCGAATCAATCGTTTTAAGACATTTGTAATGAGATAAGACCAAAGAAATTGTATGCCACACCAGCTGAATCCAAAACTAGTTGTTAGATGTTTTTTCACATTTTGGCACAATGTTCCAAAAATAAGAAAGAAAGGAATTTTTGTATCGTATTGTAACTGGAAGTGAAGAGGGCATCTGCTACGATAACCCCAGGCATAAAAATAAGGGTTCAATCCCACACAATCATCAAAATCTACAGCATAGCAGGATTTTGATGATTTCTCGGTAATGCTCATTATTTGGTGGGGATAAGGTGGTTTGGTGTATAATGAGCTGCTGAAACAGGGTGAAACAGTCACGGGGGATCGGCATCGATTACAACCAATACGTTTGAGCGGAGTACTGAGAGAAAAATTGAAAAAAACTGCGACAAGAAATAGTCGAAGGATTTATCAAAATTTGACATATTTCAAACATCGCAAAAAAAAAGATAGGGGACTCTGGTCGGGATGAGCTTGATCAACCCGCGTACTCTCCAGACCTGGCTCCTTCTGATTACCACTTGTTCCGATCGATGAAAATCAGCCTGTTCGATGAACACATTCAAAATTATGAAAAAGCGCGAAATTGGATCGATGAATGGATAGCTTCAAAAGATGAGGAATTCTTTCGACACGGAATCGACAAGCTACCAAGAAGATGGGCGGAAGTCATAGCCAACGATGGGCAATACATTGGTTAAAAAATATTGTACAGTTGTTTTTAAATAAATGTATCTTTTCACCCAAAAATCCTTTAAAATTAATCGATACACCCAATACATAGTATGATAACCGTTTACGATCAAATTTGGGAAGCATTTTTTCATTAGTCATTTTTAACGTGAAAATGGAAATAAAAAAAAAACAAAAAAAAAACATTCAATTAGCACTAAAGAATATTGTGCAATCATGGCTGCTACTAGGGCTGCAGATTTCCATAGAATAGAAGTGGCGCATTGATGACATTGTGAATCCATAGAATATTGCATTTGTTTGGTTTGATTCTTTGACAGTATCAAATTGACATCAAACGACGTACATTTTGAAATGGACCTCAGTGAGTTGAAGTGGTAACATCGAGGACTAGCTCGCTCAAATGCATTAGGATAGTGATAGTGATGAACAATCGGATTTGTGATGGTTGAAGATATCGCTTGAGATGCCATATACTCATCAAGCATACGAATCACACGAGTCCCTGGTTTCCTTTATTTTAAACTGTGAATTATATGATGTTGTCACCTCTGCCGGTGCCAAAGGTGTTCTTCATTCCAAAATCGATCAAAATTGATTACAAGGGAGAGAACTTTGGCAAAGAAATTGAAAGAATTCTTCTCGCCGACTCGATTCATAACACACCGAATTTTATTTCATTTCGTTGTAAAATTTGGAATATGGAAATAACACTATGCTCAAGACTTCTTCTCAGAAATATATATCGATTGGTTTCAAAACACTGGCGAATGATAGAATAAACAAATGATTCACTACATTGATTGTACGATACCTTTATATTTGTGTCTGCATGCTATTCGTGAGATCAAATCAAAATTAAACAATACACTACTAAAAAAAAGACACAGTAAAAAAATATGGTGTGGTAAAAACGGCAAACTTAAGCCATGTGACTCTTCAAACGACAGAAATTGTCACTTTTGAGGATTTTTGTGTTTGATAAAAAATATTACTATGTTTTCAATATTGCTTACTTTGATTCTTAGACACTCAGGACATAAACCAGAAAACGAACAAAAGGGAATTCTAAACAAAGTCAAAATAAGAAAGTTACTAATTTTATTAAGGCCGATTTTCACAAATCATGATCACAAATGATCGGAAAGTAACGTGCACAAAATTTCAGCCTCCTAACTCAATGCCAATCGATTACATAAATTGATATATTCCACTACCATAATGTTGCCGCACAAATATATATTGTATATATATATCCTCTTGAATATGAATACAAATCTTCAAAATATTGATTAATCCATTCACAACACAAGCTCAAATGGAACAACATCAATAAAGAAATTCAGTTTCCACCGCATCGGAAACAAACTCAACTATACAATACACATAATGGATTAATAATCAAAGAGTTAGCATGTTTATGACACCGATGTTGATAACGTTGCAAACAAAATATTCTGAGTATAGATTCTATCAAATGTTCATATGTTTTAACGTGATTTGAGCCGAACATAGAAAAAAACAATTTATTTATATTTAGTTTTAGAAAGAAAATACATCTCTGAATTCTCATACTGATATTGAGTACCATTGTTGATTGAATTGACGTTATTTTTATTTAAGAACAAAAGTTGCAACAATCATAAAGGCGCATAGAAAGATGCGTGAAGAAAAATTGGCCATTGACAGGCATTGACGATGCCGCATAGTTTTCTCACATATCATTAATTTAATGCTCTAGAATTGTCGCAGATCAAAACCATTTTTGTTTTCATATACATTGTTGTTTATGATTGAAATTTTTTTGTTTCGCGTTGATCTTTCGTCACAGATAATATTCTCTTTTTATTTTAGAGCACTCGAAGCACTCGAATGCTTGGAAATTAATGGTAGTACTCTTCGGATGGAAATCACCGCTGCTCTAAAAAACATGATATTATTACTATTACATTTGAAATATTTCTTCAGAATTTTGTTTCTGCACTTGTCTTTGCGAAATGCACAAAAATATAATATCAAAAAATTCAATTTGATGGAATAATTAGGAGATAAAATGATGGTTTGTGTACATTTGAAATCAAACATAAATTTAACTTTGAATGTGTGTAATAGAGTTATGAATTAAATATAAGAAGAATATATAAATCATTAACAGCTTTGATAGTAATTCTCTCAGTCAGTTAAAATTTAAATAAAATTAGTGTAAGATGACTCTATTTTTGGAAGATTGACTTGAACTTAAAAGAAAAAAAAGTAGCGCTATCTATTTGATTTTATCCTAGTTGTATGATCTGTATGAACAATAATCCTTTCCAGAATGGTTTCAATTTCTGGATTATAAAGTGAAAAATGTTAAATTAATTTACAGTTAATTCATGCAATCAATTGGCTAACCATAAATGTGGTATTTGTTTTTCAAAAAAAAAAACAAAATCTAGGTCTAAAAACAGTACTTTTTATCTATTATTAGCATTGGAATTAAATAGCAGATCAGTATATTTGCTGAATAAATATCTACTGATATCTTCAGACGCTGATTCTCAGCCGCTGAGCTCGTTAAATACAACGCAACATCAGACAAATTTTTGCATTCTCTTTCGCGCGAACTTTCTTCAAATGTGTTCACTGTTACGTTGGTGCGTTGTATTTAACGCGCTTAGCGGCTGAGAATCAGCCTCCAAAAATATCAGTAGATATTCATTCAGCAAATATACTGGTCTATAAAATGGAAATGAGAACTAACGATAAATTTATGATGATAAAAAAAGAATATGTTAAAGTTAAAGATGTTGAGAGAAAGGATGTCACTGCTTTGAAGCTAGACCCAATGTAAAAAAAAAATTCTTCAAAATTATTCCATATATATGTTGGTAATAAATTTAATTCATATTGGTTAAATGTTTCAATGTACTATAAATAAAAAAAAATCTTAGTATTTAATATGAAAGTAAGATAATTTCTTCGATAGCAACGACTCTGTTCCGTGCTGTAGGAATTTCCTTTACACAGATTCTTTTTTGTATCACAATTTTGTCTCTTTTTGAAGTATAGAAAATGTGTTGGCTTGTTGCCATTTACTTTTAAGGACTGTATAGCTATAGCAACAATTTTTAACGTAAAATCTTCCAACAACGCGAAAAATTCACTGCCGAATATTGGGCTGGATTTGTGTGTAGTTTCAGTCATTTCAATGTCACAATAGAAATCAAAAAGAGAAACAATTTCAACTGGAAGGATAGAAAAATTTACTTAACTGAATTTGCATCGTTTTTCTATGTCTTGCATTCACACATGTGTTCGGGATTTTCCCCGGACTACAAAACGAAAAAATTGTATTTTGTCCCCAATCTGAACCTTTCAAATACTTCGATGTGATGGGGTTGTTTGACGATAAAGTGATGACCTTCTTTTGCTTTTCACAAAGAAACATATAATAAACATGCAATCAAAATCCAATAAATCACTTTTGCGTCGCTTTATACAGGATGTATTGGCAATGTCAAAATCTCAATGGTTTAGCAAAACCATTCTAGGACAAATTTGGCTATTTTATCAACTGTGCGAATAGAATCACAAAAAAAATTTTGAATTTTACCATCATTTTAGAGAGATTTTAGAGCATTTTATGCCCAACATTTTCTTTTATTGCAAGTAGATAAAAGATTTCTGTGGGAAATATTCTCTATGGGAAATTACACCTATAATCTACGTTCTATTTGACGAAAACTACCACTAAAATAGGCCAAAGCGTTACATTTTCAACGTTGAAATGGATGAAATACGTTACAAATTTGCTTCTTGGCTATATAAATGTACCTGGGATTATCAATAATCATTAGGAAATTAAAAAGAGAAAACATATATAATTTTGTAACTGACCAGAAAACAGAAACGATACTTATGAAAATATTTAGAAAAAAAAGACAACCAAAAAATGTGTGAATAAAGTTTGTGACTCAGGAAGGAAAATTGAAAGAATTAAAACCATAATGGTAGTTACATAGACTTGTTGAGCTGTGCCGACTTCCTTATTATCAATTATAAAATGAATAAATTTTATGATTATAAACGACGGAACATTATTTTAGCACATACACAACATGTGTGTATACGAACAAATATGTTGGATTGAAACTGTTTTAGTGTGGTAACATTTTGAAGAAGCCACGAAATTCAAAATAAAAAGTTATAAAAGAAGTATACTAGCACCACTATGCTGTTTCTAAATCTGTATTTTGAATGAAATTAAGTGGTATATGAATAAGTATGAAAACTTAATGTTATATCTGAATGTAAAAAAATTAAAATGAAGTTTATTTTTTGAAGGCAACTTTCAGTTGTTGTTTTTTTATTGAATCGTTTGTGTATCTATAGTATTTGCTAAAATGATCGTAGCCAATTTACCAAGAGAAGAAAATACAGGCAAAATTCACGGTAAAATCAATTCATGTGCTAGAGAAAAAAACTCCGCAGATCGAAAAATATCACGGTCCACCAAGTGACGCAATACCCACATGCATATGAAATATGTATATTTTGCGTCACTCTATATATACGTTAAAGAAATGAAAATCGATACCGCTGACTTTTGGAAAGAGGTTTTTGCATATTTTAGTAGTGTTCGGGATCAAAATTAAGAATCTGCACATAAAATTCAAATTTTGGCCGCCAGGTGGCAAATTTTGGCCGCTGAAAATTCCTTTTCTCGATTTTTGACCTCCGAAATTATTTTTTCAAAAAAAAAATGGCTATATTCGGGATCTAGGGCCCGCTTCGATAATGTCAAAAAAAGATCATGACGATCGGTTGAAAAGTGGACAAAAAAGTGAAAAAGTTTTCCCGTAGTTTTTGAAAAAAAGTTTTGGAACCAATTTCTATTGAAAGTAGACTGAAAACTGAGCACACTCATTTCTTATGGTCAGTTTTAAAAAATTAGTTGTGCAAGTGATTTTGGTCTGGGCTCTGGGGTCGAAAATTTTTGGGAGGCTCTTTTTGAGTTTTTTTCATCAATCGGACATTTTTCTGGCCATCTGTAAGGTACAACAATTATTTATAATTTATTAGACTCATCTTTCCGGATCCGAAGTTAGTTTGGAAAATTTTGTTTCAAAAATGTCCACCAGGTGGCGTGTTATGTGACATGTTCGGCGAAAAATGACCATGACTTTTTTCACTTGATCCAAATTATCTCTAAAAAATGTATGACTGGCTTGGCTTTTTTCCTCTTAGATCGAAAGCGCACTCAATTTTGAGCCGATATGGACATTTTGAAACGAAAACATTCTTTTATTTGGTGAAAATTGGTAAAAGTGTGAACTTAAGCGGGCCACCTATATTTTAATATATTAGTAATCAACTGCAATGTAATAGGTTTTTATTTTCTTGGTCCACTTTGACAACTGATTTTACATAATTCGGACCAGAGAAATTCAATGGTGGTAACCGTTTTGAGAAGTTAATTCCATTTTTTGTGACTTTTCGGCTTGAAACCATTCTTTTGTAATGATATTTTGGAGTAAATTGGTTTCTCATTCGATTGCTATGAAAATTGGTATTTGGGGATTTTTGGTACGAGAAAACCGAATATGACATTTATTTTACGACAAAATCAGGTCTCAACACACTTAGCGTAAGGATTTCGTCGAATCATATACATTCTCTAGTAATATCTGTCATTGGTCCAATTCTTTCATTGTGTTACATACTCTTCACGTGTTGACAAAATCGACGTATATTATTTTACAGAGCCAGCGGCAAGCGAACGTGGCCGAACTATGTCGAGAATATCAGTAGCTAAAGGAAGCAGCTTAAATTTCAGGGGCCGAAAATCGAATTCGCCTATGAATTTATGCGGTAAGAGTGCCCCAAAGCCCATTACAAACACTTTTTTTCATACCAACGCAAAACAATTTCTATATTTTGGAATGTTGTATTGCTCTGGCTTTTCGTTTGAATACATAAATAAATTCATACAGAAGATTTGATAAACTTGAGTCTTGGGAATGGTTAAGAAAGTTATGTATGCACTGTTGCGATTCTAGGAAGCATTCTAACATTGTAAAATTTCAAATTTATGGATAATACTACAAACCAAAAGTTTTTTGTTTAAAATTAAAGCAGTGCAAACTGCAAACTAAACTTTCAATTTAATAAAACAATTATTCTATTTTACTCGATTTCTTGTTGTTTAGTTTACAACAAAAAATCCTAATCTTAATTAACAATCTTACTTTTTCGCATTAGTTTTTATTTATTTGAAAGATCTAAAAATGGTTTATTATTTCGGTGTGTGTTATCAATAAATGGGTATTCGTTTATATCATTTCATTTCACAAAATTATGTAAATATATTCTGATGAAAGAGCAGGTGTTATAATTTTACTGTTTCTATACTCTTTACGATCCTTTGTATTTAATGAAGTTTTTTTTAACTTGGACAATGGTACAACATTCATGGGCAATATCTTTCATTCACTCGCTTTGCATTTATTTGATTTTCCAACTTCGAATAATATTGCATTTATAATCAAAACATGCACTCTTAAATTTTTGTTTGTTATCATTTTTCTTTTCAAACATATTTACAAAACTTTATTTGAAAAAAAAAAAATTAAAAAAAAACAAAATTTCCATTTTGCAGATAAGCTTTTAATCATCGTTCATATTAAAGTAATAGTTTCCTTTTGCAATGCACATTTCACAAATGATTGCCCGAAAATGAATGTGAGATTTCTCCTGAGAGACTAGTCAGAATTTTTTGTATGACGGTGTCACATAAATTCTTAGGAGAAGTCTCACATTCATTCTCGTATAATCAAACATACTTTGCCTATTTTCAAATTAGTATGGAAAGCATGATAGAAATTAATGAAACTACCAAAGTAATCATTCCATTAGAGTTCTCTTGGTGAATAAATATTATTTGTTCTGTACATTGCCTAAAGTTGCGTACTGGCTGTTTATACTACTGTAAAAATGAGCAGGTTATTTGTGATTCGTTCTATGAATTGAATTAATCTAACTCTTCATGCATTACATTCTTTTTGTCGCGTCATTGAATTTCAATTTATTCGCGATTGATTGTTGCACAGTTGAATATGTAACTAAAAATATTGTACTGTTTTGACGTACATTTTATGACGTAGATACAGATTCTGGTTTGGGACGTGCAACTCCGCCTCGTCGTGCACCATCACCGGGCATGGGAAATCAAATCGTCATTTGTCTTCCCCATCTGGCCCAGGCAGCCTCCCGCCTGGTTTCATGAATAAACGACGTGTGTTTGATGACGGTTCTAGCGATATTTCATCGACCCCTAGCTCGATGCTGGAATATTCTGGTTTGTAGTTTAACAAAAGAAATTATATCGAACGAAAAATATATTCAGAGCAAATAGACGCAAACCAACGTGGTATTAATCTAGAACGTTAGGTACTATGCGAACCGAAATGAATGGGATATAGAATTTGAAAATATTCCCCTATCTGCTTACAAAGAATAACCGTTTAATTACTTCTGATAATATGACATTTCCGCATCGTGTATACTCTTTAAAATGTTTCGTTTGTTTCGTTTGATTTTTGGGCAACTCTTTTGATATTAGATTCATCAGCATGCGAAATCACTAACAAAAACGTTATTATCTTTGACTCGCCTTCCAAACTATTATCTATTCGATGAATTTATTAAAGGTTTATTTCTTCACACTGCCACAAACACACAAAATACAAGCTGCGTAACTAGCGCAAACTTTTTTGTATTAGGATATCCATATAATGGCAGCATAAATTCAAAATGCAAATAAAATAGAGAATACATATTGAATGAATTACGGTTTTAAAAAAACGAAATGTCATATTTGTCGTATGATTTTTGGATAAAGATTAAATTTTCAGATATATTGAAAGGGAAAACATTTATTTTTTTCAACAAACATCCCATGTATTAATACTTCAACATAAACCACAGATCATTTACTTACCGTAATGCGACTCATCTCAAAACTGCGCATCTGAAACTGTGCTTTAGAAATTAATATAAAAAAGATCCAATTACAATAATAATTTATTCTTTCTGCACTACTAGGTCCCAAATTATACAAACAGCCAACGACCAAATCCAACCGAGGTATAATACTAAATGCTGTTGAATACTGCGTTTTTCCAGGAGTAGTAAACCGTGATGCTAAGCAGAAAGTGCTTGATAAAATAAATCGAAGCGATGCAAAACACTTTCTCATATTGTTTCGGGCTCTTTACAGTTATTGGCCTGAAAATGAATCTGTACTGAAACTTTATAGTACTGGTCTAAGCCAAGTAGATGAATTTATGTTCGATAAGTTTTTCAAGTAAGTTTACTTTTTTTTGAACCCATTAACTTTACTCTAATTTAAATCAAGATACTGAAAATACGAAAATATTTTTTCATTGCGTTTCTTAGATATAATTCCGGTGGAAAGTGCTTTTCGCAAATTCACACAAAACATTCGACAGTAACAATCGATGTCTTTACCATACATAATTCACTTTGGCAGGGGAAAAAGGTGAACTTGCCAAGTAAAAAGGACATGGCGCTCGTTATTTAGGAACTTTGGCGAAACATACAGGTTTCAATATCATCAATTTGTCACAAAGAAGGCAAAATTTGAACAAAATGTGATGAAGAATATTTAAAAATATTATTGTCATTATTATAATGTTTTCACATCCAATATTGAAAAACAACATAAAATAACTATTTTCTTTCATTGTATGCCACGGAAAATTCCAGAAACTTGAATTCATAACCTTCCCGTATTTGATCCGAGTAGTTACACAGTTACAGTTAACCGAGTAATGCGCTATATGTTTTATATGAAAACGTCACACGAATCTCCCCCGAAAACGACATCTTTGGTCTTGCAGCAGAAGCTGTTTCTATGCTGAAAATTTCATTTCAGTTTAAAAAAATTAAAATATTATGCATGTAGAATTGTACAAATATTTTAAAACTTTGAAATGAGATTTACAGAAATATGCATTTGAAAATTGTTTTAAAAAATAAACACGGCACAGTCAATTTCAAACATTTCAATGAATAATATTGTTGACATATTTTCACGATGACAGCTATTTTTGCGGTACAAAATTGACCCGCATTTTGGTTACAGTATTTTTTTAAATACACTACGGTTGCAACCATATTAAACGTTCAAAAACAAGTTTTCGAGTGATAAGGCTAAAAGACATTTTCGATGGCATCCAAATGTAATTTTTAAAAACATTTCTTCGGGTTAAAAAAAAATGCCTTTCAATATCGGCCAAAAGATAGCATTGTCTGCGACTATGTAATGAACAACTCAAATAATACACTGAATATGAATGAACCTTGAAATGGATTATAGGCCTGATAATGACAGTCTTAAAAGTATTTTTACAAGTATGAAAAATATTGAATTCTAATTGACATTTTCCTTACTAAATGAGGAGAATTTTGTTTTTATATATATCACAAATTTAGTCATTTGTAAAATTAAAAAAATTAGAGAAAAAAACACTAATAACGAAACTAACTTAAAGAATAACATCCACACATTACACATATTTAGAAAGATTTAAAAATATTTTTAAAGTATGTTTCCATATTTCCAATTTAAAAACTGAGTTGGTTCAAGAAATATAAATACGGAAGTAAAAATTATGTGTTAAATGTTATGTGTGTGTGTTTATGTGGTTAAGAAAATTATTTAAACACAAGGTGTTACTTGAAATAAAAATCGTTATATGTCATGTCGTTAACTGGTGCACCAGTCAGCATGCTGACTTAAACAATTTATTAATGTGAATTTCATCGAGTCTAATTTTCTTTACTTTTAGCAAGCATTTGGTTTTAAACAAAGAAGTAATAAATTAATAAATTTAATAAAATGGATTAAATTAATTTTACTGTCTTGATTATTTATGCAGAGTTTTAATTTTAAAAATGTTGCTGCGATTAATGTATGAATGGAAAACTGAGAATAAATATTGAAGTTTTAAAGTCCAATTGTCTCCAAAATATGGCTTTTTGAAACAATACCCGTGTATACGAACTGCACTTAAAAATAAGTGTGCACACTAAAGTTCACACTTATCCAAATACGTTGTATATGTATGTGTATTGGATGCACAAAAACATACGAACTAACGCACATTCCTCTTTGTATTACTCGCACCAACGAAAACAGTGAGCATATATAATGAATTCAATGTTTACTAGATCACAGTGCTGTTGTATGCTCGCTGTCTTTGGTGCGAAAAATACAAAGAGGAATGTGCGTTAGTTCGTATGTTTATGCACAACCAATACACATACATATACAACGTATTTGGATAAGTGCGAACTTTAGTGTGCACACTTATTTTTAAGTGCAGTTCGTATACACGGGTAACGGTAAGACCAAGGCATACTTACTCAAAAATTACTATTCAACTCCTCGAGTACCGCGTCGAAGTGATGAAAAGATACATGTTTTTAATTTAGCATCTATGGAACTTGAAAATGAAATGGGCAATCTGTGTCTGTAAGTTTTTTGAAAAATGATGTTTATATATATTTGTAATGTTTTTTCACATTTTCTTCTGATTGACAGCGTCGATGAAATTGATGAACGATTTGTGAGCAAAGTTAAAAAAGTGGTTGAAACTATCAGAGAAACTCATGCTGTTTTATCCGAAATTAAGTTAGTATTGCACTAATTTTTCTTCGTAATTTCAAAATTACATTTATTGAAATTTTTTTTTCAGAATAAATTTTGAATCGCGTAATACAACTCCGAAAAATGCATCCAAGAAAAAGCTTTCTCCAGAAATCATTAATTCGATGAATCATCTATCTGATTCAAATTCAACTTCCGAATCGTCTCTGGATGCAGATTCCGATAAACGAAAGAAACCCAAGCGCGGATTCAATAGAACAATATTCGAATTCAAAAGTGCACTTTTAGATTTGAGAAGGGAAGCAAATAAAATGATGTAAGTTCAAAAAATATGATCTCCTTATGCTATCTTTATCTCAAATGTTAACTTTGACTTAAAGGCTTGATTCCAAAGGTGATGATTTGATTAAATATTTTGAGGAGTTTAATGAAATACGACTAGATGTTTTAAGTCGCTTAAAGGAAGAAAGGTATGTGATAGAGTTAAAATAAAAGGATTTAATTCAGTTTTGATATTAAATTCATTTGAATTTTATTCTAGTGATAAATTGTCTACATTTATTAAACGGCATAATGGGGAGAAAGAAGAAAAAAAGATGGCTGACTTGGATAAAATTATTGATGCAGCAGCTGCACAATTATAGAAGTAAATCGTTGTTTTCACGCCTCATTTTTCAAATAAGTTATTGCCATGCTCTGAAGATCGTAATTAGATCTGCATTTTCCATTTGCCTAAAATGTCATATTACATTCTTCTTTTTGTTATGAAATCGACTGAAATAAAAACTGATTTTTCGACATCAAATAAAATCTCTGTATTTAAACAGTGTGCCCGTGTATATTTGTTCGTTGTTCGTAGTTCGCTTGTGTCTATTTCTGCAATTAATTTTTTGTCAGTGAAACGAAGCCGCAACTTTTGATCATATTTTTTCAAATTTCTTTGGGATATGAGCTCACTTTAATCCTCACCCATTCATTTTTGGTGTGTAAAATGCAAATAATTTTGATTTATGATTCCAATTTTTATTTTAATTTAATTTAACTTAGCTTAACTAAAAAACTTAAAACTCAAAATACACAGAGTAGTAAAATAACTTGTGAACTGGACCAGTTTAATTGCTACAACACCATCCGCCATTTTTATTTTTTATTGTTTTAGTTCGATTGATTCGTATGCAGTGCGACAAATTTTCTCGAAAATATTTTATTTCTCTTCTTCATTTCGTTGTTTCAAATTGTTCCCCTGCCAGAGCTATCAATGAAAGTCAATTCAAACTTGAAAAATTATCGAAACATTTTGTTGTTTCAAATTAAAATTAAAATGAATAAAGAGGCTTACGTACGCAAGGTGACTTTTACGCATGGAAAACCAAAATTTCGGGAATAAACTGAATTTATGGTCTATGTATGGCTGCAGTAACTTAAATTACCGTGAAAACTTGTGCATATTATTTTCTTATCAAAATAAAAAATCACACCAAGTTTAAAGAAATTTCAATCAATAAAAATAGCCCGTTCAACGTTTCATATCATTACGGTACCACAAAGGCATGTCTTTCATGCAAATTTAGATTCGGATTTCTCGTGCCAACAAACCCCCCACTACATATTCTTTCAGTGTTCAAATTGAAAGAAAATCATTTTAAGGCATTTTTCTCATAAGTGCCTCTTCAGAGTCTAAGCTTTACACCGATCAATCAATGTCGTTGAAAAATTGACCAGATCTATTCCTCGTAGTGCCCAATCATCTCGTAAAGTCAGATTTTGAATTTCATGTCTGAGCACGAAACCATCGTATCACCAAAATGGTTGAAAAATGATCAAAAAATGTATTGATGTGACTGTAGGTACTCCATTCGGACCAAAAAAATTACACCGCTCAACAGATATTACTCAAAAACTAATCAGCACGTCTCCTAGTAGTCCCAAATCATCCTGAAAAGTCAGAATTTGAATTGAGTTTTTGGAAGAAGATTTATCGAGTTAACAAATTTTGGCAACACGCCACAGGACACAGGACACATCACACACAGCGACGCACATTAATATGCCCCAAAATCATCTCCAGTCGTGTTTTCACATGAAATATGCATAGAAAACATGTTTTGGGGCGACTTTAATTTTTTGGCCTAATACAATACCTTTCCTACACTAGGTGTGCGGAAAAGTAAAATTGAAATCCAAACTCAAAAATGTAAAAATATTTATTTTTTTTTGAAAAAATCGTTATACACAGCTTACCAATCCAACCATTTCATCTATTTTGCTAATTTGATACTTTGTGTAACATTTGTCACACGCGTGTGTAACACTTGTCATGTAAAAAGTATCAAAATTGTGTAAAAACTGTCAAAATTGTGTAACATTTGTTACTTTTGTGTAATATTTGTCATTTTTGTGTTACATTTGTCGGCTACCATGAATATTCATATTTTAATGATAACATTTTTCCACATAATTGTTAAAAGTAAAAAAGTGTGTGTAGTTTTGTATTAAAATAATTTGTTGGTGTTCGTTTTATTAGTTGTCATCGATTTTATAACTATCGAACTAATAAAATGAATTCAAACAAAATATTTTAACATTCTAAATTTGAACAAAAAATATGGAAAATGTCATCATTTATCGACGTCATTTTAAATGCAATTAACAATAGATTGAGGTTTTTCAAAATTTATTTTATTTTCATCATGATCTGAATACAATTACAATGATTTAATAAAAATTGAACCAGAGTGAAGTTGAAGTCTCCTGTTGTATTCACTTTAAAAGTCTCCGTTTGAGAAAAAGTTGAACATCGCACTAAACTGATCTAAAAATTCTGACTTAAGAGAACTTATTGCCCTTTGATGTAATCGGCTCACATTTTTGGCTTCACCAACATTTCGCTCAAATCGCATATACCGAAGCCAGACATCTGGTCTTGTTTTTCCAAAGTTGAAAGTCATCAGTTCCAAGCAATTTCTTTCAGATTCCACGTCTCGTTGCAACTTTAAATTATTATTTATTTTATTATTTCTGCTTGTATACGAACAAAAAATAAATTTAAAAATGACCGTTTCTTACCTGTTTTGCTTCTAAGTCAGCCATCATATTATGTACTTCATAGCAGCCGGGAACATGTTTTATGAATAATTCGTAAGTTTTCCGAGCCCGTTTTATGCCCACCGTTGTTGCAATCAACTCTAAAATATGCGCCTTCAAAATGTTAAAGCTGTTATAGGGTTGAGCTGCTACGTCCCGAATCATGTGTTCAAATTCGGTATTTGCCTCTTTGCTATAGCTATGCAAATATTTCAAGTAATTCAAATACAATTCCCATATATCGGAGCTCTTGGAGTCGAGTCGATTTTTGGCACTTCTGAATACCTCCTTAACTTTATTCAGTTTATTTTCTTGAATATAATAGCGTAAATATTGAAGCCAAATATTTTGCGAATTATTGTAGATTTTTATCGCTTTTTGAAAAACTTGTTCGATATTTTCATCCGTCGGATTGTTTGAATACAGCAATTCAATATATTGTAGATAGTGATTTTCAGACATGTGATTTGAATTGTTTCCACCTGCAAATGCTCGACTCAATGAAAATCGTTTTACCCCTATTAATGACGATAAATCTTTATTCAATTCGAGCATGGCGTTTATGTAATAGTTCCACATTTTTGCTGTATTAACCTTATGAAAAAAAGTAAACAAAGTAAAGAGTAAATATTTCACTTCATATATATTAATAAATACTTACCACTTTAACGGCTTCTTCATAAATTTCAACACACGATTCGATTCGTTTTCGCAATGATGTATGTTGCTGTGTAATGCTCAGTGAATCTTCGTTATTCAATTCATCTTCATGGTCTTGCTTGATGCGTTCAATAAATTTGTCTGTTGGCAATCCATTCAATTCACGTTGTGCCAAATTGTGCCACATTATTTCCTCGTTTTGAAATAGTTCTCGTAAATCATGCAATATTAATTGTTGAATTGAAGTTGCGTAGGCAAATCTATCAACAATTTTCAATATTTCTATGTAAAATTGACAATTTTTCAATATTTTCTGTCCGTTTGTGTAAACAGTTTTGGCGTGTTGTAGAGCCAAATTTTCATCTGACTGACGTTTGTTCTCCAATTCAATTTGAAAGAAGGTCAAATACAATTTCTGCGATTCGGGATGAAGTTGCTGAGCCCGCAGTAAAAGACCCCTTACACGCTCATCATTATAATTCTCATTGTATTCCCATAAAATGGAACGAATCCAAACATCAGCTTTATCACTGTGAAACTAAAATTGAAACAATTCATTTCAGTCATCATCTCAAATCAAATAAATTCATTGTTGATCTGAATGTACTCACTTTTAATATTTGATCAAATGTAGCCGGTATGTCTTTTGTGTACTTAAATTGTTGCAAGAACTTGATGTATTCGTCCCAGAAACGAAGATTATGCGGAAACCTTGATAGAGCTTGAGCGTACAGCTGTTTCATACGATTCGCAATTAGAGTTGTAATTGTATGATTTTTGGTTAATTTATGTAGCTTAGTTCTCTGTTTTGTCAAGCCAATCAAACTTCGCTCATACTTTATATACTCCACAAAATCCTTTATGTCTCTAGATGGTTGCGTGCAACGATATTCAAACGTTTCACGAGCCTTTTTCATTTTTCTAATCAACAAATGAATTTATAATCAAAATTCAATATCAATAATCGTGTAATAAATATGTTTATAAGTACTTACAAAATTTCCTCGTGTGTAAATAAATTAAGTATTCGCATTTGCTCATATTCTGGCAAAGCACATTCCATGCGATATTCAACGAACTCGGCCATTTCTCGTTTATTTTATTTAAAAAGTAAATAAAGATACGAATTTCACTAATTTACAAATTTCAAGATATATATTTGAATACTTTTGAAAATCTTCCCTCCAATAGCGTGTAAAAATATGTTTTCGATAACATAAGCATATGACACTTGGAAACGCATGCACATTCCCTTTGACAGGCGAGACGTCAAATAATTAAACATGGTGGTACATATATCGAGAGTACGTATGATTTTGGCGCCCATATTCAAAAAAATTATATTGTTTTAAATCCAGAAATGCCCATAATGCATTTAAAAGAAATGTAAATTTTTGTTGAGCTTATCCATTTAAGGTCTCTGAAGAAGCTCAGCTACATTAATTGTAGATGTTCTTAAATTTATGAGAGTTATAATTAGAAAACAAATCAAAACTATGTAATATGATTTAGTTTTAGACCAAATAACATTTATCTGGCGTCTCCACTGTCTCCATTTTTTGCCAGGATTTCATTGATAAGCTTTATTGATTTTTCTTTTGGGCGCATCTTTCTTGCAATTGCAACAATTGCAACGATTGTAATTTTTTTTATATATCTGTATTTACTATGGAACAAGCTTATTTTCTGAGCTAGATTTCAAAATCAATGGTTGTAAATATGCGATAATATCCACACATTCGGTACACTGTGTTTTAAAATCTCCAACCACTATTTGAATAATAATAAAAAAAAGAATGGTGCGACTGAAGTATGCAAAACTGTTGACAATTTTGGTGTTTATAGTTAATGTGATTTTATTTCTTTATACGTGGAAATGGTTTGTCAGTGAATCAAATAATTACTCAACAACTGTTCAAACAAAATTATTGAAAATAAAAGATCGCGCACATTCAACAAATAAACATATTAAAAAACTAATAACAATAGTATTTCGTGATTTTTATCATTTTGAAAATGATTTACAACATTCCATCGATAGTATTTTAAATCAAATTCCAAATATTCAAATTATGGTTTTATACGAAGATGAACCATATCCACCTTTAAACTTTGTAAAAAACTATACGGCAACTCATTCAAATGTAAAATTCATCAATTTAAACTTTGATATTCGAAAAACGTCCAAAGCTTTGTCTCCTCTTTCACAAATCCGCACCAAATATGTGCTATTCACACCAGACAGTTTTCGTTTTGGAGGTAGAACAAACATGGCTATAAATGTATTTTCCTATTTTGTCAATTGCTTTTTTTCCTGATCACTTTAGGTAGAGCCATCATTCAAAAAATATTAGCTGAAATTGAGAAGAAATCAAATCGCAAAAATGTGGCCAACTCAAGAAATACGGACATCGATGCGAGCTCATCAGATCAAAATATAAATATAGATAGTTTGGCAAAGAATGATAATAGTAAATCCATAATTATAATTCCATTCGTATCGAATGTCGCCTCAATGAGCAATTGTTGTCGTATAAATATTGATATTGCCAATTGGACAATGGAATATATAAGTATAAAAAACAGTATACATCAATGTGATATGGTAGCTATTTAATTTTTATCAATTTTTTTTTATAATATCTTCAATAATAATATTAATAAAAATTGCCTGAAATTATTTAGTTTTTACAAAAGCATGCCATCCTTGCCGACACGAGTTTATTAAAGATAATGCCAGACGCTTTGGCGTCTCCATTTCCTGAGATGTTTTACATACAGGCCAAAATATGTAAAGCCAAGGTAATTGATTTGCGTACATGAAACGTTGTAGTTGCTCACACATTTTTCTTTTTACAGTTACATTTTCTTAAAACAGGACTTTTACAAGATGGAAAACGGTTATTTACGGCATTTCATAATAAGCAACGCAGAAAAGAAATACGGAAGCAACAATTCAAAAATATGTATAAAAAGATACAAATAAAAAAAGTGGTAAGAAAATATCTTTTTCGATTATTTGTCGATTGTTTTCGATTATCGTCATTCACAGTCATACATTAATTGTAATATATGTATTACGTATGAGATTGTCAAATAACGATGATAAAAACAAAATGTATGTAAGAAAGAAAGAGATAACGTGTGTCTGGACGAGTGAATGAGTGAGTGAGTGATTACATATTGAAAATCATTAGAATGTGAAAAAACATACAAAAGAAACAAAAGTCGCGACAGCAAAAAAAAATTGCTGACGAAAAATTGAGATTTTGTAGTAGCAGCGGAGAGACCATCACAAGGAATCAACAGTTGCATTGCATCGAAACAACGTCACAACGACAACATGGCGACGCAAACGGATAAACGTATCAACAGTAGCTATAACGCATTCGCTGTTCAATATCGGCTACTGTTTCAATTCGAATTAATTTCATTGCTTTCATTTAATTTCATCTACTGCAATTTATGTTCATTGTTTGTTTTTCTGTTATTGTATGTATCTAGTAGTGACCAGCAGACCCAGAACTACTATTCTATAGTAAGCTAGTATTTTTTCTCTCTTCCACAGAATCGCGATTACAACTACCAAATCTCAATTTGTTCAAGATTCAAAATTATTTCACATTTTTATTGATTATTTGTCGATTATTTTAAAATAATTGTATTCTTTTCTTTTGTGATTCTCCCCTTAGGTAAGAAAATATAGGGGAAAAATAAATGATCGACATAACAAGCAACACGAAAAAAAAGCAACACGAGACATTTTCGGCAATGCAATGCCAGCAATAGTTTTATCAAATGTGTCAATTCCTATTTTAATAAACACTGAATACTTTGGATGTGAAAAAAATACACGAAGTTGTATTGGAACAGTATTTCGTAAACCATTTTATGTGTATCTCAAACGGAATACACCACCATGCTGTTTAGAAAAGTTAAAATCCGTCTTTTATCATGTTTTAGAGGAATTAACAAATGTTGGTATCAGATATTGGTTGGATAATGTGGCATTGAAATCGGCAATTGAAACCAGCGAATTGGCCCGTGATGCATTTGAAATTGATATCAGCTTCATAAGCTATGATCTAGATCGTTCGACATTGTTAAAGAAGGCACAAACACGACCAGTGATTGATAATTTGGGATTTTATTGGATTAAAGCAACTGAGGGGCAATATTTTCGTGTTCAATATTCCAAACAAAATCAAGTCGGCGTCAATTTATTGCCATTTAGTATGATCGGTGAACGTGTTCGTGCCAATGGATTTTTCGGTTGGAAAGCTAAGGAATTCTCTGCTGAATTTTTACATCCAATGTCAACTGTTATATTTTTGAACAAAAACGTCATGACTGTCAACAATGTGTGTGACTTTTTGAGTCTAAAAAATATTACTTAGTTAGTTTTTTTCTGATATCAATTCATGTTGTTTCATTTATTAATGATTTTTATGTAGTCTGGTTATATTTTAAGGAACACTTGTATTTTAGAAAAATGTCAAATTAAATAAATATCTACTTACAATGTAAACGATATTAATGCTTTCTCTATAGTTCAATTGTAAGTAATTTTATCATGTTCAGTATAATTTTTCAAGCAAATCTAGATGGTTTAACATTTTCAAAACTAATTAAAATACTATAAACAAAAACAAACATTGCCAAACTATGAAGTTTCATTAATTTAATCTCTAAGAATCAGATTCATCCGAATCATTCATATCTTTATCAGCTTGATCATTATCAGGAATATCTCTTACTAACGACAGTAACTTGTCTAACTTTTGTATTTGTAATACATGCTGATCAATATTTTGTCCCTTTTTCGGTGGTTTTTCTTTTAATCGAAGGTTTGGTGAGAGCTTCAATGTCGTAACAGTTCCCCTAAAAATGTTTTATACATATTAGAAAATTGGCATTGATGAAGCCATTTGAATTTCGATTTGGTTTTATTTACTTTTCGTCTCCCACAATTATGAAAGGAATTTTTTTATTAAAAGCGATCCGTGTAAGACGAACACTTTTTCGGGGTACAACTTGCTGAACACATATTGGTTTATATTTGTTGACGTTTATATCAAATACAAACACCTTTCCATCTGTTGTCAATGCTGCCAAAACTGTGCTAGAATATGGTGCCCACTTAACGTCGCCAACGCTTGCTCCAAGATCAAATATGAACAATGGTTCACTACAAATAATTTAAATAAATTTGAGTTTCAAACCATCAATAGATATGTAAAATATGTAACCTTCGCATATCTTCCCAGATTTTTACTCGCCAATCGGCTGCGCACGAAACAAATATATTTGAGTTAAATTTATTGTAATCAATGTTGTAAACGGGCAAGTAGTGAGCGTTGTAACACATTAAATATCGTGAACTAAATTCTGTGCTACATTTAAAAATGTCACCCTCTTCAGAACCAGCCAAAAATATGTTCGACAGCTTTGGATGAAACGTCATGCATGTTCCAGCAGCTAGACATATTGATTATAACGAAAAATAAGAATTTAATGTATTTGAGTTTTCACATCAATGGCTTGCCTTTTAGTTTGACACTATGGCCGTCGGGTGCGGCTGATATTTCTTGGTCCATAAAGAGTGTAGCTATGATTGTTGAACTTAATTGACTTTGCATCAATACCTAGGGGAGAATCACAAAAGAAAATAATAGAATTAATTAAAAATAATCGACAAATAATCGAAAAAGAATCAATAACAATTATAAAATAATAGAAAGGGAATTTTTAAGTGAATTGCCCCTAGATCAATACCCAATTATAGATAATGCCATCATTTGAAATTGAATAAAAATTAAGTTCACCATCCTGCATATCAATGCCCCATTTCACCTCCCACACAATATTTGAATGCTTTCCATCTGTACCGCGCGACATATACATTGCTTGTGATGGATTTGATTGTAGATTATAAACTGCAACATTTCCATCGAACATACCTATTTATTACATAAAATAATGGTGGCGTGTATTTTTTTTAAACAATAACAAAAATACAACATTTTTACCGATCACAAGCAAATATGGAAATTTTTGGTGAATATCACAACACATTACTCCACTTTCGGTTGTAACTTGTTTTTGGTGACATTTGAAAAAAAAAGAAAAAAAAATTGAATTTTTCATAAACAGTTAATTGTTAGTCAAAAACTACTTATATATTCGGGATATGATGGATTTTTAATTGTGAATAAGCAAACAAGACCTTCCGGTAGTTGCTTCATGAAATCAACTGGAATAATAGATAAAAATTTATGATTTAAGTTTGCAATTTATGTTAACTGTGTAGAAAATGTAACGTACAGCATCCGAAACAAACTGCAAACAAGTCATAGTACATGGTATTGAAACAAATGTCCGTTACATTCATTTTTTTTGTTTTTTCATATTGAAATTTCCACAGTGGCAAAAGAGTTCCCTCCTCTTCCCGAAATTCATCCGATGGATCCTCATAGTATCGATAATCTTTTTTTGAAAGTTTTACATCAATACATATTTGCATTTGTATATAAACAACTAACTACTAATAACGAACCAAGTGCGATCTCATCAAAAATGTTTTGATTAATCATTCGCTCCAAGATTTGCCAACATCGTAAATAATTTCGATTTAATTCTTCGTTGATTGTATTTTTACAAGTGCGTTTAATTAAATCGAATTGCTTTGATTGCGCGGATATCATGGCACTTGCTGCCTGCATGTTAATTTCATATTATTATCACATTTTTTTCTATTTTTAAACAATATTAAATCACAATTATAAGCAACCTTTCGTTCTTTTTCCTTTTCACGTTCACTCTGTTCAAAATGTTCAGCATATGAATCGTAAATGATCCACTGAAGTACATATGAACCGAATGTTGATCGAGGCGGTGGAATGGTTTGCGTCTCCACATTCTAGAAGAAAAAATTCGTTCGGACATATAAAAATTCGTTCGAACTGAGCCTTATTCCTTGGAAATAATCAATTTTCAGTTACTCTTGGTGGATTATTTAATGTGAGTACGGCACGTTCACAGTAATTGAACTGGTTGATTAATTTCTTTTTCTTCTCAGTCTCCTGATTTGATTGTTGTTTAGTAAGTAAGTCGTCATCATCTAAAAGAATTGTTTTGGAAATTAAATATCTTCATACGATGGAAATTCTTTATTGGACAAATCATTAGAAATAAATATATTGTTGCCGGCTTCGTTCTCTTGATCAATACCGGTATGATGTTCGTTGCGTGAAAAACAAAATTACTACAAATATGTAGTAACATCTGGAGAGCTATCTACATTATTAAATTTTGTGATTTTGTAAAAAAATAAGAAAAACTTCAAAAAACAAAGAATATAACTCTATCAAAAACTCATCAGATTTTAATCTGCGGTAAGAGTTTTAAAAATTCATATGAATGTTTAACAAAAACAAAAAGCATGTCCGACTTTTACCAATGATTTCATCATTATCAATTTCTTCCACCGGTGTGGAGCTCGTTTCGTTTTCAGTTGTTTTTAGCTTTGTATCAATAGATTCACCATCTTCATGAGCTCCATCAACTACAGGAGGTATTAGTTAATTTCACATTTTTGAATAGAAAAAATCGTCAAAATATTTCAAAACACATCATGAATTAAATAAAATGAACATTTTTTTTATTTTAAATACTTAATCCTGTCTCCTCGGACGTTTTTTCGCCATATTCACATGGTATCGAATTACCATCAACATTGAGTAAAACGCCTATATTTGGTGGCGGTGGAAGCTTTTGAAGAAAATTTATTTTGAAATTTATCCAAAACATTTAGCAGAAAACCAAATCAATCAACGTACCGGAATATATCCATAATCTTTATAACTGTATATAACTAAATTTTTCGGATAATTTGTATGTTCGGTATCCAAATGTTTTGTAATCTCTTCAGAGAGTTCAGCTTCTGTCAAATCAAGCTGATCGTCTGGTCTAAGCGGTTTTTGGAATCGCAGCCAATGTTCATAATCATCATTTTTGTCTCCAATTCCATCTCGTTGTGTGTATCGGATCTTGTTTCAAATAAATTGAATATTTTTATATATATGTATAATTTTTATATTTTTATGGTGCAAATTATTTTATGTTGCATTGAATTGTTTTAAAGACTTTCTCACTGAAATTGGAATTGGTGAATCGGAATTTAAGCTCATAGCTTTAAACAATTATAACTACTAAATGAGTTGCTGATACATGAACTGTAATTGCGTGTAAACGTGGATAGCAGAATGTATATGCTACGTTTTTTTTAAAACAAAGTTTCATTTATACATGTAAATCGGTGAAAAATAATAGGCAACTGTAATAAAACTTTGATTTGTCACCAACAAAGTACGTCTGATGTAAAATAACAGACTGAAAATGAAGATGACTATCAAATGAAATGAAAATTCTTTTTTCTTTAAATATAACGACCAAACACGTACTTTCAAAGTTATTCTTGCCATTGCGGAAACCAATTTTAACATGCAAAATATAACAGATTCGAAAAAAAAGAAATTACGGATCGAAACGGTCGTGTTTCAGTCACATTCAAGAAAGTTAGAATGGCAGTTTAAAGTATAAGTTTTTTGCATAGTTCATAGTATTATGATTGCATTGGAATATATTTTCGGCGTGTAAAACAAAAAATATAAATCCATGCTGCATTCATATTCTAGTTGGTTTACATAAACGTCATTAACTTAACTCAAATAAAATTGATGAAAATATTTATAATTTCGATTATAAATATATAAATCGAACTTTGACACGATATTGTTCATTGCTCTACGTCTTTCTTTATGCAATAACTATCATCTTCTTTTTCATTTGTTCATTTGTTCATTTGTTCATTTGTATTGAGAAAATTTATTTTTGCATTGATAGGAATAAAAATTAAGTAAGTATTATTTTACCGTATTCTTCCATTTTGGTTTATCAGTTTTTGAATGGGCTTTTCTATCAGCCATCGAATTGTTTTCAAATTTTCACGCTTTTAAAAGATAATATTTAATTTATCGTTACTTTTTTATCGAAAAGTTTTTTCTAAACTTGCACAATCATACGAAAAGTGAACGATTATTAAGGTTGTCATGGGAACGATTGCTAATTCTTGATTGATTCCACTAACAACGTTCTTCTTTTAAAACATGTAATGGGTAAATTTTCAGTTTGTATGAATAGTCCACACGTCAAAGAAAATTCCTTGTATCTATATGCCTGAGTGATAAATAAATAAAAAAACACAATTGCAAATGTAAAATATATAATGTATATTTCAAAATATTATATTCAATGCATTTTACATTTGATGCGTGTTATAAATTCAATTTTGACAAAATTCACAAACAATGGAATAACTATTTCAATTTAATAATGATTGAATCAATTTCCAAATGATACATATTTTTTGAAAAAAATCTCAATTTAAATCGAATTCATTTCTGACCGGATCATACGAAGTAAAAAAACTGGCAATTCACTTATTATTATAGTGAATAAAAACATAACCGGACTCATAACTAATACGACTGTAAACCACAAAACATCAATCCAAATTGGCATTTCATGACCTTCGAACATATTTTTCATATTTGCAATTCAGTAGAATTTCGAGTACTGTTCATCAACAATGATTCAAACGTTCTTTTCGATATAAACGCATATTCACTTCGGGACTCCTATAATCTTAAATTTACGATAATCTGGAATGGCTTGGGGAAGTCTCAGGAATGCCAACTGAAAGTATATTTTAAAAAAAACATGAAAATTAATAGTTTAATTTTAGAAATGTCATTAATATTTATAATAACCACTTAAATGAAATTTTTTTATCAAAAATAAGTCACAACGAAGATTACAGCGGGTTCATAATGAGAAATAAGGAATGCTTTGTTAGCAAAAAGAAATACATGCACAGTTAGAGCGTTTTAAGTACAAATCAAGAGTTTTTGGTGGGGACAACAGTCTTGCCTTTCTGCTCACAGTACAAAAGAACGACTACTTCATGAATATTCTTAATATTGGTAACTAGTGGACACAAACAAATAAAATTCAATCTGTCAATCGTAATGATTTGTACAGAATTCTGTCTATTTCAACTCATACCAATAACCCTGGGAAGATTGCATTTATAATAAAAAAAATATAATTGCTTTCATCCGCGTAGATAAACTAAAATAAATCCTTATAAATACCAATTTTCTGACATTTAAAAAAAAAATTCAAAGCAATCTACTTCTAGTTTAGAATTAAGTATCTGTAAATTAGTGTTTTGTGGCAGTACAATTTGTGCGAACAATTCATTTTAGTATAATATGATTTTTTCATTTGAGAAAATACTGACATGACCCAAAAATCTGAAAATTTATCCTTTTGGGAACCATTTGATGACATTGATGCATTGCTGCTTTCACTTTCTGTTCGAGTTCGTGTTGTTTCCACTTTACCAAAATATCTGCTCGTCGTTGGGTTTGTATCCACTCTTGGAATTTGCATGGTAGTCGTTTGTGCTCCCGTTATACCGTTCACGAAATTCTTTATGTTTTCCATTTATATTGCTTAAATGAAATAATTTTATATTAGAAATGACATGATTTGAGGTGAAAAACAGTGAAACATATCATATAATTTTAAATATTTTTATAAATATACCTATTGCAACTATTTTTTAGTTATATTCTGTATTATATACTGTTTCAACACGATGTATTTGAGATGAAACGTTGTTATCAAAATGAATACCAATCAATTTCAAAAAAACACAGGACTGGAAATAGACACGCTAACAATAACAAATTGAAATATAAGCATAAAGAAATGAAGAAAAAGAAGAAGAAGAAGAAGAGAAGCATTTAAGCATGTGTTCTTTGTTTGTGTTTGTCCATGTATGGGTTTAATTTGTGTAAGTTTGTGTTGAAAATAATATTCAGTATGAAATGTCATATATTTTAAATGTATAAGTGTACAATATACCAAATAAGCACTTATATTTGTATTTAACACAATTCAACACATTCACATCGTGTTAACGCCGGTACAAAGTTCAATTACTACTTATAGTCAAAAACATTGTAATTGTAAACTAAATGTGAAAACCTTGAATTTTACGTTCTCTTTATGCTGAATTCAGCCTTTCTCCTAAATCGATTATCATTACAAAAACCAGAAGTATTTCATAAAATATTTCTTTGTGAAAAAAAAATCCCAGTCAATGTCCACTCTGGTTAATTTTATTAAAGAATTATATACCATACAAAAATAAATGACAACCACTCAAACTAAGAGCCTCTGTATGTAGTGTAACCATATGGATTCAAAAGTAGGGGCATATGATAGTGACTATCTTGGTCCAAGCAATCAAATATTATCTATTGAACATGAAAATATCATTATTATAAAATGACTACGTTTAAAATAAATATGTTTGAATAAAAAAACCTCTATGATTGGATAAATGGTTGAAGACTGAAGCCTTTCATAGTACTTTTCAACATTAAAATTGAGTTTATAGCGACCACATTGAAATGTTGAACGAAGTAATAAATCCGCACATCGACCGTCTGCGTTCGTAACCGATTCATTAATTAGTGCCCAATTTCCATCAATCATTTTGTAAAGCGAGACCTTTGAGTTACAAAAATGGCAATAGTAGTTCATTTAGTATACAATTCAACCAATATTAATAAAAATCATTTTACATTTACACCATCGGCTGGTTGACCTCTTGATGTGTCCAATATATGAGTGGAAATTGGAGATTTTGCACTCATTTTGCACAAAAATTACAAAAACTTTCTATTGAATTATAAACGTACACAAAAAAAAATGTGTAAAACGTATTTTTACTTGAAGTGATGTACTAGCCGTACGGAGAATGTTTGATTCATAGGATGTTGAAAACTTCTGTCTATCTTCGTCAAACAAAGCCAAAAACAAATATTTCTGTTATCTAAGATTTGTACATCTCCGTTATTCGTTATTTTTAATGAATAATTCTAAGATAACCGTACTTTAGCGAATGTAATGAACAAAAGAAAAAGTCGAATGACGATTTTACACACATACTAAATAGATTTAAACAATAAAATAGTATAGATGCCATTTGATGATGAATGAAATATTATCATTTTACGTCATTGTCATTTATCATTATTTTGTTTATTTCTTATTGATTTGTTTCATTAATTAAAATTACAGGTTTTGCGGTTTGTGTTCAATTATCGAGAAAAATAGCTCAAATGCAGAAATAAGTTTAGTCGGCAAAGTGAATTTGAGAGAAATTGTTGTCACCAATATATATCGTCGTTTATTATGGACATTTTCTTTCCACTTGACCTTTTCCGGACTCTTCATACTCCTGTGACGATATCCACATTTGCTGAAATGTGCCAATGCTAGCCAAAATAGAACCACCAATCCATGCGCCAAAACGTCGCTCAACAGAACCGTTGGCGGCAATCAATTTCAAGCGAACTTGAGATGGAGCACGGAGTGATAAATCTCGGCTCAAACGTTCAGGAAATCCCTAAAATATGAAGAGTATGAAAGTTATATAAGAAAAATCCTATCATAAAAAAAACGTAAAAATCATAAATGACAAAAGAATTCCCACCAAACTAAATGGCTTTATGCGGTTTCCATCCATACGGCAATATTTCGATTTAATGAATCTCGAAGCTTACTTACTCGAATTGAAACAAAATATATTTTATATGGTGTTCGGAAGATTTCTTATCAAAATATGTCCATATTTTGGCAGGAATTCGAAACAAAATTGTCGGTTTTGTTTTTTATGTTTATACTAAATTGAAAATTGTGTCAAAATTCAAACCTGTAATAGTGAATTTCCACCGGTGATAACAACGGAACCGTATAATGACATACGAACATCTGTATCACACATGCCAACACTAGTTGATGCTAATTGGCCAGCTCCGAGCATAGTGTGATCGAAAAGACTTTCGGCCAATTTAAAGCGTTCACAACCGAAATCTTGATGGTAACCGGTGGGAAATTCATAATGTACGGATGGAATTTGAGAAGCTGTACGTTCGTCGTATGGCACTTCAAGTACTTGCACTGTTGACATTTGAAAATCTTGCATTAAACCCTTCAACATGTACTGTTGCCATGAATTTGTCAAATTGTCTGGAAGTTTTTTTACTGTAAACCTTGGTGGTTCGCGTTCACGCACTGATTCTTTATTGGCAATCATATATGCTGGCGTTAAATCAATTCCTTGAGTCTCGAGATGTTGACGGCATTGCAACGATAAATAATCTGCTCCGAGAGGCGATTTCACTACAGCTTGTGTTAAAACATATCCCTCCTGTAATAATTCAATATTATGTAAGTATATTTATTTTGCTATGAATAATTTATAAATTTAACTCACATGAACTGGAATAGCCGATGTATGCGTAGCGCCACTGTCAACAACCAATGCTGTTGCTCGTCCATTGGCAAATGCTGCAAGAACAGCATTTTTAACGACAAAAAATGCGGGAACATTGTACTTTTCAAACATTAATTCGGTAAGACGTTCACGATTTGAACGAACATTCCATGAACACTCCGAGAATAATACTGGATGATATTGTGATTCGGACTGTATAACTTTGGTGTAAGTATAATCGAGAACCTTTTCAAATAGATCCCAATTATCGATCATACCATCTTTCATATATGTTTGAATTTCCATATTTGCACGGGCTACATTTACAAATGTAGTGTCGACTATATATTTATTTCCGCCTGGAAAAAGTTAAACAATTCATTAAAACAATGTTATTCTATGAAATATAACCTAAAAAAATCTGTAGAAAATCTTTTGCCGCCTTACTTGATGTCACATTATTGTTATTTGCTTTTGTTTCAATATCTAAACCAGCATTCGTGGCTGCAGTTGCAGCAGTATCACCCGGTGCAACGCCAACAACAGCAGGAATTTCAGCTTTTGGTGCATCTTCTTGAGCGTAACCAACACGAAGTGAATGATGACCGGGATCAAAAACCAATGCACCAATTTCATCACCACCATACAACATACCGCCCGAACTCATTATGTTCCACCGTTAATTTCACGTTTCGGTAATGTAATATCAAAGATTTTCTCTCTCAATTGGGAAGGTATTTATTTATTTATTTATCGCCAACTTAAATCACAAATATTCCAAGCAGTTGTGTTTTTTTATTTCTTTCATTCGCGACGCTACAATGGCGTCCCTGATACACTCAAGTACGAAGTGTCAAAACATACTGCAATCATTTAGAGTCAGAATGCTTAAGTATTTTGTATACTTAAATCGCATCAGTATATATTGAAAATACTTACATTTTTTAAATCATGTTTGATGTAGTAATAATGAATATAAAGAAATGAAACGAAATTTTGTGTTATTAACAGATAGTCAATGAATTATAAACGGAGTAGTTAATAAAATGTATTTCACTGTAAATTTATGTAAACATTTAAAGAATTTAATTGCGCCACGATTTATGACCATATATCGATACTTCGGAATGAATTCCACAACCGGATAAGGATGTTATTTTCATAGTCGTGTTTCTGTCGAAGATACCTCCTTCGATAATTTCAAGTTTTGGTAAACAATCGTCGTCATCCAATAGATTTTCGTGCACAATACCTTTTATGAAATAATTGTAATCATAGGGTGAATCTGTAGTATACTCCTTATAAGAGAGAGAGAGAAATTAATTCTGTGTCAAAAACAAATATTGTTTATTCTTTAACTATTTACCGATGGAAAAATGATTAAAGCTTCACGTGTAAAAAAGGGAAAGCCCCAGCGTCGTTCACGTTGAAATCCAATGCGTTCAGCATCTTCCACATTACCGTAAATTTGACGTTTGGCTGGCGGATAATATGGATAAGTATGATATCGGCTTATAAAACTGTTTACACAAGTTGTGAACAAAACAATTAGAATAATTTTCGAAATTCCATTCATTTTTGAGTACTACGCACAAGAACTCTGAATCACTTGTTAATCGTCTCCATTAAGTGAAAGCTCAATTTCAAATCAATGAAACAAAATATATACTATATATATGATGTTATGTATAATGATGTTATTGTCATAATACTTCATTTAACCTCGATTACAAATTTAGTGTCTAATGAACTTTAACATTTCTTATCGTTACGTACTTGGCTTTAAGTGATGTAAATGAAGTAATCAATCATGTTGAAATTTGATATTCATTTTATTTTTAATTCATTTTCTTATTACATTGAAAGCAAAATTGAAAATAACAAATAACAATTTTTGAACAATATAATTGCAGTGACTCAATTTTGAAATATCGTTATGGCTTAACCATTATCGCTTATTTTGGTTTCTCAATGAAAAATTGAACCAACGAATCAATTCCACATCCACGAGATGATGTAATTTTTACAGTGGCTGTGCTATTATTAACGCCGCCTCTTATTAACCGAGCTTCTGGTTGACAGTTTTCATCATTTAGCCGGTTTGAATGTTTAATGCCTCGTATAACTCCATATTTTTCATCGCCAAACTTTTAAATAAATAAATACAAAAATCTCTTTATTCTTGTTTACTCACAAATGAGTTCACAAAGTTGAACTCACTTCCGGATACGAAATGTCCACGGTTCTTTTTATAAATGGAATTGCATATTTGATTTGAGCATTTCCCACAATGAGATTTGTATCTCTCAAATCGCCCCAAATATCAAACTGTAAGGAGTATGATTTGTCAAAAATAATATATGCGATTAAAATGAGTGCACTCGAAAACTTCATCGTCACTTCAACTATTTGCCATAGAACAATTAAATGCAGTAATGTTTAATACTTATAGTCTACCTATTTTGTCTAGCTACGGCATACTGGAGCAATCGGAATTTTTTTTAGTCGGTGACAGTCAAACTGTCATTATATTTCTCAATATAAAAGTTAGTAATCGAGAATTGCGTGCCATTTTTCATAACAGAAATATATATAATTGTGACTACATCTCCTTTGCATGACAATTTATATTAATGGGACGATAAAAATATTTCTCAATAAACGGTCTCTTTTTAAGTTAAATGGATAACTGTCAAATTCGACATCACATCAATTCAAATAGGATGTCAAAATAATGTCAAAATCAATATGTCACAAAAAATGTAGCAAACAATAACAACAAGCAACATGAAACACGATAAAAAGCATAGGAAAAATAAATCTCCAAAGCGAAGCAAGAAATCAAAATCAAATAAAAAAGAGAAAAAGAAACTCAAGCACAAAGATAAAAAAAGACGACAGAAAAAATTGGATAAAAATTTAAAATCGGAACAAGAAGAACAGGCAAAGACTACTGTTAGTCAAAATATTGACGATGATGATGTTTATTGTGGGCCATCCATTGGTATGATATTTTTTTATATAAATATTATTTGGTGGTGTGTTTTAATTAATTATTTTTTTTTGTATCAGATCTCATGAATCGAGCGAAATGTCCAGAAACCAAAGCAGAATTCGATCAACGTCAAAGCGTTTTAAAACGAGTTGTTGACCCAGAAACTGGCCGTGTTAGGTGAAAATAAAAAAAATACACATTTTTATAATAAAATTACAAAAACATAAATAAATAAAATATATTTTGTCTATAGGTTAATTAAAGGTGATGGCGAAATATTGGAGGAAATCGTTCCTCGTGATCGTCATAAGCAAATCAATCAGGAAGCTACGCGAAATGATGGATATTCATTTCAAAAGAACACCGTTGGTTCAATCCGCAAATAAATGAATGAAGATAAATTCGATGGAAATAATAAATGTGAAGAATGTCACGATATTCTTTGTCAAGCGTTTGAAAATTACCGGGTCATTGTCGAAAAAAAAAATTTCTTCTGCTGTGGGATTAATTCTTTAAAGCCATTTTTTTATCATTTGCTTTCTTTTCTGAATTCAGAAAATTTCTTTATAATAATATCAATATCGAATATACTGCAAGAGCATTAAATTTACATATTAAAGCCGGTTGTATATTTATATTTAATAGTTTTTGACAATACTCAAGCATCATCAATTTAAGTATCAATAACTTGAATACAACATAAAAAATGTGTGACAAATGTAATCGCATAAAAGTACATCTTTTTAATACTTTAATGTAAAAATTATAATATTATAGCAAAAAAAAAAATGAAACAAATACTGGCTTGCTGTGATCAATTTTGATCTTAATCTTTCAATATTAAATCAATTAAAGAAATCCAATGATAAATTTATTCATTCGGATATGGTACCTTAGCAATCTGTCAGCAAAAGACGTTTGACGCGTGCTTTTAAACGCTGCGTTTAATTTTTCTTAAACAGTGGAAATGTTTCGACCTATGGGTTGGTATACATTTCTGGCTGTCATATTGTTTTCGATCTTTTTTTCCTGCGATACCATCACATAAAAGAGACGTATACAACAAACCCGTCTAGACTGAGAAAAAAATTAAATAATAAAAGAAATCTTTTCGTTGGGGCTGATATGATTTGTATAAAAACATTAAACAGGATATACTAGATATTAACATACAGTTTGGTGTTTAGTGAACAAAGTGTCACTCAAAATTGTTATTTTGTTCACTTATGTGTATGTGGATTAAAAATTTGTGTACAAAAACAACCGAAATCCTTTATTTCACAAATTAAATTGTACAATAAAGTAGTAATATATCCAAGACTCTATAGCGAAAGTGATTTTTGAAAGAAAAAAAACAGCTCAAACATCCAAATGGAATTTCCGACGTTTCTACGAACGATCAAATTTTAGGCGATTCTGTTTTGTTTATTTATTATATACACGTTGGGCAATTCAATTTTATTGCAAAAATATTGTACCAATTATGCGATATGATCCAATTTATTGAAAATATTCCAAAAAAGTGATTTAATGAAGGCTGGTGGGTGAATCACTGGTCATAATATTGTACATGCCCACAAAAACGTGTTGATATGCCTGAATTAAAACAAATGGTTTTTAATCAGATTTTTTCATAATTGTAGGAGAGGTAAGAATACCTCTTTGGGAATATAGTTTACTTCCTAGTACGATTTGAATGTGATGATCATGACATTTTGTACATATTGATTGAAAATTCCGAGAATTTGTTTGAAAAGAACAACGATCAAATTGACGATCCGTTCATTATGAGGTGTTGATTAATGAAAATAATTTATAAAAAAGACAAAAAATCTTATTGAAGTTAAAAATTAATAATTTTAATAATTATCATATTAACTTAAATTTGGTGTTTATTTTGTTCCTCATCAAGTGCCAAGTGCATATCAGCTTTACTTATACATATGAACGAACTGCATATGTGTGTGCATAGGAGAGCATAAGACAATTCCAAGAATGAAATGATTTATTTTCTTTTTTAACTTTAAAACCACTGATACTATCACACAATACTATCTTAGTTTATTGTATCTTATTGGTTTTCATACAGATATAAAACATATACACGTATACACAACCACACCATTGCCTAGACAATTTTTTAAAGTTCACAAATCGTAATGATAAATACATGTATATATTGAAAATACCTTCAAATGGCGGATGTTTGTAAACATATGTCTGCAAGTTGGATGTAATATCATTCATTAGTATTTTTGGGATGGCATGCATTCGAATTATTGAATCAATTTATTCAACTTATTTAATCAGAAATACATATTTAAGAAAATATGCAAAAATTTAAATATTGAAACTTATTGCCATCAATGGAATGTCAAATCGTTTTTTTTATCGTTACACTTCAAACGAAATTATTTTATAGTTTTTATCTGAACACTTTCAAATCAAACCAAAATATAATATGTGATTTTCCAAAATTAAGAACTCTGAGCAACAAAATTCTCACATGATGCGCAAAATGAAAGATTTTTTTTTCTCAATTATAGAAGCAATTTATTTTACGAGAAAATTAATTATGTAAATAATTTTCTATTTTTTTTTTACTTGCAGAGTACATCTACAAATTTACACAGCTATTTGCACAATTTCTTTTATAAACGTATCGTCATTTAATCGATTAATTACAAAAACAAAATAGAAATAAAAAGTTTAAAACGAAATAGGAAATATGGTTGAATCAAATGGATAATCAAAAGAAAAAGATATCAATTCCTTTACAATATTGATTCGATTATTACAAGGAAACGTGCGACGATAATAAATATAAAAATAAGCGCTTCGACAACATTTTCATTTCATTCTGAATTATTAGAAGAATTGGATAAAAAAAAAACAAAATACTAGTTACCTTTAAAAAAAATGCCGCCTGAACATCATCCATTTGTGCCGTATGATTTTTGGCAGACAGATCCACCGGATATAGTAGATATATCGTGCCTAATGCCAAATGGTATTATCATAACTTAAAAATTGCTTATTAATTATTATTGATTGTTTTCCGATTATTTTAAATTAATTCGATTCTTTTCTTTTGTGATTCTCCCCTTAGGTATTATCATAGTGATGAAAGTATCACAAAATGCAACGTTTGAAGAAATTAAAGAAGAGCTATGGGAAAATGCTCAACGTTATCCGCTATATGGTTTTTTACACGATAAATCAGAGTATGTCATCACTGTGATATGTGGAACACATTTCGGTAAAAATGGCAAAGCTGAAGAAATCCACAACGAGACGATTCGCTTGTGTGATGTTCAACCATACTTCTGTTTGCTGAAAATAGTCGAGAAAAATAAATCGACCGATAACCCGCTAGAAAAAGACATATCACATTTGATTGGAAAGCCCGTGGAAGAATTCAAGAATTTAAACAATCCCGAAGTGAATGATTTTCGTTATAAAATGGGTGTAATTGCGGAACAAGTATCAGAAGAGCGTAAAAGAATGAATTGGTTACAACGTTTAAAGTATCAATACCCGCCTCGATTGGCCACAAATATTAACATACCGCAATCGGTTCGTGGCCGATTCAACAATGACAAATTTATGATTGTTTCACGATCAGAAAACGATGCGAATTCATCATTTACACATGAAATCCCGTACCACTTATCGCCAACACTAATTCTTAAGAAAATTTTAACGAAAATGTCACACACCACCAATCAGCCGCAACACAACTATGATGATTATATTTTGAAAATTTGTGGACAGGATGAATACATATTTGGTGATAGTCAAATTATTCAATTTTTGCATGTACAAGATGTTCTATCTGCAAATGGGATACCAAGTTTTGTCATTCAGGCTAAACAAAATGTCAATATGTTCAAGAAAAGTATTTACGAAACAACCTTACCAAGATTGGATGATCGTAAAGGCAATGATAGTAAAGCTCGATTGGGCACATCAACGTGCACATTGAAGAAAAAACAAAAGCATACATCGTCGTGGGACATCAAGCAACAGTTGCAAATTTGCATACACGCAATCAAAGGACTTAATTGTGATACAAACAAAGCTGTCGAAGTGGGTATACAGGCTGGTCTATTTCATGGCGGTAAGTCACTATTCTTCTATACAACAACCAAATCTCAATCTGTTTATTTATCTTTTTAAAAACATCACATAATTTCATGATTTTTTTTTGTCTGGTCACTTTAGGTAAGTCGCTGTGCGAACCACAAAAAACTAGTCCGATCCCATTACCAACCGATGGATGCGCTCAATGGGAAGAAGTCTTAAAATTTGATATTATGGTGTATAATGTGCCACGAATGGCACGCCTCTGTTTAGTCGTTTATGAAATCGTTAAAAACTCAAAAGGTAATAGCACTTTCCACTTAATTCCGATTATATTTATAAATTATGTTGATCATTTCTATTCTTTCCCCTTAGGTAGTAGCAATAGCAGTGGAACAACTAGACGACGTACAAAAGATAAAATGTTTAGCATGAATCCAATAGCATGGGTAAATTACTTCGAAATTACATTTGTTCTGTTATTATTATCCATAATATAATATTGAATTAAATAGTTTCATTCGTTCCTTATCTGATTCTGTTCTAGGTGAATACAACCGTTTTCGATTATAAGAATCAGCTTAAAACCGGTGCCATGACATTATACACATGGACCTACGCAGAAGATTCTCAATCAGAAGACTGGCTTCATCCACTTGGTACGGTCGAATCAAATCCAAGAACCGATGAACGCGCTGCCATTATGTTAAGCATTTACAAGTAAGTTTTATTTGCGGTAAAAATTCAAATACGTTTTAAGTAACTACTAAATATTTATTTTATTTTATTTCCCCAGTTATAATATCGAAAATGTAATCGTTTATCCAGATGAAGATAGAATAATAGATTATGCCAAGGAGTTGGAGAAAACCAAAAATTTTAATCGTGATAGTGCCCAAGATATTAGAAGTATTAACGAAATAATGTCACCATATTTAAATAATGATAAGATTCAAGAAATGCATGACCAAGATAGAAATGCTATTTGGGCCAAAAGGTAGTTAAAATTTGGATTTTTTTGTTTACTTTATACATTCCATATAATAATTTATTCCTGATCATGACCTAGAAATGAGGTACAAGATTTTCTACCTGCTGGATTGCCTTGTTTATTGCACTGTGTTGAGTGGAATGACCGAGATGAAGTGTCTGAAATGCGCCGTTTATTAACCAAATGGAAATCCCTGAGTGAGGAACGAGCGTTGGAGCTACTTGACTATGCATACGCTGATTCGAGCGTTCGCAGTTTTGCAGTCAAGTGTTTAAAAATGTTAAAGTAAGTTTAACAACAAAAGATAATTAATATTATAATAATTTTCTATTTTTATTTATATTGTAATTTCTGTTTATTTTTAGACTTACCGACGACGATTTACTTCTCTATTTATTACAATTGGTTCAAGCTATGAAGCACGAGTCCTATTTTCAATGTGATTTAGTTGAATTTCTTTTGGATCGTGCACTACAAAATCATCGAATTGGCCATCATTTCTTTTGGCATTTACGTTCAGAAATGTTAGTTCCATCAGTTCAAGTGCGGTTTGGTATAATTTTAGAAGCTTATCTAAAAGGAAGCCAAGAGCATATATCGATTCTTCTCAAGCAAATCAGTTGTTTGGATGAGCTGAAAAAGGTTTCGGAACAAGCAAAAAAATTCAATAAAGATAAAGGTCGAGCGGTTTTACAACAACATTTGAATAACTCATTTATTAAGCAAAAAATTGAAGATGTTTTGAGTCCATTAAATCCGAGCTTTCGATGTCGATCGATTAAAATTGACAAATGTAAAGTAATGGACTCAAAAATGCGGCCACTATGGATCGTATTTGAAAATTCAGATATGCATGGAGATGATATTTGTGTGATCTTCAAAAACGGTGATGATTTGAGACAAGATATGTTAACATTGCAAATGCTTCGTGTAATGGACAAAATATGGAAAAGCCATGGCTATGATTTTCGAATGAATCCATATAGTTGCGTTAGTACAGAGCATCGATTGGGCATGATAGAAATTGTTTCAAATGCAGAAACAATTGCGAACATACAAAAAGAACGTGGAATGTTTTCAGCAACATCGCCGTTCAAGAAGGGTTCATTGTACGCGTGGCTTAAAGATCATAATCCCGATGATTTAGATAAAGCGATCCGTGAATTTACGCTCAGCTGTGCTGGATATTGTGTTGCTACCTATGTATTAGGAGTTGCTGATCGTCACTCGGATAATATTATGGTGAAAAAAACGGGACAGGTATTAATAAACAAGCGTAAAATGCAAAAATCATCAATTATATTATTTTTTTTTTTTTTTTTTTTAGTTATTTCATATCGATTTTGGACATATACTGGGCCATTTTAAAGAAAAATTTGGCATACGAAGGGAACGTGTTCCGTTTGTACTAACGCATGACTTTGTCTATATCATAAATAAAGGAAAAACTGATCGCGAAACAGAAGAATTTAAAACATTCAAGCAATTGTGTGAGACTGCATTTTTACTATTGCGCAGTCATGGCTGTTTAATTCTATCACTATTTTCAATGATGATCTCGACTGGTTTGCCTGAACTGTCATCGGAAAAAGATTTAAATTACTTACGTGACACACTGGTAAAAATGTTTATTGTTTTTAAATTTTCCAATAAAATTCTGATGAATTCGTGTATTCATTCATAACAGGTATTGGATATGTCTGAGGAGGAAGCTCGTGATCATTTTCGACAAAAATTCAGTGAGGCATTGCTTAATTCATGGAAAACATCACTAAACTGGGCATCACACAATTTCTCCAAGAATAACAAACAGTGACAGTAGTGTAGTTGTACCAGTTTCATCCATACCGGTTTTTGCATGGTATCTATGAAACAGGTACAACTATCGTTATTTCTCTCTCTTTCTCTCTCTCTTTCTTGCTCTTTCTCTTTCCTTTTCTTTCACTTGCTCCCTTTTTCTCTCTCTTTCGCTGTTGTTTTCTTAAGTCTTAAGTAATTTAAATTATTTATCATTCCTTTTTTACTTCGATCAGAAATAGAAATCTTTAAATAACAATCTCGATATTCACTTGAAAGCAAATAAAAACACGTATATTCATTTAGAAGAAGGTACAACTTTATTTTCTTTGTTTTTTTTTTTTTTGTTTGTTTGTTTTAGCTTTCTCTATGAAAATATTTCACTCATTTTTCTCATTGTTGTACTATATTTAATCAATGCAATTGTTTGAATTAAGTTTTAAATGCTCATTTCAATGATGTCGATAAGTGCATTGGAATTATTTAGAAAATAAGAAAGGGAAAGAACAGATTTTTTTCATTTAGACAGCAGTCATATTTACTTAACAATTATGCTTATGAGTTTATTTCGTTGGTTTGAATAATGCTTCTTTTCTAAATTGAAATCGGTTCTATTTCACAACAAATTATTTTTATTTAAACAATAAAACGATTTCACAATTATGCCATCATAAAGATACACATATTGTTAGTTTCAATAGTTAATGCTTTTCCTTTTCTTAAGGTAACTTTATATTTGTAAAAATATTTAAATTCGGCGAACCACGTTCCAAAATTTGCTACAATTTTGTTTGTATGTATCCATTTCAATTTCGGTTGCGTTTAGAAGAATCAAATATTCGACTGCCAATTCATTTTCAATTCTATTACAAGCATAGTTCCATAGAGGAGGGTGAATTGGCCCTCTGCAATGTACACATGATCTTGCACCAGAATTTATCCATTGAGCCAAATAGAATACATGTGAAACAGCAACGCATTCAAGACATTTGTAAGTAAATTTCGGATAAGGGTTATCTGCTTCGCCTATTTTCAGATCATTTAGGCAGATTAGACAAGTTCCTTGGTTTTCTTCATCTTTTTCTTCCATTTTTGTGTTTAAACAAAAAAAAGATTGAACGAAAAACTTTTAAAATCAACTTTTTACTAATTTTTTTTTATTAACTGATTTCAATAGATACAAAACGTTGTATCACAAATGTCATTTGCATTTGTCATATCAGTGTATTCTAGGGGATCGGATCTCGATCAGAAAATAGCGAATTATTCGATATTTTGCGAATTTTATGCGAAATGATTTGTAAGCGATGGGCCAGTAAAGTTGTGATTTAAAAAACAATTCGCAAACAAAACGCTATGAACGTGAGACAATTCGCAAAATTTGTAAGTTTTGTATGTATCAAATTGTGAACGCTTGTAAGCGAGCCAAGTGAACAGCGGCGACGCACGAAAACGAAATGAGTGAATAGCGACAACGAACGAAAGAAAAAATGTTATCCGCTGCCGCTATTCACTCACTTCGTTTTCTTGCGTCGCCGCTATTCACTTGGTTCGTTTGCAAGCGTATATTATATAGTTTGATTGTGATAACTTTTTGCGAATAGCTTGCGAATTGTATGCGAATTTCTTGAATTATTTTACTAAAATGACGACTTTATCATACAATCAATAAATTTTGTCCATTCGCGAATAGATCATTTCCCCTAGAGTGTATTGTTGTTGCTTTATGGCAATTTTTTTTCATTTGTTCTGCAAAATCAGCTTGTACTTCAATGGAAACAGCACATCTCATTTTTGAATTATGAGTTTGAATCTAAAACCTTCGTCTCCATCTCTTGCACGTATCCTGAAAAAGTAAAATATTCAATCTACTCAAATTTAAAATTAATTGCAATGACAAAACACTTACTATGCAATCAATTCCTTTCCTCTTAGAACTCTTGCATGGGCTCGTTGTCTGATTTACCATATTTCGGCGTATATAGCTTGACATGATTCGTCAATAAATTTGCGTTCGGCAACTGGAAATTTTTTTTCGTCTTCCTTGATTTTTGTTTCGTATTCGTCCCAAGATTCATTTGGAAAATATTTCTTAAAATCATCACGTTCACTTTTCGCACCATTTTCAGATGTTGATGTCATCACTTCCAACATATTGAGAGTGGATTTTTTCCATCGATCAGCATTAAAATTTTCTGATTGATTGATATATTTCGACTTCATATTGATAATATTGCTTGATTCAGATTATATTGTGAAACAATGTGAAATTTAATTTCGTACGTAGTTGATGAGAAGAAAATACGACTTTTATAAATTGTTTACAATAACAAAGGAAAACATATATGTCCACTGTGGCGCTTGTGTTCGGTCATACTGCCATCTATAGGTGAAAGTTTGAATACAGATTTGTGAATACACAAATTGGTAGGTATCTACACACAAATCATAACTAACCTCAATATGAACAAAAATTGACATAAAACTGAATTTATCCGAAGTCTCAACCGTTTTTGGGATAAATTTTAGTTCAGATTTTTTCCGCTCAAATATTTAAGTGCTTAACATATATCCCTTTGGCATTTGAGCGGAAAAAATGCATACTAAAATTTATCCCAAAACGGTTGAGACTTCGGATAAATTGAGTTTTATGTCAATTTTTGTTCATATTGAGGTTAGTTATCATTTGTGTGTACTATGCACAAAAAACAGGAAATTACGACCAAATATGGAAAATCACAAAATATGCAAAAAATATAATAAGCTGCGAATGACTCTATAAGCTTGATAGATAAACTTAATAACTAGCAAGGCATTTTTCGTTCAGCCTTAAATCGAATGAAGCATAATGCAAAATAGCTTACCAAAATTATATGTATGTTCAAATTTGTGATACAAACGATATGCAAATCGAAAACGTTGAAAACATTGAGTTGCGATTACTCGGATATCTATTTGAGGGTGGAATACCGAATTCGGCACAATTACAAAAATTCAGTCCATCCATTTACAGTCGACAGTTACAATCAGGCGAACCAATTTATGCAATGGTATTCAAACCGCATAATTACAAAATTACCAAAAGTGCAAACTGTTATCAATACATTGAAGGTGAGCACATTTGTGTAATTTTATCACTTTGTACTTTGTTTCTCATTATTTTATTGTTGTTCTCTAATTCTCAACTCTTAAATGTTGACATTTGATTTATATTCCAGTTTAAGTTGAAGATTTTTTGCCAGAGCAAAACAAAAATGGTTATGCAAATCGATCTGTGTTGAACTATATAAATCAATTTCCAGACGAGTAAGCATACAAATTGGAATCATACTCGGAAAAACATTTGTCAGCATTTGTATTTGTACTCAAGCTAACACCACGTCAAAAAAAATAGATAATCATAAATATTTTTATATAAGATAAAACTTTATTCCTTTTTGATATAATTTTGCGGTTTCTTTTAAATTAACTCTAGTTTTTCTTGGATGAAAAAATATATAAATGAAGTAGAATCAATTTTTCTTCTTTTTCTTCATGAAGGCATGACTTTTAATTGGGTCAAAATTTCGTCTCTTTGCTGCCTTTTTTCTGTCTCTCATACCTTTTATTCGCATGGCTGCCTGGACTGGATGCGAAATTTTGTCAATAGCAATTATTTTCTTACGTTCGGCGCGTCTTAACATCAATTTCTTTTGAATTTGTGAACGCAAATTGTTATATTCATCGTCACCAATCTTGGCACGTATTGTATCACCGACATGAATAGCTAGTTTGCGAAGTCTTGCATCAATATTTTGATCTTCTTCCGACATTTCACGTACCAATGGCGCCAATAATGTATACGCCAACTGCTCCACTTGTTCAGTTGTGATTAATGCCGCAAGTCCTTCGATCCAGCGGAAAACTGCTGATCTCTATATTAAAAAAAAAAACGTTGTTGAGTTATTCACTTTATTTATAGTTGAAACCAAAATATTTATTTACCAAAATGGAACTTTGTGGTGCTTTTGCCACTTCAGAATGGACGACATATCGCAGACGTCTTAATAGCCATGGTAAATTAATTTTGCGCTTCCTGGTAAGATTTGATTCCTTTTCATTATCACCGTCACCATTGCCATCACCATCACCATCTTCATCATCAGCGTCGGTTGTATTTATAAATGGTACACTTTTCAAAATATTGGCAATGTGTAGAAGAATTGTCGTCACTTCGTTTGCCATTTCAATATCGGTTTGATCAGGTATTAGCTGAGCGCATAAATCTAAAGTCAAAGATTTAAGTTCTTGTTCTGGATTCGCGTAAATAAAGTTCAGTTGATTTTTGCCACGAACACCATTGAAGACTTGTTCAACTTGTATGCCTTGTATAATATTCTGTAGCATTTTCAATGCATTCAATCGTACCTAAAAAATAGAATCACAAGAGAAAACAATGAAAAATAATTGAAATTAAATACAATAAGAAGAATAAAATTTATGGAAAGATAATAGATAATAAAGAATGGAATAATTTAAGTCCTACCCAAGTGTGTTCATGTGCAAGCAACTTTTGTGATTCGTAAGCAAGTTCATCCGTATATTGCGAAAAGTCGATTATTACATTATCAAATGTTTCATAAATTTTCAATAATGTATTTTGTAGTTGAATTGTCGAATGATCTAGCATCCGTTGATTTTCCTCGTGGTCGTCTTCCTCTTCATCATCTTCTGATCCATCTTTATCAATGTACTTAAAGTTTCGGTTGGAAACAAATTTACCAACTGAACTGGTAAATAATGTTGTTACTAGAACCGGAAGAATTTTTTCCAGACGCGTTGAAAATCCTTGTTTTTCAACATTGATAAATCTAGTGCACAGTAAGGCTGCCATTTCTCGATGACTTGATTTTTGGTCATTCAAAAGTGTTATAATTATCGCAAAAAGTTCATTTCGTTGATTTACATCGATGCGACTGATCAATGTTTCTACGCATTCCGCAATATTTTCGCGACACTTAGCCGATTCGTCGTTTACAATACGTGAGCCGCAAGCAACAAACATTAAAGCCGACTTGCGATTTAAATATTTGGCGGGGAATCGTTTTACAATCGAATGTAAAATACTAATTGCCGATTCGCGTCCAGATTGAAGCTCATAATTTAAATTGGAAATGAAAAACTCAATGAAACCTTCAACCTTTTTCCCAAGTGGATAATCCATCAAATAATTAACTATAATGCCTTTGGATTCGGCTCTAGCAACATCTGATTCGGATTGTATGGCCAATCGGCCAACCTGCATCAGTACATTATTCAATTCTCGTGTAACTAAACGCCGTGAAATGATAACTTTCAGAAGAGAAAATGATATTGTTTGTTTGTTGGTTTCGCCTATATCCAAATATTGTTCGGCATAAAAGAGCAACGTTTTTAATTGTTCTTCGGTCAAAATGAAATTCGCAGCGGGTATATAACGAAGAATATTTACAATGGTTTTGAACGAACTTTGGACCAGTAAAAAGTTTTCGTTCGACATATCTGTATTTGCAGCAACATATTTATGTAAAATCTCGAATATTTTTTCAACAATTGGTTTGATGAATTCAATTAAACGATCTGATGTCATTGTTTTGCCAATCATCACAGATATACATTTGAGAGCAAAAGTTGTAACACGAACATGACTGCTACCAATTGAGTCATTCAATATTATTACAATCGGATCAATGAATGGTTGATAATTTATTTTCAGCAGTTTACCTAAGAAAAAATCACAAAAGAAAAGAATACAATTAATTTAAAATAATCGAAAATAATCGAAAAAGAATCAGCAGTTTACCACTTTTCAATATCGCATGTAACAATTCCAATCCAAATTCGATTAACACATGAGCGTTCGCTCGAACATTTGATACAACTTGTAACTTTACAGTGTTACTGCGACACCCAATGGCTGGATCTTTGGGTATTAAGAAGCAATCTGGTTTTTGTTGTTTTATTTTCAATTTGTCATTGGCGGTAAGTTTTGGCTTCTGTATTTCGGGCATCAAATCCGGAATACTTTCGGAAATCACACCATAAATGAACATCATCATCGTCTCAATATTTATCTGCTTGTTTATTAATAGACCAGCAACAATTTTCTGGAAGCATTCCTGTACTCGAATAATATTCTTTTTGGATTGTGATCGATTCAATTGCTCTTTGAGTGGCACTAGAAGATCCAGCAAACATGTTTTTGTTAAGTATGTTGCACAGATGCCCAGCGTAAGAAAGCTCTTGTTATGAGGCTTTGCCTCTGGCGTATGTTTGCCAATTTTCGTTACTAATTTCTCTTCGCCAGTTTGTCCAAAAATATCACCCAAGCATACCCGTAATACATACTGTAAACATTTGTCCATTATACCTGAAAATGCAATGAATATAGAGTTGAGAATGAAGTTGTGAAAATATTAATAGAAAAATAAATAAATATTGAAAGTTCCAAATCATATCCATTATACCATTTTTAAGTGATGTTTTTAATGCGTCGAGCAATGAATGCACGGTTATAGTGAGTACATGAACTTGAAAGCCCCGTGTCAGTAGCGAGGTCATATGTGTGAGCAGCATTTCCAAGTGCTGAGCTCCAACAGTTATCATGATATTTTTTAGTATGTCACGTGTTGTCATTCTTACTGAAATCAACGGTGATTTCAGAAACATGCATACTTTAATTAGGATCCCAGAGAGATTTTGTTCTGAAAATAAATGTTTTTAACATATTAGCGCATTAAATGTTATTGTTACAGTTTTACTCTTTACGATATAGTGCGTTATTAACGCAAAATGTAAAGCTGTTAATACTCACCTAAAACACCAGTTGGTAATTTTTGAAGCAATTTGACTACGGCCAAAGCAATGGGGACTCGTAAGATTTCCTCTTCTTCTCGTTCAGATCGTCGTTTCTTTTTGTTAATTTTGTGAAAACTCTCGTATGTACTCAGAGCCGTAATAGAATTATTTAGAGTTGGTATTAGACCAGTGGCAAGATTATGGATCACTTTTCTGGCAATTGATGTTGACAAAACAATTGGTTTGTCATAAATACATACTCTTGCTTTTTTAACTGGGATATCATCTTCCACCTCATCTTCATCATTCTCGTCATGACATTCGTTCAACTCTTCAAAGAAGCTCTCTTGTTCGTTACTTATTTGAATGACGATTTCTTCCGTCTCATTTTCCTTGATGGATTGATCGGCATCACCATCGTTATTTGTTTCCTCATTCGATGTGACACTCTTATTTTCAGAAGTTGCAAGTGGTTCTAATGATGATGTTAATGACAATTTCTCTGACGAATAATTGGCCCTTGATAGATCAAAATGGAATGAATCTAAGATTTGCATAACAATTCGTACCATTTGTTTTTGATATTGAACATTGAAGCGCATATTTTTTATGTAATATTTCAATATTGTTTCGTATTGATGCCAGGGCAATAGGCGACACACTGCACCAATTGTTTCAATAGCTGATGTAACTAGACCATGATTCATTGAATATTTCTCATTTGCAATGTATGCTGTAGCAAGTGGTAGTATAAATTGTGTCAATGTTCTGGTACTTGGAACTTTTTCCAGAGTTTTTGCCACTGAACCGAATCGCAATAAGGCTTTTCCATGGCGTTGTATTTGCAAATGGGTAATGTTGTCAAAGAAATCAATTTCACGATCTTCCTTGCAGGCTAGCATATTCAAATCAAACAGAACTGGATGAGCGTCTGGACATTCACGTGCGATTTCGCCCAACAATTGAATACCTTCAGTGCGTACATTTTCATTCTTATCACGAAACGTTCTGCGAACCAAATTCAGAATCACTGTTCCAATCAAATAGTCCAATTCTTGTGGCCGTGATTTTTGCAGCTTTAGAATTAACGTTGGTAAAAGTGTTTTCAAATGATGTGAAGCACTATCGCGTAATGCCATATCTTTGTCATACTTGATGAAATAAAATGAATGATGAATGATAAGTAGACCAGCATTCAAATCTATTTCATTGGCGGCAGTTAATTTACCAATTCTCTTGTAAGCATCTAAACGTTTTTCATAGTCTGGCTGTTCAATCCATCGACGATCCCATGCATTCAAATCAATCACGATACGAACGGTTTGATGCAATTGTATTTTTTGTGTCTCATTTTCAAACGATGCACGTTCGGCAATCACTTTAAGCAGATTGCATAAAAGTTTACGTGGTCCAACTGCGGTGATATGTTCAAACATCGGTGCAATGCTCCGAATATGCAGCTCGGGATTATTGATACGTTTAAATAAGTTAATAATTGTGTTCACCATTTGTGTGAGAACTTCTTCACCCAAATGTGTATTAAATTTTCGCACAAGTATTGGTAGCAATACAGTTAGTAGAGTTTTACTGGTTTCCGCATCAGTTATGAGTCCCGTTATTTTAGAGAGTATTAGTAAATCTCGTTTTGTAAGTCCTCGGCGCATTCGTAACACAATTTTAAATCTATTTAAAATATTCGGTAAAAATGGCAACAGAATTTTACTGCCAAAATTGATTGTTTCTGCATTTGAAATATCAGCTAAATATTTTTCATCGATCGGCTTACAATTTTTTATTTCCAATGGGACAATATCAGTTTGTTCGTTTCCAGCTCCATCGATCGATAATGTCAAAAGATTCTGTATCATTTGCATAAGTGAAAAACAAACTAATGGTTTTGCTTTTGGCTCAATCAACAAATCCATCATGTATCGCAATGGTGTTGAGTCAGCATTTCCATCATCGATAAATCGTGTTAATAAAATGAAAAGTCTTGGATACTTTCCGAAGGTCGTAAAAAGTTTATGCAGTGGTGTTACGGACAGAAGACTTTCTTGTGCCAATTTATGGGCTGATGGTGAAACGAACACCAAAAATATTGCATCAATTTCATTATCATTCCATGGATAAGATTCAAAATGATCAAAGAACCGTTGTAAATTCTGATAGCAATTGTTGCGCAAATTCTTGAATGGTTTGGCCAGATCAGATGTTATCTTTGAATCGCCACATTTACTTTGTTCCACAATACTAAATACGGTAGATCCGATAACTAGTAGCACATTTATGATATATCGTAAAAATTTGTTGCTCATCAATCCGCTAAATTCGCTTTGAATCACATCCAAAAGATCGAGTGAACTTTGTAGAATGTTTGGCGATAAAACGTTTCCAGCATTGGTTTTAGCCATAACCTAGAATAGACAAGAACAAATGAAATAGAACAAAAGGAATTGGCATTTGTTTGGTACTTACGTTTTGGCACATAACACGTGCATCATCCTTGAACTCAATTTCAAGCATCCAGAACGACATGTGAAGCATAATCAAAATTTCTTCTTCGTGACAACCGCCCAAAAATCGCATAACTAACGATTTTCTTGTTTGATTTGATGTCTTTTGGCCACCAATTCGTTGCAGCATTTTGCTGTAAAGTATTCTAATAACGATGGGCATCAATTGTGGCCGGTGCTCCAGTTGCACCAGACCACTTGCTTTGTCAATTTTAAAACTAATTATTGCCGATTTAAATTTGGCATCGTCAACCAAATCCTTCAAATAATCCATGTATGGCTGTAGATATTTATGTTTATACGCGAAAATACAGTCCAACGCCAATTTTTGAACTTCTGAATTTCTGTGACTCAATAATTCCAAATATAAATTCCAGAGTTCGGGTTCTCGATGTAACGCTTTTGGATTATTTTGATTAACGAATACTTGAAGCATATTGGTCAGTGTTCGTTGAGTTCCAGCTGGTAGTTTTTGATCGTCTGTGATCTGTTCATCATCATTATCATCTTCATTAACATCGTTATCAATTATATCTTCGTTTTCATTTTCGTTGAGCCCCTTTGCTTTGATTGATTTTTTTATTTTGCGTTTTCGTTGCGCTTGCAATGTATATGTGTCACGATCAATTGTTCTTTTATACTCGTGCTCGATGAAATCCAAAAAAATGGTCACAATTTCCCGATTTTTTATTTCGCGTAACATTCCCAAGAGCGGAATAATGCGCCACATTAATATTCTATAATTAACCAAGTCGATCGGTCGCTCATCATTATGCCAAATGGTTAAGTAATTTTCTCTCAAACACGATTTTACGTCAATAAATTCAACATCATCTTGCACTTCATCCAATTGTTTGTTGCGCAGCAATGTTGTAGTTTCATCGATTTGCATCTTAAATATTGACCAAAAACTTTCAATTTCCAATTCGGAAAAGTATGTAGAAATTAGTTCGGTGATTGGTTTCCAAAGAAGATTGAAATTTACGTGAAGAAATCCCAATAGGTATTTGAGCGGATCATATTTTGATGGTTCATGTACTTTTGATAATGATGCAAGCAGTTTTGTTGTGGGTTCAATGCGTTGGAATAGCAACAGTTGCTCACGATACGTATGAATATTTGTGTCAATAGATTCAATATCGAAGAAAACACCATAAATATTGAATTCCATGTCTTTGGTTTTTAATACATCTGAAAATTGATGTAATAAATGTGCGGTAATTCTTCGCACATTATGATACCGTGATAGAAGATTATTTGATAGCTCGTTATGAACTATTTTGAATAAATCAATATTGAAGTCGCTACTTCTTTTTTCCTTCGGTTTACTTGCTTCGAAGGAAACAATTAAATCTAGCATACGTAGCGTGTGTATATAACGATAATTCTCACACGTACCAAACTTGACCAATTTTTCAACAATTCTTTTTAAAAGGGTAGCTTCCGCGTTGTTGGACGGTTTGAGTTTGATCACTTGTAATTGTCTTAAATGAATTTGTGTTTCAATTAATATCGACAAAATGAAAAGAATTCGTTTGTTTTCTGTTTGAATGAGCATGTTTTCCGATTCACTTAGAATTTCTACCGTATGTGGTTTCAAAGCATTCAAACAAACTTCAATTTGCTCGTTTACTTTTGCCAAGATTTTGTTCACTTCGGCGCCAACAATATGTGGATAAACAATGAGCGCTAATAGAAATTCTTTTGAATCATCAAAATATTCTCCGTTCTTACTGACTGTAGTCAATATCGATTCGATTTTTTGTAAACACTTTTCGGATCGTAGTCGAATGGGATATATTTTTTTAGCGTCTATCGAAATACCATCGCTGAATAAGGGTGACTTGTATAAAATTATTTTTGCCATCAACTCCAATGAACTCATTCCAAAATGATGGCTATCTATGTAGCGTAAGAATTCCGGCAATATTAACACTTCGAATTGTGAATATTTCACACAATTCCATACAAACGCTTCAAATATTTCGGTTGAAGGTATCGTCAATACTTTTTTGGTTATTCGGCTTGCATCCAGTTGAGTTAGGATCACATTGTGCGATAGTAGAAGTACTGTAATTAAGTCAGATGTACAACGCAAACAATCTTCATTATCTTCGCAGGTGTCAATAACTTTTATTACTTCGGTGACAAATTGATTGGGATTGATGAGAAATTTTCCATCTCTAATTTCAAGAGTATGACCCATTATAAACAGCAGGTGCTTCAATGCCAAACTATTTAAGTTAGTGGCAGATTTGTAGTATTCCAATGTGCGGTAGCATGCATCCCAGAATATTTGTATGTTAACGGGTGCAATGTTTTGAACTAAAATCATTACCATGCCGTTTAATATTTCAAACCATACCACCGATTGATGTGTTTTTAATTTTGATAACATCTCCAAATAGGCGCGTAAATATGATTCAGCACAGCTATGGAATTGACCATTTACACCACGAATCACTTCGAATAATAACTGACTGCATCCGCGAATGATATTGTCACTACATGATTGTTCCTTGCTGATTTTTAGCTGTGATAAAATAACCAATAGAAACTTTTCTTTGTCTGCAATATCACGTGCAATGAATGCAAAACATTCAACCGCAAAATTTGTAATGTTTTCTGAATTATCGTTATCAAGAAGTGGTAGTAATAATTTGAAAACTGCCGAAAAATCTTTTTTTAGATATGGCTTGAGAACTTTGAATAAATGCGCCAAACAAATAAGTGTCCATTCTAATTGATCGGAGTCCTTTGTTTTCAATAAATTGAATAAAGTTTCAAACAATGGGTTTTCACTCTTCACCAGATGCACGTATAAATCTTCTCGAAGGTCTTTTGCTAACGCAACTACAAATCTAAGTGCAAGAATGAAAAATAAGTGTTATTTTATATAGCAATACAGAGAATAAAAACATTCTTATTTTAAAAATAAATTAAATATAACTCACTCCAAAAGAGGTTGTAACGAAAGCGCTGTGGCTTTTTCAAGAGATTCCACCAATTTATTAATAACAAATTCTTTCTTCAACAGCAACTGCGGTAGAGTAACAACGTTGCGAATTTGTTTTTGAAAGATGGCATATTCTTCAGTCAAATTAAGAACAATCCATTTGCAGTATGTTTGATGGAATTCTGTGTTCTGCACCTCCTCGTCAATACCTTCATTTTGATGTCGAATCCGATAAAGTGCCGTGCGTCGTAAATCGATCTCATTCAATCGTTCCCCAAACGTTTTAAACTATTTTAATAAATGTTAACTTTACAATTCACCAAATAGAAAATAATATTGGATACTTACACGGAATGAGTTCGTTTCTTTATGACGCTGCGGCTTGTTTTTCATTTTCACAATTTTATATTTTTATTATTAACATGGACATGTGATTAGAAACCGAAATTTGATTAGCTATATCAAAGATATTAGAATATAAACTTGCAGTTTGATCTGTTTTGGAATATATCTGAACGCACGTGTATATTTTAAATTCACTTGAACGTGACATATGAAAATGAGAAGACTTTCGTCAATTGACAGTTGCGCTATAGTTTATTGCGTTTCGAAGAGATGGCGCTATATAAACAATAAAATAATATTTTCATGAATTAATCACATTTTGTTATTTTAAAATATTCTTTTTCCCACACATTTCTTATTCGTGTAAAATACTATGCCTGTACTTTGACCTATATGCATGCAACAATATAGTCAAGGCCAATTTTGGAGCCAATCATATTCATGGTGGGCTAACACTTGTTGTTCTTGTTTGTTAACTGTCAATTTCATCATAATATAGACTGAAATTTTGACACATTTTCGTAAATTGTTGTTTTTTTACATGTTTTCATTATGATGAAGATGTGTATGCAATTTTGTTTTGCCGATTGATACTTCTTTCATCAAAACATATGAGTGTGATTTGTTTGTGGATGTATTGGTATTTAGTGAGCTAGATACGTTTCATTCACGGTTTCTTCGCTCATATAGTCGTTATAAGGCTTTCATAAAAAACATTTTATGTTGTATTGTAAACACTAAAGACCATTCCAATAACAGGTATTTTTTGGTGGTTTGCATTTAATAATTTTTTAAAGAAATTTTCTAATTTGTAATAAAATGAGATTTTATTATAGAAAAATATTATAAATGCACAGTGAAAAAATAGTATCATTCCTTTAGAATATAAGAGAAAATATAAATAAGATGTGTTGAATGCAAAATGTAAATTGTTTTGTTGTTAATACTCGAAATTTTCAGTGTAATTAAAAAATGACTAAAAAAAGAGAAGGGCTGAGGAAACGTCATTTGGTAGTTTTCTATTGAAAATCTCTTATCCAATTCGAACTTTTTTCAATGGGATCGTCAAAATACAGTTTCTTATAAATAATATATTGAAATTTGAACTTTGAATTGGCATTGTCATCAAGAAACGTGTTTACTTATGTGTGCATTCAATTACTTTCATTGAATGGATAATTGCACTTCAAGTCAATAGACTATGCAGTCGAAAATACGAATGATTTTTTATTAAACTTTTATTGAGATTAACATTTGTGATATACTCATTTTGTTTTTACATTTGTCTGTGTATTCACTATCAATTTTGCTATAAAAAAAAACTTGTAATAGTTAATGACGCAAATCGAATACGTTTCGTACGAATATGAAAAACGAGATTTTACATATATTAATTATGTATCACATACGCCAAATAACATTTAACAACATAATGCGTAATAATAGAAATCTTATATTTTTGTTATAGGAATAGAGATGCCGCAATTAAAGACAACAGTCAATCCGGATTTGGAAAGAGAACGACAAAAGTGTACATTTGATGTTGAAGAGTTAGCACGATATTGGATTGGAGATCAAACTAAATTAGAAGAGAAGAGAGCTCGTGGTAGGTTTTATTGGTTGATGGTTGATGTTTATTTTTCGCTATTGCAAAATAAAATCTTATCTAATAAAAAAAAAGAAAAACAAAAAAGAATGAAGCAACAGAATATTTAAATGATAGTTCTCCTACAAAATATGCTACTAGTATGTCCAAATCAACTTGTTTTATGGAAATTCAATACAATCTGTTGCGCTATCGAGTGTGAGAAAAAATCATTACAACATGAGTTTTCAACGAAATTTTTTAATGTTGTTTAGAAAACAAAAGTGCTAAATAGTTACGAATAAAATCAGATTGAAAATCTTTTTTCATTTTCTTTCTTATAGAGGATTTCTTCTTAAACGATCCCGAATTGCAAGACGAAACACCGCCAGCTTATTTATCTCATAAAGAATTGTATGAGTATGCAATTCGAAAATCAACGATAGTGTTCAAAAAGATAAAACAATTGCAAGAAGAAGGCAAAGATGGTGTAGATAATTATCTGTGTGTATAAATTGGTTTTTAATTTAAATCATCTTTTGAATTCAAAGAAGAACATTTTCGTTTCGAATTATAGAGCATTATTGGGTGGACAATTGGGATCAGGCATAATTAAAGAGGGAAACCCATTCGCTGTACATTTTGCGATGTTTGTTCCAACGATTTTGGGTCAAGGAACTCTAGAGCAGCAGGGTGAATGGCTTGGCCGTGCATGGAACATGGAAATTGTCGGTACATATGCACAGGTAAATTAATAAGATTTGGTCATACTAAAGTAGAAACATTTCTTCTAAATTAGATTTTATTATAATAAAATACAATATAGACCGAACTTGGTCATGGAACTTTCATTAGAGGTCTTGAAACTCGGGCAACTTATGACGAAAAAACGGAAGAATTCGTATTGCATAGTCCATCTATAACTGCCTATAAATGGTGGCCGGGAGGATGTAAGTTTCCAAATTAACTGTTTCAATAATAAATTGATCAAAAAAAAAACTTATCAATAATTGACAGTGGGACAGAGTTCAAGTTATGCGGTGGTTGTTGCTCAACTATACACAAAGGGTGAATGTCATGGTATTCATCCATTTATAGTGCAATTACGCGACGAAGACACTTGGGCACCGATGCCAGGAATAAAAATTGGAGAGATTGGACCAAAACTTGGTTTGAAAAGTGTAAATAATGGATATTTGGGATTTGACAACGTACGAATACCGCGTAAAAATATGCTTCAAAAAAATGCCCAGGTTAAGGCAGATGGCACTTATGTGAAATCACCGTCTTCCGTTTTAACATACGGCACAATGATGTTTGTACGTGTGGTTATTTTGCGTGATGTATCAGGTTCACTTTCAAAAGCAGTGACAATCGCAACACGGTATTCGGCTGTCCGGCGACAAAGTCCAATCGATCCAAATGAGGTTGAGCCACAAGTTATCGATCATGTTACCCAACAATATAAAATATTCCCGAATATTTCCAAAGCTTTTGTGATTAAATTAGTTAGTGATTATATTTGGGATATGTACAATCAAGTTACATCTGAACTAGATCGTGGAGACTTGGAACGTTTGCCCGAAGTATGTTTTCCGTGATTTTTCCACATTTTTCTGTTAGTCTTTATTTTAAAACGAACGTAAAACTAGATATAATGACGTTTCATTGTTTTGAATGTAGTTGCATGCGTTAGCATGTTGTTTGAAAGCAGTTTGTACCGCAGATGGAGCAGGTGCAATTGAACAGTTACGATTAGCTTGTGGCGGACATGGATATATGGACTGTTCAAATATGCCATCAACATATGGAATGGTTACTGCTGCCTGTACATATGAAGGAGAAAACACCGTTTTATTACTGCAAACAGCTCGGTAAATTGATATGAACGAAAACAGTGCTACAATATTTAAATTTAAATAAATTAAACAATTAGATACCTCATAAAAAGCTGGGATGGCGCTCTGCAGGGAAAGTCTTTGGTTCCAACATTGAGTTATCTGAGTAAATTCATTAAAACTCGAAATCAGCAAAACTGGAATTCATCGATTACTGGCATTGTAGCAGCACTGCAGGCAGTATCTGCGAAGTATCTATTTCGAAATTTTTATTTTGTGGCAGACGGGTCGAAATGATAAATCTGTAATTATTTTTTGCAGTAAACTTCGATTGGCTTACGAGCATTTGGAAGAGCGAAAGAAAAAAGGTTATTCTTATGAACATGCAGCGAATGCAACATCCATCGAATTGGTGCAATGTGCTGAATCCCATTGTCGTGCATTCCTAGTGAGCTCTGCTTATGAAATGACGAAAGATCTAGAAAAAAAACTATCACCACAGTTATCAAAAGTCATTCAACAACTAATTGAATTGTATGCGGTTGATACGTGCTTGAAATCGTTAGCAGACTTACTTCGGGTCTGTATTTCACTTGTTTAAATGAATGGTACATAATAATTGAAACATTTCTATTTCTTATAGTTCACCGCTATATCTGAATCGGATATTCAAAAACTAAACCAGAAGTTGGAGATTTGTTTGGCTGACATACGACCAAATTGTGTGGGAATTGTTGACGGATTCGATATTCCAGACGGAATACTCTGTTCAGCGCTGGGTGCGTATGATTATTGTTTCATAGTTTCCATTATATGTTGATAAATTTCTATTATTTTCATTTTAGGTGCATATGATGGAAATGTATATGAGCGTTTGTACGCCGAAGCACAAAAATCCCCACTTAACAAAGCAACTGACAACAAAGCATTCCATTTGTATTTAAAACCATTTCTGAAATCAAATTTATAAGCATCATTTTTACTAGAAATTTCTGCAAGAACATTGTCTTTTTCAAAATTATGTGATTTTCGTCAATATGTTATATCGAAATAACTGGGTGAAATACTGGAATTATCAAAATCTAATATAGTATCAAAAAAAATCAAGAAAGTTTTACTATATCTTGTGCTATATATCTTTTCAATTTATGATGTATATGAATTTTTCGTTTCCCGTATACAGAAACAATTTTTTTTTTTTTAAGTTTTTATTTCACAAAATTAATACTTTATTTTTTCTGCACTTTGCATTTAGTTAATTATCAACTAAAACTATGGTCTGGCTTGCATTCTATAGAAGATAGCTACTTTTGCAAATGAAAATTGTACATTTAAGCATGCACATTTTTTTATATTGCTCGAAACTTACAAAATTGGTGCTGTACTTTTAAAAATATCCATATAAAATTGGAAAATTGGGAATTTTGGGATTATGTAAATAATTATTACATGTATTGGTAAATAAGCTGTAAACGTTCAATATTGAATAAAGTTTTAAAAACAATTTATATATATTTAATTTTTATCTCACGATTTTCTATCCATTAAATTATTTTCATTGATTTCTTGAACATGTTTAATATTATTTCTCAGCACAGCAATCATACTTAAAACCTGATTCAATATTATTAATATTAATAATATTCTTTGAATACAAAATAATTAAAATAGTCTTTCTTTTACTGGTAATAATAATATATAAAAAGTTTTCATGTAAAAGGTATCTTGAAGCGTTCGAGTTTCACAGCTTGAATTTATTCGAATCAAATACATGTTTACGATCTTTATTTGGACGAAGACGAATTTTTGGTGCTAAAGCATTTGGCAAAAAATGCATCTAATTTATGGTACAAATGTCGTCTAACTCCCCATAGAGAATGATCTTCATCTGGATAGGTCTGTAAAAAAGTATTCATTATATTTTATCTTTTTATCAATTTGAATCCTTCTTACGATTTGCTCAAATGGAATGTCATTCAGTTCAAGGCTACGCGCTAAGGCCATTGATTGTTGATAATGTACATTATCATCCAAACTGCCATGAACAAGAAGATAAGTTTTGTTTCTGAACTCTTCGGCCTTAGTGCTAAGTCGCGCTCTATCGTAACCTTGGGCATTATCTTCTTTGAATGGAAGTCCCATATAACGTTCAGTGTACATTGTATCTGTAAAAAAAGATGTAATATGAAGTGGAAATTCAAAAAAATTTGCTCAAAAACTCGGATACGTAGTTTTGATATTGTGAGTTTTTTTACCGTAATACAGCCAATCGGTTACTGGAGCAACTGAAGCAGCACACTTGAAAACATTTGCGTTGTCCGTTGCCAATGCCATTCCAGCTGTAAAACCTCCGTAGGACCAACCTAATGAAATAAAAATCGAAGTCAATTACTCTTGATGAATTCAAAATAAAAAATAAATAAATATACCCCATATCGCGACACGAGATTCGTCAATGAATGGAAATAAATCTGTTAGCTTCCTACGCAAATTCATAGATAAATAAATACAAGTAGACAGAGAGGAAGAGAGGGAAAAAGAGATAATAATGAGAATTTTTATTGAAAATGCTATTAATACCATTTAATCACTGATAATAACAATTATGTAAATTATTGAATTATAGCGGGGAGTATATAAAGCTTTTCGTTTCACAGAACATTCATTATTACAATTGTACTTACTTTGTTGTTTCAATTTGATCTTCCACTTCAACGGTTCCCATAGCGCGATAAATCGTATGCAGAAGATTTTGGCCACGATTCCCAGAACCGCGCCCATCGATTTGAGCTAAAATATATTTTTGACTCGTCACTAGATATGAACTGAAACTGATTTCCCACCTATCAAGGGAACTCTGTGATCCAGGACCAGCATATACATCAATAATCCTAAAAAACGTATTGTTGTTTAATTATCTTCTTTTTTAGTTACGATAAAACTGATATTTATTTACATGGGATATTTGGTTTTTCCACTAGTATCTACATCTGGTGGGAGTTGAAGCTTAACTACTGCTTCGAAACCATTTTTCAATGGAATTTGATGATATTTTATGATTGGTGTTGATACTTTGGCCAATAAAGAATGGAGACCATGATTATTTTCCCAATTCCGAAGAAATATAAGTTCAGCTGAAAGAGTCAAAAGATAAAGAAGATGTATTTGCTTATTCAGTTGGTAGTTGCTGGATAAAGGTTATTATAAATACATACAAGAATTATGAGAAGACAATCTCACAATATCGGTGCGCGGAATTGCGGGCCCATCATTATTAATCACAATATGCTTACTGTTCGGACTGAATTTTGCGCTAAAGTATGTTTGTAGTACACCACCACGTGTAATATTACACGTTAAACATTGTCTTATGCTCGGATCGTCAACTTGAACAGACCAAATATGCTTAATGTAAGAAGAATTTTTACTATTAGCAGCATAGAAAATTGTGTTGGTGTCTTCACTCCAATTTAACACTTCTAAAACAACAAATTCGCCTGATGTTAGAATTGTTTGCTTTCCTGTTTCAAGTGAAACAAGCGTCAAATGTTGATATGAATCGTTAGCATCCTTTTGAAATTGTGGCGTTATATAAACAAAATGTGAGCCATTTTTATTAAATGTTGGTGGCTTGAAGAAATCAATCCATCCCATTGAACTGGACAAATCCAAAATCTGAAAAAAATATGTTATCCACACGTGAATGTGTATGTATGTTAGAGTGTTTCCCGTATCAGCAAATAAAAAAATGGTATTTCTTAATTCAAAGAAGGCAAAATTCTATGTTAGTAAATGGCATTCATATAACGAAGCGATTGATTTTAGCACTTCCCGAAACGAAAACATATCTGAAAATATAGTTGATTAGAATTTGAAGTACAATTCTCTTTGCTGTTTGCACGTATATCGACACTGTTCGCTTTGATAGAATATTGTTGCGATTCTTTAGAATTCGATAAATAAACAAAAGAAAGTATTTATATTCAACGCATTTTCAGAATCGTGTTGTTCGCTGTGTCAGCCGTTTTTTTGGCCTGTAAAATCATTTTATGAATTGAACCAAGCAGTCCATACAACACATACACATTTATATTGATCGCGATAGGCTAATAATAATAATCATTCCGTTTCTTTTGCTCTTAAGTGTTTACATACAAACTGTGATTCCATTTATTGGTTCCGTACCATACATTCTTATTCAAACGCTTTATAAACAAAAAATGTGTGCAGTATAAGAATGCTTTCGACACAGAACCATCGGAATGTGGAGAAGTGTGTTGGTTCAAATGAAACGATCGTGTTGAAACTTGTCAGAATCAATGTTTTTTTTATTTGAATTTGCATCGTCATAATTTCATTGGATTCGATTGATAAAAGTGCTAAAACATATTTTTGGATTGTGTCAGTGTATGCTATATTTGTTTCTTGCTTTCAAAGAAGTTTATTTTTCGCTGTTGGCGGTTTTCTATTGGAATTATTGTCAACCGATTGTTTTCAAACGAGATATTTGCGGTGAATTTTGTGTTTGATTTTGTTTAGTTTTGATAATAACAAAACATTCACAAGCTGAAACTGCAAATATTTCGATTTAACTTTGGACCGTGTTGGTGTGGTTTGCATTTATATGTTGCATTCAAAAGAGTTAATATCACCCAATTTGTCGATTTTGAATCAGTTCACGCTTAACATTCAATCAGGTAACATCAAGTGTCAGTTTTGTCCCCATATATTCAGTGCTTCCTATTGATTCAATTCATTTAAAAATTACACAGTGCAGAAAATATATTTGTCATTTTATTTGTGTTCTAAATTGCGCGTGTGTTTTTTTTTTTATTTCGTTTTAGTTCAACATGTCAACGACTGGTGAAACTACGGCTGCTACAGCGCCAAGAAAAAAGCGATACAAATTTCAAACGAATGCGCAAAAAGAAAAGGATGCTGATGATGATGTAAACGATAATGGATTGTTCGCGATTAAAATGCGCCTCAACACAATTTTACGACCAGAGTTCAATCACATTGTCAAACCGTGGATCGAACAGAAAAGCATAATGTCAACGAAAATCACCGTTTTGGCATCATTACTTTTCTTGGATAAAGTGAAATCGGCACAAATGAATCGACAGTGGGAGTTTTTTAAAAACCGAACGTATCCGGCCAAAAAAGGAAAGAAGAAAGGACAGCTCGTTGAAAAGAATCGTGGCGAAGAAGTGATTGAGCAATGTTTCTATGCCGTCTTGCAAAAAAACAAAGAAGGTGAGAATATGGAGCCACATTTCCGTCAGTTTGTCGAAGAGCTCAGTCCAGAAAATAATTTCGCCTGGCCCAAGAACGATTATTTTGGTAATCATTTTAAAACGCTTTGCCAAAATCACACGCGATGCTTGAAAACCGGTCAAAAGACACACTGCAAGAAGAAGTTGAAAAATTATCTGCGAATGCGAGCGTGGCAATTCAACGCAGTGTCTACCGGTTGGAAATTCGACAAGAAGGACATTGACAATGCAGTCGATTTGATGATTCGAGGCTACAATGCGATCCGTGACACTCATCAAAATGCAGATTTCAAACGACACAAGCGAACATTACTTACTGGCATGGTTACTGCAATTGTGCGAGAAGTTGGTGGCCCAACCAATGATCACAACATCAAGGATTTTTCAAAAGGCGATTATTGGTTCAAAGCAACTGCAATGTGGCTCGTTATGCAGACAGAAATCGATGAGTGGCACAATTGGGCGCAAGATAACAATGTGAAGATACCAAATATCAAAAATCTCTCGGTTGTTCCATTGCCTGATTATCAACGAAAGGCAGTGTTCATGTGCAATGATGTCTTCTATCGAATGCTGGCCGAATCGAAACAACTTCCACAAGTTGATGGTAGACAAGCAACCGAAAGTTACATTCGCCAGAACAAAGAATTCTATTGGAATCAAGTATTCGATTTAACGACCATCAATCGAAAACTGAAGAAAAACAAAGAATTCCATTATACCATCGTCAGCAACGGTGAATCTGTGTCGATTATGTATCGCATGTCAAAGCAATACGAGCAACAGATGCAGAATGATGATATTCTTCGAAAGCAATTCATGGGCGGAAAATTTGCTTACGAACTGGGAATCGATCCAGGCATGAAAACATGGAATGCCACAGTTCGTCGAAATATCGAAACAAAGAAAGAAGTGAGTGTTTAAATTTTTGGCATTATTGAGAAATAGAAAGTGATACAGTTACGTGAATAATTTTTTTCTTCACTTTTCCATTTCAGGTCAACTTGAAAACGTCCAGTAAGAAGTACCATTGGCTGGCAAAGCAGAAGACGCGCGATGTAAAGGCAAAACGATGGACGAAGCAGTTCACCCAAGAGGAGCAGGACGATCGAAATAATCGACAATTGTATCAGCGAATGCCATCACCACTGGGCATACTCTGGATTGATTACGTTCATCATCGTATCAAAATGCTCAAGAAAGGAATGGCCGTGTATACAACACCGAAATACACGCTGTTGCAGTTTGACAAGTACGTCGAATCGAATCGAACCGTTGATAAACTCACTGGGAATTTGGTCAATCATAAAGCCGCAATTATTCACATGGGAAATGCAGAAATATCACCAAACTCGTGCATTCGAATCAAAAAGCATGTGAGAGCTCCAGGTACGCGCAAACTACTCAAAGGCTTTCGAAAACGTCGCAGTTGTCGTGTGCGCAAAACAGATGAGTGGGGTACATCGCAGCATTGTGCAAAGTGTGGGCGACGATTTAATCCAGCCACAAGGAGCCATCGATTCAAAGTGTGTGAAAATTGTGGAGCGGAGCCCGATTCAATTTTCGCCGAATATTTACCATCAAAAATCGTAGCACAGCGCAGCAAACGGCAATTGAGGTACAACAAAGATGAAGTTGAACTTTATTTGATGCGATTTTGGGCAGAAGGACTCATGACTGAGCAAGAATTCGATATTGCTGCTGAACGTTTACTGTCTAAGGTGGCCGTGTATCCAAAAAATTGGCAAGTAAACACAGTGAGTGGTAAATTGGAATATGCTCAAGTCAATGCTGATGCACCGTATGCAACTGTTCAACAGCCATATGCAGTCGATGATGAAAATGAATTGGAAATCGAAGACAAGCAACTACTAATGGCTGTACACAAGACATCTTGGGATCGTGATATCGTCGCCGCCAAATGCATTCTCATCAAAGGTATGTGTATTAGAAATTTGCATTTGCATATATTCTACATATTAAATGAAATGCACACTATTTGAATGATCTATTTTAGCGCTCGATGATAAATATGTATGCAATATTTAATGACATTGAGAAAATATTTTTTTAATAAAAAAATAAATTTCTGTTGAGATATCTAAACATTTGTATAGATTTAAGAAAAAAAATCATTTCTGCCAATAATCTATACATTATTTCCGTGTGTGTGTTTACTTTTGAATAGGACATTGTGAGCTGTTTGGATGGGATATTCCGGCAGGATTAGACAGACGATCACCGCGACAGCCAGCAGTTCAACCGAATCAGCAGCCTTAAGCGTCACCAATCACCATTCGTACTCGAAAATTAATCAAAAATTAATATTGTAATTTGTTACATTAACTGAGACTGACTGTTGTGTCTCAGCATTTCGAGGAAGTACTTCTAGGTGTTTTTTTCTGTAAGTATTCTTCACTATGAGATTGTATTCATATAATGGAGTGATTGATATTCATATTCAGAGGCAACAATCGTTTTTCGCTTCGGGAAGTGTTGATATAAATCGCTTTGTTGTATCGATGCTACTAACCAGCATAGAATTTTGTCTACTTTCAATTAAAAAATACCATTTTTCTATTTACAGATATGGGAAACACCCTAATGTATGTAAAAATTAAATATATATACCCGACGACAGATCTCTCCTTCGCAGGCCTCAACAATAGCACGATTTTGAACGCGATTCATCCAGGTCGATAGTAAAGTATCATTGTTTGCCCCCCACAAAACTACAGATATAATGTGCTGTTTCTCACGCAATTCTTGTGGTGGTAAAATTTGAATTTTTATCACAGCTTCGTTGGGTGAAACAGTCGTCAAATCGACCAAAAACAATTTCACCAACGGATTATTCGTTCCACTTTTCGTTAAAAATAAAGAGAATTGTATGACTGATCTAGAATTGCAGTAATAGATTTAATTTAAAATAACTAACGTTTTCGGATATGGAAAATCAATGAATCCAGGATATTGATCACGGGAAGACCCAGGAGCACCATAAACCGGAATCGCAATATGATTAACAGGTGAATCGTCAAATTGTACATAAGCTAGTTTTTTATTATCAGGTGATATCCAGGCAGCAGTTTTTGTTGAAAAAATTTCCTCTTCATACACCCAATCACATATACCTAAGGAAAAATAATCATAAAACAATCAATAATAATTAATAAGCAAATTTTTAAGGGATTTGATTTTTGCCAATCACGTATACCATTATAAATATTGGCACTGCCATCATTTGTTATTTGTATTGCAGGATGTACGACACTTGGTTTATAATAAATGTTATTTTCTTGAATATATAAAATACTGTTATCAATTGGACCCCACTCAGCCAACGCCAACAAATTCTAAAAAAAAACGTATTAGAGATTAATTTGCTTTTTAAGCTACTTTAACACGAATCATTTATATTTATATTTACTTACATCAGACAGTTTGTATAGCTCTTTTGTCTTCAAATCTAAAATATCGTAATGAGCTAATGCACTGTGCCGATAAATCTAATATAATAAAATTCAAAATGATTTTATTAAACAAAACGAAATCATATTGGACAATGGACAATTTGTTCAATTTTAGTCATCCAAAGATACAAAGCTACATTTACAAAGTAAACGTTTTTCATTTAAATGTATCTTTTGAAATATTTACCTTTTGATAGTCTCTTCCCAGCAACAAAAAACGGTGGTCAGGTGAAATTTCTTGTGAAAATGACGAAGCAATAGCCTAAGAATATGGTTTATTGAGATGCTCAAATTGTATGAATTCATGGAAAATAATTAAAAACATTATGGCTTACGGCAATATGTGCTTCTGCTAAAATTTCTGTTTTGTTTGTGATTACATTGAAGGTCACCATATTACCCTATAAAAATTCAGAATAGTATTTTTGATGTGGGTTTTGTGCTAAAAATAAATATATCTTACTGAAAAATCACGATAAAAAAGCAATGTATCGGAGATCCATGTCGCATTATTGTGCCGTGCATAATATTTTCCACCCAAAACATCATTAAGTGATATGGGCAGACCAATTCCATTTTTATTTTTGGCTACCTCTGGTTTAATTGCACCATAGTAAATCAGGCCCGCTACACACAGTCCAACTACACATAAAATGGTCAATGCGATGCACAGTCGTTTTTTCAGTCTGCTTCGGTTTTTCGCACTGACTAGCTCCTATTTAAATGAAAGTTCCATTTCCAATCCACCAATATAAAAAAAAAAAATAGAAATAACAAACAAACATGAATAGATTTTTGACAAAAATTACATTTAAAATTTGGAAAGGCTATAAAAAGTTTATGAAATTGTGTTCAAAAAAAATAATCATAAACGTTGGTCGTAATGAATGTGATTTTGGTAACAATGACTCAATATGAATTACTAGAAAAACAAGTATATCATTGTGCCAGTCAGAGAATGAATTGATTTGGCAGCAAAAATGTTGTATTTGTTTTTAATTTAATGTTATACCTGTTCGCTTTGTCCAATTTCAATCGAGTTTCCATGTGATCCCGGCATTTTGAAATTGTTTTTTCTTACTTTAAACTGTCACTGGTTTTAATTTTAATTGTTTTTACTTTGAACAGCACCAGATGGACATATTACAATCAAGACAAAACTTAATTAAAAAAAAGTGATGATAATAATTACGATATGGTGCATTGTTTTTAAAAAAAGGGTGTAAAAAACTTGAAATATTTAATTTGTATTTGAGACCATTAGATATCTTACTTTAAGACTTTTACAACGCATATACATAGATAGTCCTGGATATGTTAAGTCAACGATGAAGAATAGCCAACAAAACAGCCATGCCAGAACAAAAATTTCATAGATTTTTATGAACATCCATCCCAAAAAGTTTAAGAAAAACAACTACAAAAAGTCACGTACAGACAGATATTTGGTATTTGAATTTGAGGATTTCATAACAATTTTTCAAAATGTTAAATTTTTAAAACGGATTACTCCGGTTAGAAATTGATCTCTACAATCTTAATATCGAAATTTCAGGCATCAATGTCATCATTTGGCATAGCTGGCGCCAAAGTCGAAAAACTGGAACTTGGCCGTTTATCAAAGGGTCCATTTTTGAAATTCAATGGTTTTTCGTAAATTTATAGTACAATGACTTTCAAACCATGCATCAATCACGACGAGTCAACACAATAATAATTTTTGCGATTTGTTCGAGCTATTTGCTGTATCGGTGCCGCATCGGTATCGTGAACAGAATCGTATATTTAAGGTGAAATTTTTCGGAATTATTTAAATTACACATTAACGAATTGTGGGACATTGCATGTATATAGCATGTCGTTCACGTTTTTCGATAAGCATGTCAATTAAAACGTTGTACAGTTGTTTTCCCTTCTATACAGCGAAATAACAATGATATCAAGGCAAGCGATTTTTTTTTGTTGACGTGTTATCCACTTTATTGTTTGGATTCACACAATAAAGTTGGTGATTTCAGTAATTAACACCTTTTATTCAATTTCAAATGATAATCCGGGTATTCGCAAGATTTTTTTTTCAAAAACACCTAGCAAATTCCCCAGACCAAGACTTTTAATGCCAAAGACGATGAACACTTTCTTAACTCCTCAATTCTACGATCAGAATTTTTTCAGAAGAAGTTATATACATTTTGCACGAAAAATACAATCAAATAACATATGTAATGAAATGTGTTTTAATGGGACAATGAACGTCTTTGTATTACTTTTGCTTAAAAAAACAAACAAACATTAAGATCTGCAAATCGAATTCACGCGATCAATGAAGCAGAGCAGAGACTATAGAAGGTTGATATCATTTGTGCATTTTACTTTTCAAATCAATGGTTGCTCACAAGGACCGGCAATCGCTTAGAAAAATGAACATGTATTGAATTTAGTTTGCTTTAACAGTACGATGTCGTTGTTATGTAGATACCTTTCATTTAAAAAGTTATTTCATTGAAAAAATGAAAGTGATAAGATGAAACATTAAGATGTAACATACTTTGGATGCATTACTAGTAAGTAGTTAATTGGGTTTTTCGAATAAACTGAAATTGAAAATATTGATTTTTATAAATAATATTAGTTTATACAATATTATTAATCCACTTGGAAACATTTTTTTCGATTATTTGATTTTTTTTTTTTGTTTTTTCATTTATCATAAGTTGTTTATAAAACATTTCGTTTCATTGGGAGAAAGTCGAAATAACAAAGTATGCAAAAATGTTGATATGCATGAAAGGTCGCAAAATCAACATTCAACACCAAGCACGTTCTATTATATTTAAAAATATGTGAGACATCGCATACAAATAAACGCACCAAATACTCTTAACGTATTTTAACATCGATAATTGACGCAGAAATATAAAAATGATGATTTATTTATTATACACGTTTTGGAACGGGTTAAGAACAAATTATTTCTTTCTTTTATTAGCTTCATTTTTCTTCTCAATTTTTCTGTGACCAATTCATTTATTCATTTGATCAAGGTTCGAATAAGATTATTTCAGTACTATCCAATCTTTAATTAAGATATGTGCCCACTGGACCGAATCTCCTATTTATAAAACATTTTTTATTAACATTTTCTTAATAAATTATATCAACAATATTATTAACATTAGCATGAAGCAAAAAAAGGTATTCAAATGATATTTTGAAACACATATTCACCATTAAATTGACACGGTTTTTGAAAATTATGACAATTAGTTGTTCGATTGAATCTATATAGCGTAAAAAAATCAGCTTAAAAAACTTTTGGATAAATATAAATATTTTTTTGTGGGTAACTAATTTGCGTCTGCACAAGCACAAACACAGAGATTTTATTTTTTATTTTTATGGTAGTCGAGCCAAATCAGTTGCGTCTTAGCTCATTCAATTAATGTTTACAACTGATAGCGTATGTTGAAGTGAAATACTTCAAACAACTGAAAACAACATTTCACAAATCAAACCTGTATACAGAGTGGCAGCTGTGTGTAGCAAGTAATCAACACATAGACAAATGTATGTATTTCACAAATATACCTAGTGAGCTTGGCACGCGCTTTTTCATACCATTCTTCTCTACAAACAGTACGTGAAATGATTTCATCTCTTTTCAATTATAAAGAGGAAGATACATTTATGCCGACCTGTGTTTATTTTATTTGTGTACACATTATAACGTATAGATATAGCTCAATAGTATAGACACGAATATTTTTACATAAACTAGTCTTTTTTCATTTCGTTTAAATGTATTTGGACTGCGATGATGGTTATCGTTCATGCCTCCCACCAAATACATAAATTCATTCAATTTGATTTAAATTTGACATAACTATGCAAAATAATTTGATGCAATTTAATAACAAAATTTTTTGTTGATGATGATGATGATGATGATAATGAAAAAGTGAATAATGATCGAAAATAAAAAACGACAAAGATAAATGTTAGTCTCAACAAAATAATTAAATCGCCATTATTTCTTGCAATATCCTTCAAATAAGCATTCACATTTACATGTTACGATTTAAAACGTATATAATAAAATAATCATCATCGATATCATAACACTTTTCGAAGAAAAAAAAACGTTCGAAAAAAATGTTCGAAACACGCAACACAAAATCACTTCTCAATGGACCGTTTGAATGCGCAAAAAATTTTGAGAGATAGACTAGACGAAATACTTACATCAACTGAATTTCCCCGAATGGGAATGGGTATCGCATCGTCGAACTCACTTTGGGCCAACAACGTATAAATAATTGCTCCATTTGTACAGAATTTCATTTTTTTTCCCACTGTTATAATTCAATTTAAATATATAATCTGCTCATTTTTCTCATTTCAAATTCATATGATTTTTATAAACCGAAATTCTATCCACAGAAACGCTGACCCTTTGAAATTGAAAATTATTCACATTGCACAAACACATTTTAAATTTAAACAAATCTAGTCAAATCCGAATTATTTTTTTATATTATTGATTAAACTTAAAGTGAACGAATTATTTACAGGCTGAAAAATATGCTTTAACAATGGTTTTGAATGTAAAAAAAATATCTTGTTGATATCCTACGATCATTAAAACAGTACTGCGAACATTTTGAAAATATGACTGTATCTTGTTAGTTCACATAACACATAATTACATACCCACTTGTTTTAAATTGTTTTCTTATGTTCATTTCGTCTATAAAAATTTTCAAATGCTCATTTCTTATCTCATTAGTATAATTTATTGTTAATGTTTGCATATTGTCTTTCATCAATACACACACTGATTATCATTTCGCTTGTGTTCAAACATCACTTTTTGGGTAATCTTAACTCACAATTTTAAACGCCACATCATTTCAAACATTTTATTTTCGTTGATAGGAATTTTGGGCAAATGAAATGAAAACATTACAACCACATGTGTGGCTCGTTCATATGATCGTTGTTGTTTGATTCTAAACAATTTTATAAAACAGCTGTTTCAGTACTGCTCATTTTTACGTATATTAAATATCTTCGTCATTTACACATTCTCATTCGATATTATGACGATAATTGTTTTCCAATAATACTTTATCGCATTTTATAACCTATTGCCCTTTTGAATATAATACAAAGCGAGAGAATAATGCAAAAAGTAGAGCCTTAACACTTTTTATTAACTCAATTTTCAAGAATTTTCATGTTGTAACTAATGACAAACAAAACTATACGCGGTGCCATTAAGGTACCTGTACTCTATGTCCAATTCTCCCACTTTCATCTTGCTATGAGAGCTACGTTCGAATTGAAAGTGGTTATTCACTGCAAAATTCCACATTCACATTATAAACAATGTATAACAATGTAACCCAGTGTATATATGAAAAATCTGTTAACTGTGAATTATAGTAGTTTGTGTAAAGTGTTGTAGCGGCGCTACTGAAGTATACGTGATCATAGTATGAGAGGTCGCATGAAGCCCAACTTCAGATTTTTCGGACGTTCTCTATCATGGGTACACGAAAAATCGAGTGTTTTTTTTGACAATGAACCCTTTTGCATTCAAAAACAGTCCAAAAATTTGAATAGAAATTGAAGTAAATCATAAAATTTCAAAGTTTCTTTGGCAGATTATTCGTAATGGAGATTAGAAGTCATGTGTATTAGAGTGGTTCGATTTTGACATTTTTGCGAGAATCAAAAATTGCACCCCCATAACCTCTGTGGGATAGTCATACAAACACGACTATGACAACGGGTTTGAAAAAAAAAATGTGTTTCCCTTTTGCACAGAAATTTTTCAAAAAAAATCGAATTTTGAAAAAACTTAAGCACTTTGAAAATTCACAAAAATGGTACCAAAAGGGAAACGCATTTATTTTCAAATCCGTTGTCATAGCCGTTTTTCTATTACCATCCTACAGAGATTATGAGGGTACGATTTTTGATTCTCGCAAAAATGTAAAAATCGAACCACTCTACAGGGTGTGCCAGTGAAACTGATATTTTTTTTCATAACTACGTAGCTACAACTATATTGCTCTCCAATCACTCTTTTGTTTACCGTTATGTTTATTCATGTTTTGGCTATGTACTGTGATGATGCACATTAGTGCGCAGTTCTTGTTTACTTTGCAACAACAATGGATGTCAAACGTCAACTCGTTTTGAATTTGCATAAAAAAGGTTTGCGACAAGTTGATATTTTTCGGCGGCTTCAGAACGACAATATCAATTTGTTATTTATTCATCGCACCATAAAACGATACAAGGAACGCGGAACAGTCGATGTGAAGCGAAAACCAGGCAAAAAAAGATCTGTGCGAGCAAAAGATCTGGTGAAAAAGGTACGAGACAAAATTCGTCGAAATAACAAAAGAAGCGCCAGAATCTTGGCTCGTGAGCACAATATCAGTCACACTTCAATGCGACGAGTGTTAAAAGAAGATTTGGGAGTGAAACCATTCAAAAAAACCCGAAAACACGAATTGACAGTCAAAAATAAGCAAGATAGAAAGCGAATATGCAAAGAACTGCTACGCCGGCGCGCAAACTCAAACATTGTTTTTTCAGACGAGAAGTTGTTCCTTTTGCAGCCAAGTCTCAATGTGCAAAATGATCGTGTTTATGCAGCGACAATTGAGGACATTCCTGAAGATGATTTAGTCGTTGAACGATTTCAAAATGTGTCAAGTGTCATGGTTTGGGGTGCCGTTTCGGCCGGCCACAAATTTCCCCTTGTTTTCGTTGACAAAGGCGTTAAAATTAACGCAGCTGTGTATGAAGAAGAAATATTGCGCAAAAACTTTCTGCCACATGCCGAAACTGTGTTTGGTGATGAGCGATGGGTGTTTCAGCAAGATGGAGCACCGGCACATCGAGCAAACAAAGTACAACAGTGGTTAAGAGAAAATGTGCCTGATTTTATTGACAAAGATGAGTGGCCGCCATCGTCTCCAGACTTGAATCCATTGGATTATTTTGTGTGGGGCTACATGCAATCGAAGCTAAATGATCTGAAGATTAAGAAAATCACAAAATTGGATGCATTCAAAAAGAAAATCGTCAAGATTTGGAACGATATTCCCATCAAAATGGTGCGCGCCGCGTGTAAATCTCAATAAAGTTTTTGTTCAATTTTAGTAAAAAACAATACGTTTTTTAAGCATATATAAAAATATCAGTTTCACTGGCACACCCTGTAATGTGTATATTTTTTTGTATCATAAAACATAGAGATGATTCATTTGCCGTCGATCACTAATGTGTTTTCACACAGCGGAATATAAATTCATTGTTGTAACACGCATATGGAGTAGCGGCGACCGGACATAAACCGTACAAATACGGTACGAAAATATTCTGGTTCTGCTATTCTTGCACGGGATATCCTCCAATTTCTGTATTTTGATACGAGAACTGTGCAAGCGATAAGAGATAACCCATCGAACTGTCAAAATCGACTGTGCCACAGTTATTTGTGTCAACGTGGGCCACCCGTGGCATAACCCGTTTGACATGTGTATTCTCCTTGAACCTCATCATTCGTTGTTTATAATGTAACACACGGAACTACACGATATTGGTATTTATTTCAACGCAAGACATTTCAGATCGAAATATTGGTGTATGATCAATTTCTGATTGTTGGATAGAGCACCTGAATCAGCAGGCTCATAGTTTCTAAAGTTGACGATTTAATCAGGGGTAACAAATCCCTCGCATCCAAGTTGTGAATATCTGTGATAATCTTTCTACGTCACAAATTTAAAAAAAAACGCATTTTAATTTTTTTTTTCATTTATTTATAATTTTCCTTAAATTTTGGTTGTAGAAGAAAAAAAAATATATTTTTATCTATATTTACAATTCTATTCATCTAATAAAAATTATTGAATTAACTAAGTAGTACGCTTTTATATAAGCTATCGAGTTGGTGATTCCATCGATGGGAAGCATAATAATGCTTCTAATGCAATAAATTCAACGGTATTAATAATATAAACTATTATTAATTGCTGGTATTAATTAAACTTTTAACGTCCAGTTTATATTTCTCAATCTCCAATAGTAATTTGCAGTATTTGTTTCATCGTCTTTGCATTATTCTATATTAATTCCAATTATTTTTCCCTGATCGTTTCACAGAAATGGGAAAATTGAAAAACAAATAGAAAAAAGGAATTGTTAGACTTCTCATTAAACTGGACGCTTCATAATATGGAATAATCTAATAGCATACGGTTAAAAAATTGATAAAAAATACTTAGTGATTAGGTGGTGCATTATTTTTTTTACTAAAGTTCGATTTAAAAGTGTTGTAATTAATTTCTCATTCTGACGAATTTTGTATATGATTTGCAGAACATTGTTTTGCGGAACATTGCTTCAGGTACATATGTATTTCCCAATGAATTATAGTTTTGTGAGTGAACGCAAAAAAATCATCTGTTGTCCACCGATGTGTGCTATTTATATGAGAGGCGCTAGTGTATATGAAAAAAAAAATGAACTAGCTGAACATTACTGGTGGTTCATTACTATTACTATTGATTGCGCATAATACTTGTGGAATTTGAAAATCCGGTTTAGTTTTTCGTTTTTTGTGCGTCGTATAATTTTCTATAAAATCGAAAAACTACCATTCAAATAAAAAAAAACACTTAAAATATATAGTGTAATAACCGCTTTTTGGAATATCAGAAAATTATTGTCATATTATGAAGTGGTGAAAATTCTGAATGTAATTTTTTGGAAAACTTTTTAACAAGTTATCTAACAATACTTTCATATTTATTTCTGATTTGAATATCTAACTGAAACCACCAAAATGAAACCCCTAGATTACATATGTAAATCAATTCAATATATCACTCTGCAAGAAAAAAAAATGTAAATCAATTCTTTATGTTCTCGCAGTTGGACAAGAAAATATGAAGGAATGTTACTAACAATGTTACTATAATCACTACATGCGATACATTTTATTCCAAATCCTATATTGCGTGGTTTTATTCTCAATAAACAAAATCGCATTGTAATATTTGTTGCCAATTACAACAATTTACGATTCATCAATAATATATATTTATTAGATTGTAAAGGATCCGTTACATTAGATGGTAGATTTGTACATTTCATATTAAAGCGGTGGTTAGATGCCTTATAACGATTACTCCACGTTCATTATTTAATACACAAATAAATATCTGAAATGTAGTGAAGAGAAATGAGTGCTTATTTTTTATAAAACAATATCCATTCTGTTGGATATATACCGCTTCTTTGAAAATAATCAAAGTTTTGAACAAAAGTCAACAAATTAAATGTAATACTTTTTTATTGTTGAAAAAATCTTGCTAAAGAACGGCTGTGAACACTTCTCACAAAAAGAAAAATAACATCAAAATGCGTTATTTCTGTTATTTGAGAAGTGACAAAAGACAAACAAACACGTTTGTTGTTCGCGATCAATACACTCTTTTACACCTTTAATGATAGTTACAAGTATACTTCCTATAGCTATCTTTTACAAATTTATTTAGGAATAATTTTTTCTACGAAATAATTTACGCAAATTTTTCACATTGCAAACAAATGCAAAAGTGAAATGGAATTTCAAACATCTTAAATATAACGGGGTGGGAAATTTCGATTACACTAATTCTGAGGGTCAAAATAGTAAAAAAAAATAATTAGTTGGGATTATATTTTGGATCTTAAATATCATTTGAAGCTCAATTTGTATTTGAATATTCTATATTGGTAACATTATTCCTTTCATTTCGTCATATTGGTTGATATTTAGTTTCCATCAGAGTTGAATAGCTAAGATCTCATTTCAGCTTTTGCGGACGGTATTTTGAGTTTGCACTGATGATTATTTCCATTTAACTTAAACTTTATAGTTTTTGTTATTTTAAAATTTCAAGGGATTACCAAAACTGGAAAATATGTTTGACGAAAATAGAACTCGTTTCAAACGAAATGTTGTGTATATGTTTTGGGTATAAAAATGATATAAAACAATCAGTGCGCACTGCGCAATAATCTCTCACACACAAATAATGCATTAGTTCCTCAGAAAAGTGCAACCCTATATTTAGTTGGTTCAATGTAGAATTCAAAGGTTTACTGTGAGTAAATGGTTCTGGTAAAAATCTTGGTTCCAATGAACGAAGAATACATTCATTTCAAGTTTATCGAATATGGAAAATTCTATTTCATTTGTTTACTCCAAAAACGAAAATGAACTTTATACTTATTTTTATAACAATAATAATCACAGATTGCTTCTGCTGTTTTTTCTTCGTGTGGTGTATATCGTTAAGTTTCCGTTACAATTAACCTGATGTTGTATTTCACGCACACAAACATGCTCGCACACACACACACACACACGCGTACACACACACACACATCTACATATACACACTTTTTTCTTCAAAATTTATATTAATGTAAAAGCTTTCTTCTAAAATTTCATTAACGTACATACTTAAAATAGGTTATTATTATGTTAATGTGCGAATTGATCATAAAAATCGTGAATTTGAAAGAAAAAGTGTTAACTGCTAGTTGATCAAACTAAAAAAAACTATCAACAAGGTAACATTTCTGTATATCACCTAAATAAGTGGTATAAAAAGTTGTGAAAATATTTTTTTTTGCATATTTTGTGTTTGAGGTGATAACGCATCAATCTCGTAACGTTAAATTTTTGCTCAATAACATGTTGTTGTGGTGCCCAGATAAATGTCGAACTAGTTCTTGAAGTGTGTCGAACCACATTGAGCAGAAGCAGCAACTAAATCTACCATTTGCCTCGGGTGTACTGATCATATTGCGATGAACCGAACACAAATGCTTTAGTAAATGTGCTTTCTGTTTGAACATAGCAACACATAGACGGCATGCAAACGGTTTTTCGCCGGTATGAACACGTAGATGCGTTTTCAAATTCCAGGACATACCGAATTGTTTGCCACAATATTCACAACGATATTCTCGTACTGGTGCTGAATTTGTTGACTGCGTACTACCGGTGCTGCCACCAGTCCCCGTACTAGAAGTACTGTTTCGGCTCGTCTGTTGATTTTCGATCGAGTTCTCTGAATGTCCGATCGCATTGTTATTCAATGAATTCGATGTTTGTATTGCTGTTACCTATCAAGTAAGGAAACATATAAATGTTAAATATGTTTCATAATGCATTTTTTTTTTTTCAAAGTATTTAAATGAAATTTTTTTAAATAAACTTACACCAAGTGCTGCTGTATGTGGCGGCCAAGGATAAACAAATGACGGTGGCATTTGTAGTGGGCCATCTGCACTTGGTGGTCTTCGTCGTGTGTTGTTATTATGGTGATTTGAATGGAAGAGTATTTCGGCTGGCGATGTTGGCGATAGTGGTCTTCGATCTCCTATTCAAATAAAAGAAACGATCAGAATTCAATTCATCGGTCATTCTTTAAGAAATACACCCTATAAGTACATTATGGTATGCATGGATGTTTGCGCAGTGCGTTAAAATTGTTGAATTTTGTTTGGAAAAAGATTGTACTTTTAATAATCGTATCATTTAAGGATTATCCTTAAAAATATGGGCAAAATACTTTTTAATCAAAATTTGAAGCAGAATGTACAACCAAATTCCAGAATACAAATGTATGTTTAAAAAAAATCCAAATTAAAATTCAATACAGGCAAATATTTGGTCGAGTGTTGTTGCACTTGTTTTTCGATAGATAGCGTTATGTGTTTGTTAAAGTTGAAAAATATGAATATTGTCGAACATATGTAATTTTAAATTATTTACAAATTTATTGATATCTGAATGGTACCTGGAAAATAAGACGGTGGAGCTGATGAAGACGGTGGTCCTTTACGTGACCTTAAATCTTCAATATAACCATGGTTATAAGGTACGAATGGTGGATTTTGAGTCGGTGAATTATGAAAGCCGGGGCGTCTTTTTCTGTGGGGTGTTACAACATAATTTTCGGGTGTATTTTGAATGAGGTCATGATCTGGTGGCAGTTTCAACATTTCTGTATCGGGATGATGGTACAAAACTTTTCGTTTAGATCGGAATGGTTCAAGTAAGCGTGCTGGTATCAAGCTCTGAAAATAATAAGTGAAATAGATGTTTTATTTGATTTATTTTTGAATTATTAAAACTAATTAACCCACTTTACTGGGAGCATTTCCTATTGTTTCAACGTCAATGTGTCCATCATTTGAGTCATCTTCACGATCTCGGCAGCCAAGTGAAAGGTTTACTGGATCAGATGAACTATGCCTTCGTTCGCTTACGTCGGACGTATCTTGTGTTTTTTCATCACTTGAATCCCTATCATTTCCTATACAAATCCACAGGAAAAAAAATTAAATTGCTGAACAACTTAAAATCGTATGACGTTTGCCATTCGGGCCAAATAATGCTTTCTAACACATACCAGCGCTATTTGTGTTTATACTGATCTTTTTTCTCCGGTGACGCTTCAACTCGATGGACGGCTGTTCTTCATCAACATTTAGATTATCATCATCTTCACGATCATCGTCACATGAACTCTCATTTATTTGCTCCATTTTTACAAAATGGTGGGCATTAGGTGATGAATCTCGGCTTTTTGATTGATGCAATGAACGTAGCGTATGCTCATCATCATGTTGTGTTCCATCGATATCTTCTTCATTTTGATTGCAATTTAGATCGGTGTGATGTGCGTCCAATTTTTGATTGTTCTCTGTGAATATTCGTGTCAACACTTCAATGGTTTCTTTGCCGTTTTTATCACCAGTTCTCCATACACCTGGTTTGATTTGTAATAAATCTAAGAGATCATGCAAATGTTCAACATCTGCTGCCGGCACACATGTTTGTCCTGAATATAGAAAGTCTAATAGAGATCGAAAGTATGCGGCTTCAATATCTGGAAAATGTATTGTTGTTATGCCTTCGATCACTGGTACATCTTTCAAAATAGTTCTATATTTGTTTGTTAGTGTGCATAAGTAAACCATATACAGAAAAATAAATTATTAGAAATAATGAAAATTTTACAAAATGAATTTTTCATTTACTACCTTATAAGAGGACTGGCGGCAGCCAACACTAATCGATGGGCTTGAAGCGTTTCTCGATCATTGCATATCAGCAATAAGTCAGCTGGATGTTCGCCACGAAATGCTGCACCAATTTCTTGGAGTATGCACTCACCGTGCTTACTGTAGTGCAGCATAAGCATTCTAACTGTAAATGGCAAGCATATATAATATTTTAAAAATATATGACACGAAACAAATCGTCAAGAGAAAGAGAAAGACGAAGAAGCGAAGAGAAAATGAAATATAACATTTTTATAGACGCGTTACCGCATATACAAAAATGAAAGTGAAATTCAGAGATGAAAGAAATTTCATCTTTATATAATCGTTACGCTTATTTTGATGAACACGAGAGAGCCCACATTGAAATGAAAGCAAAAACTATAAGACAATCATGTACGTTTGATTCAAATCAGTTTTTTCCTACTCTGATTGCACCATACACATTTATCTTATATACAATATGCATACATCATAGATATGTATGGGGAAATATGTCAACTATACATGCATAAAAAAACAATGTAATTTTCGTGAACGCGAAACTGTAGCACGTTTAACAATTACTTCCGAAAACAAAAAGTGAGAGTGATGAAAAAATTTCGATGGCGAACAGTAAGTACAATGGTGAATACAATAAATGCTTGGCGAGCACACAATCGCATAATTACACAACTATCTGATTTACAATCTGTCCACTCTTTCTGAATTGAGCTTTTTTTTTTGTATGTGTATTGTTTTGCATCAAACAACGGAACAAGTAATAGCGAAACGTTCATTTTAAAACTATTTCATAGCTTGTGTTAACTTTTCAAAAGCAATGTGTGTTGATATTCATTTATTTATGTTTATATGTATTGGCATATGTATGGAACACACAGCACTAACCAACTCAACTTTTCTCTTTTGCACTTGGTTTGTCCCCCTTTCTTTCTTGCGCGAGTATTGAAAACGAGGCCATTTGTTATATAATAATACCAAAAAGTACGGTTTTATGAAGTAAAAATAAAACGTAAACGCCTGAAGGAACACGAAATCAAGCTACGTAGCGTACGCATTATAAAGTTTGCCTCTATACTATATTCTGCGTGAATGATGCTATTTGAATGGTTGTAATTTTTTCCCATGCATACAAGATTTTGTGTGTCAATCACTGTGGAAAGTCGATTGCACAAAGAACACACATATATACATAAACATAATAGCAAAACCCGGCCGAATTAAATCAAGTTGAGCAAACAATGAGAAAGTGAACAGAATTGAATGTAAACATATTATTTAAGTTAAATTTAAGATAAGACTGACGATTTCTTTTGATCACATTTTACCTGAGTGTTACACTCGCTGCAATTCCAATTTTAATTGGTTACAATTTGGATTCAATTGCGAATTAACGCAAAGATTAAAAATAAAACAAATAAATACTCATATATGATCATTGGACTACATGATTTCGGCCATTCATAGATTTTGCAAAATATATCAGGATTGTTAGAAAGAATAAATTATCTATAAGAACTAGAAATTTTATCAGTGTCAAACTTCCTTATATCTATTACATTCTATGGGATCAGAACCATTGAATGTAGTTTCACAACAATTTTATAGTAACTTAGTTCTACCAATTTTCTACTTTTCTTTTAACATGTAAAATTTTGAATTTTTGAAACTAGCTAGAGAAGTTTTATTAATAGAGAAAGGAAACGAGGTAGTCAAGACTCTAATCCATTTAATGATTTAGATCTTTGAAATTTGATGTTTATGTCCATTAAATAATACATATGACATATTTCTACATAAAGCGCATGAGATGTGATTAATAAATCTGATACTCTTCTATCGGATTCAACTTTGATTTCAACTAGAATTACAACTTGTTTTATCAAAACTGATACATATACAAGTTTTGAACCATATTTGATTGTTTATTTCTCAGTTGTTGAGCTCTGCGATTCATTCTACACAATAGATTGCATTGTTTGTTTGGCCGACTATACAATTTTAATCAGAGTTTTGCTCAGCGCTGCTGCCATCCACAGCATATTAAAATATCTTGCTGAGAATGCGTCGTCTGTCGCATGCGAAGGTAGGTAGCAGTTTTATATCACAGCGAACAACAATACATGCATTGTTCTCTATTCAATCGTTTGAATGTTTTGAGTCACATAATCGTGAAGAGAACAATGCATTCATTCTTGTTCGCTGTGATGTATAAACTGCTACGTACGTTCGCATGCGACGGACGATGCATTCTCAGCAAGATATTTTAATATGCTGTGGATGGCAGCAGCGCTGAGCAATACTCTGATTTTAATGCTTACTTTATTATAGATAAGTTGATTCTATTTTTTCCCTTTCGATGTGATTTCTTTTTTTTTCCTTATCACAAATTAATGGTGCAAATAACTCTAAACTATTCCATTCATATATAAACTGTTTTATGTGCTCGAATTTACGAAGTATACTTCATTTAGTTGGTTTCAGTTTCCTAATCATGATTATGCTTGTAAATAAATTGGTTGTTATTTCGTTCATATATATATTTTTTGGAAGTATATAGTGCGTAAATACACACTTTTTCGCAAATACCATCGTTATTTTTTACTGCTTGTGTTTTACTTGTTTCAATTAGATGTATTCAATTATTTTATTTGATTTCGAAAACACTGTTATGATTTTACCTTAGAACAATGATATTTTTTCATATGAATGCAAGTAAATTCATTTATAACGGTAATGTGGTAAAATAACTTGCGCAAATTTTTTCCCTTGTTTCCGATCTAATTTTTTTATTTAAACTTGAAACTCTTCTGTTTGTTGATAATTGTTCATGTATTACAGTCAAATATTTTTTTTGTTTGAAACATGAATTCGATCGTTGTGTATAAAAGTTATAATAGAATAAAGTAACAAGTTCATTCAGGTCTTGATTTTTTTTTATTTGATTAGAATTGAATAGTGCAAATACACAAGTTGTAGTAGAAGTTGGCTCAATACATTGCAATAATCTGAGTTGGGCAATAGGATTTCAATTACTCAAAGATAGTCTGATTTCTATTTCCCATAACTTGTTTAATTTCCACACACACAATTTCTCTTTCAACTTATCATCGTGATATGCTTGTGTACTTAGTTTCTCAATCTTTTTCTAGTTTTCTTATCAAGGGAACGAATTTTTCCGCATTTCTCCATCAAATTGGCTCATAGAGTAATAATAATAATATCAAAGGATGTCTCAATTATATACTCATTGTTATATCGCTCAACTATGAAAAAATGAACATAAATAAGTTGTGAAACAAAAATGATAATAAAAATAGAGCAAACATTTGAGCTGAACAAAAAAAAGAAACTAATGAACGGAATAATATAGAATAATCTAAATACGGAATGACCCTGGATATTTGAAGTAATTAAATTGCGTCTTTACAATTATAACTAAAGAGGTTACACATTTCTCCGGAAGCACAGTAGAATTTACTGCCTCTAATTGATTCCATACTGTGGCGATTATTTTAATGACAATAGTCATTGTGAAACATATTTTTATGTTATTTGGTCCACCAACCATACCAGGACGCTTGAATAAATTGTTATGTTTGATCGAAATATGCATAACCATGGTTATCGAAATTTTTGAAAATTAGTGCAGAGCAAAATTAAAATTGTGCATTTTTTCCAATTTCTAGAACTTTGTGAAAGTGAAGACTTATTCTTGTTTTTCAATTTCTTAATAGGAATTCGTTCAGGGATTGAATGACTTTTTTGATATTTACCCGGCCTATTGCATAGCCAATATTTCAATTGTATGGAGGAAGTATGAATTGGGCCCTGATGAGTTTTCAAATCAACTTTTTTTCACAATAAATTTTACGAGTAGTTGACTTCGTTCTCTTCATTTTAGGTCATCATCTGTTTTCAGTTTTATTTATTCAACATAGTTTCTTTTCAGATGATAAGATATAAAAAAAATAATAAAAAAAAGATTGATATAGTTTCACATGTCTCTCATTTTTCTAATTTTTTTTTAAAGATGAGCATTACAAGAGTTGAATAATAGTATCCAAGTATTCTCATAACCACTATACATGGTTCTGCAAACCATTATGAATCTTGTTAAGTTAAATTCGATATTTCAGGGTATTTTAGTTTTTGGTTGATTCTGAATAAAAACGCATTTTGAGTGTAACATTCTTCTGTACAGGCTCTGGATACGAATGCATACAATAATCTCTGCAATGTGTCACACATGAAATGCAAATATATTTTAGATGCTAGTGTTCAATACTTTATAACATATATAAAAAGGAAAGTATGAATACGATTTTTGTTTTAAATCCTATGAATTAAAATTGTACAAAATAAGAGTTGATTCATATGGTTTTATTCAGAGATATTTCATTTATATATCTCAAACAAAGAAAGTAATATAGTAATTCTTCAGCTTTCATCTTTGTTCATATTTTTTAAGAAACTCTTGAGATTATTAACAATTCATTCGAAAATGAAGAATGTCGGTCAGATTTTCTAAAAGAAATTGATAAATTAAGCTAATTTTTTATTTAATATGTATTTTGAAGATTCGTGAAAGATTTTTAAGAATTCGTAAGAATGAAATAAATAAATCGTAAACTGCAATTGAATATACAACGATAGAAGAATTCTCCTGTATATCAATATTATGTAGTGTTCAATTGATTAATTGCTGAGCAATTTGTCTATGTCGGCTAGCGAATATATATTGGTATTTGATGTCTTACAGTACTAACGTATTTTTGCCCATAAAATCAATATTGATCTTTACTTAAATTCTCAAATTTGTTCCATTAAAATGATTTTTAAAAAGAGACAGATTAACGGTGACAATGAAAAATCAGTGCCGTTTTCTCTTCATGCATTTCTTCTGTTGGTGCAGTGTAATCAAAATAAAAGATTTGTATGCCCAGCAAGTGTCAGTAGGAATTATGATTCTTTTTCTACCTGTCAATGATTAATATATTTCGTGTGGGATCATTTTTGATGATCATACAAAAAATAGAAGAAGGGGCGATGACTACAATGATGATCTTAAACACACTCACACACACAACAATTTTTGATCCTCTTTGGTAGCTCAAGTTAGATATTGTGTCGGTTGATGTGCTG